CCAGTGCAAGGTCCTGCACATGGGTTGGGGCAATCCCAAGCACAAATACAGGCTGGGTGTTGAGTGGATTGAGAGCACTTCTCCTGTGGAGAAGGACTTGAGAGTATTAGTGGAGGGAAAATTTAGTATGAGCCAGCATTGTGCGCTCGCAGCCCAGAAAGCCAATTGTGTCCTGTGCTGCCTCAAGAGCAGTGTGGCCAGCAGGTCAAGGGAAGGGATTCCGCCCCTCTACTCTGTTCTCACGAGACCCCACCTGCAGAGCTGTGTCCAGCTCTGGGGCCCCCAGCGTAAGAAGGACATGGACCTGCTACAGCAAGTCCAGAGAAGGGCCACAAAGATGATCAGGAGGCTGGAGCACCTCCCTTATGAGGACAGGCTGAGAGAGCTGGGGTTGTCCATTGTGGACATGAGAAAGCCTCCGGGCAGACCTCATAGCAGCTTTCCAGTCCTTCAAGGGGACCTACAGGAAAGATGGGGAGGGATTCTGTCGGGGAGTGTAGGGATAGGATGAGGGGTAAATGTTTTTAAATGGAAAGAGAATAGATTTGGAGAAGATACAAGGAAGAAATTCTTTCGTGTGCGGGCAGTGAGACCCTGGCACAGGGTGCCCAGAGCAGCTGTGGCTGCCCCCTCCCTGGAAGGGTTCAAGGCCAGGCTGGACGGGGCTTTGAGAAACCTGGTCTGGTGGAAGGTGTCCCTGCCCATGGCAGGGGGGTTGGAACATGATGATCCTGAAGATCCCTTCCAACCCAAATCATTCTATGATTCTATGATTTTTATAGTTATAGTAGCTGAATTCTTCTCAGGGGAACTGAACTCTTCCTTCCTACAATACCTGTGTAATTCGAGCTGAGGGACAACTTTACAGTTGGCATGAGTGCTCTCCATAGTCTGGGAAACTCAAGAGTTTGGAAATACTAGCCATTAGGATTGTGAGTAGGATTTCTGTGTCAGCAGAATGCAGGATATATTAAGTCAGAATAATGCATACACACAAAGCAGCCGAATTAAAATTACACAAGCAACCTAATTCCTGTCGTTTCCTAGCCCTGAATACTTGGCTTTGCATCTGGATTCTGATGGCATAATTCAGCATAGTTTTTTCAATCTCTAAGATTTATGTAAAGGAGTTGAGGTTTTTCTTCTTACAAAGCACTGAAATAGTATCAGACTGGGATGTTACCTTCCTCCTCCAACTAAGTTCCCATTTACTTCTATGTTTCATTATTCCCTGTCTTGTCAGTGTACTTTTACACTCTTGATCCCGCTCACCTAATGACCTCAACAAGCTCTGTAACAGCCGTGTGTCAGTGACCACTGTCTTACCCACCAGCAGCCAGGACACTGCCTCCCTCACATTGCTTTCAAAAGAGAAATCCATTTCCCCTCTCCTCCTGATGGGGCCAAATACCTTATCCTGCCCTTTCAGATACTCTGCCTCATCTTCTCTTGCTCGGATTCATAGCTCACGGGCTGGATAGGGCAGCCAACACAGCGCTCAGTGCCACTCCGCCCAGCCTCCCCCTCCTTTGGCTGTGCCCACCTGGCAGGACAGAACAGGACATTGCTGCTCAGGGATTACATACTGTCCCACAGTTAGAACAGGATAGGATAGGATAGGATAGGATAGGATAGGATAGGATAGGATAGGATAGGATAGGATAGGATAGGATAGGATAGGATAGGATAGGATAGGATAGGATAGGATAGGATAGGATAGGATAGAAAGAATAGAATAGAATAGAATAGAATAGAATAGAATAGAATAGAATAGAATAGAATAGAATAGAATAGAATAGAATAGAATAGAATAGAATAGAATAGAATAGAATAGAATAGAATAGAATAGAATAGGAATAATTTCAGTTGGATGGGACCTACAACAATCATCTAGTCCAACTGACTGACCACTTCAGGCTGACCAAAAGTTAAAGCATGTTATTAAGGGCATTGTCCAAATGCCTCTTAAACACTGATGGCCTTCGGGCAACAATCACCTCTCTAGAAACCCCATTCCAGTGTCTGACCACCCTCTCAGTAAAGAAATGCTTCCTAATGTCCATTCTAAACCTCCCCGTGTGCAGCTTTGAGCCATTCCCATGCATCCTGTCACTGGATCCCATGGAGAAGAGATCAGCACCTCCCACTCCACTTCCCCTCTTCAGGAAGCTTCAGAAAGCAATGAGGTCACCCCTCAGCCTCCTTTTCTCCAAACTATACAAGCCCAAAGTCCTTAGCTGCATCTCATAGGACATGCCTTCCAGCCCTTTCACCAGCTTTGTTGCTCTCCTCTGGACACACTGACGTACCTTCACATCCTTCTTAAATGGTGGGGCCCTGAACTGCGCACAGTACTTAAGGTGAAGCTGCACCATTGCTGAATACAGCCAGATAATCACCCCTTTTGCCTGGCTGGTTATGCTGTGTTGGATGCACCCCAGGATGTCATTTGTCCTTATGGCTGCCAGGACACACTGCTGACTGTTATTGACCTTAGCATCACACCAGCACCCTCACAGCCCTTTCTGCAGGGCTGCTCTCCAGCCACTCCTCTCCCAGTTTGCTTGTGTCCAGCATTACGCTGTCCCAGGTACAGAATCTGGCATGTGGACCTGTTAAGTTTCATCGCAGTAACCACAGCCCAATGCTTCAATCTATCTGGATCCCTCTGCAAGGCCTCTTGTCCCTCAAGAGGGTCAACAGCACCACAGCACCTTGCAGTTTGGTACCATCAGCAAACCTGCTGACAGTGCATTCAACTCCTGCATCCAGACCATTGATAAATACATTGACCAGGACTGGCCTGACAACTGAACGGAGATGAACACAGCTGGCGACAGTTGTCTGCCAGACACAGCCCCAGGGGCAGTGGCATGCCTTTCCCTGTGCCTGTGTACTGCCAGACATTTAGGCCCCTGTTTGTCTGCTATCACCTCAGTCAGAAGTGCTCAAAATCAGTGCAAACCACCAGGACAGAGCAGGCTGAACCACCTTGACAAAGTACTTACCTTTCAGCCTTAAATCTCACTGGGTGCTGCTTGATATCAATTCTGGCTGTATAAATGTAGATGCTCCGTTACACACCAACTGACCAGCCCATGTAGTTTGAAAAGATAAACAGGCTGCAGTACCCTGAGCAGTGCCATAGAGAAGAAACCCTCCCCCTCCTGCCCTGCTTTCTACTGCAATGGGCTCTTTCAATTTTGACAGCACATCCTCTTTCTTCATAGGTGTCGTGGTTTAGGCCTGATTGACAGCCAACCACAATGCAGCACCTCTCTCTCCCTTCCCCTCCGGCAATGAGAAAGGACAGAGAGCCAGGCTTGGGGTTCAAGATAGGACTGGGATGGGGGAAAATCCCCCTTTTATGATCATGAGCAAAAGGCAGACTCATTAGGGGAAGAAAAAAAGAACATACATTTATTACAGACACTAACAACACATAACAGAGTAGGACAGTGAGAAGCATTGCCACATCTTGAGAACACCTTCCCCCCACCCCTCCCTTCTTCCCGGGCTCAGTTCTGCTCCCGATATCTCTACCTCCTCCCCCAGTGGCGCAGGGGCAGGGAATGGGGGGTGCAGTCAGTGCTGCCACTTCCTTCATCTTTGGTGAGGGGAGTGTCCAAAACTTGTTACCCCCTGCTCCATCGTGGTCCCCCTCTCACAGGAGACAGTCCTCCACAAACTTTCTCTGACTTGAATTCCTCCCATGGGCCGCAGCGTTCCCCACACTGCTCCGTCATGGGTCACTAACTTCCTCCGACTGGATTCTCTCCCACGGCTGCAGCCCTTCCCGAGCTGCTCCGGCGTGGGACTCCCCCGCATGCTGCAATCCTCCCAGCACTGAATTACAGCAGCGGGGCTACCTTTTCCCATGAGACCCCGGCCTTCTTCGGGCACAGAACCTTGATCAGCCGAGCAGGAACAACAGGCTGTAAATCAATGTCTGCTCCACCGTAGATCTTCATGGGTGGCAGGGGGGGGCCGCCCTGCTGTCTCACCACAGGATCCAGGGGGGTCTCTGCTCCGGCACACCTCCCCCCTCCTTTCTTCCTCCGTTCCTCCACTGACCTTGGTGTTCATGCAGCTGCAGCAACTCCTCCTCCCAAGTCCCACTGCCCGTCACCACGTCCCTTCTTAAATACGTTATCGCAGAGGCGCAGCCGATTGGCTCAATTTCCCAAACAGAAGTGGAGCTGACTTGGAGCTGGGGGAGCTTCGAGAAGCTTCTCACAGGGGGCCGCCCTGATAGCCCCCTCCCCTGCCACCAAAAAACTCCACCACTCACTCAACCCAGGACAATAGGAACTCTGCAAACCTTAGGAACCCTTCTGGTGCAATTCTTTGGCTTTGTGTTATGGGGAGCACCACGAAGAGTGCAACTCGCAACTTTGAGAAATCTGATTTTCAGAACCAGCAGATTCATTAACCACTCTATCATCCATCCATCCATCCATCCATCCATCCATCCATCCATCCATCCATCCATCCATCCATCCATCCATCCATCCATCCATCCATCCATCCATCCATCCATATCTATCTATCTACCTGTAGCCATACAGCCGTATCTGTATCTCCCCCTGCACTGGTCCCAGCAAGAACGCCAGAACTGCGGATGCTGACCCTACAATGCTCCTGGGCAGTCAGGCCATTGCAGCTCTCATGGTTCCACCACCAAACTAACTCCTTCCCCACCTGCACCGATGGCCGCCCCGCCACACACCCTCCCTTGGGCAGAGCAGCCCTGCATGACACCGCTCCCCACAGGCACCCCCAGCTGCTGTCATCGGACAACTATGGCGGTGAGGCCGTGGGCCAGGTTGTGGCCTGCCTCAACATGGCGGAGTGGGGCCCCGGGGGAGCCTGCTGGCAGAGGGCTCGGAGAGGCCAGCGCCCCTGCCCTTGGGGGGCTGCGAGATGCTCTCTCACATTTAAAGCCTTGCTTTTTGGCTTTCTAGGAAGTAGTTGCTGGTTAAAACTGTAGATACAAAGACTTTAGCTGAACATCACGCTCACCTGGTTTAGTATTTACACATTCTGGAAATGTATTTGCTATTGCCCAAACAGTGCTGCCAAACCTGCTACCAGGAGTTTGAGAAGCAAAAATCAATGATGCTCATTTCAACATCTTTGTCACAGTGCATCCTTCTACTTATACTATTTTGATTACAATCTTCCAAACTTTAATGAACATACAGGAAATTTTAGTTGTGAATGTGCCCTCTCATGAAACTGATTCCCTCATACATCTTACGAATTGCTATCATGGACAGAAGACTTATTCTGAGCAACGTACCACATGATTTGCTACATCTTTCAAGATACCATACTAAAGACGTCACCTTGGTGTCAGATCTCTTAACTTGAGGTTCCTAATGTTCAACATCTGGACATGCCTTGCATATCAATTAAGGCAACAGCTTACTAAAAGACGACAAAACTTCATACCCTTTAGTGGGTACATACAGGAATTCCGAATCAGGCTGGAGAATTTTCAGGTTTGTAGCACAATGGAAACTTTGCAGAGGCTTCATACTGGTCACCAAGCTGTTGGGAAGGAAACTGAAGGAGAAGCAGCAAGAGCTTTGTCCGGTGAAGTCCAAGATGAAGTACTGGATGGAACAATACACATTTGTAAAGCACTAATGCTGTATTTTCACACTTTGCAGAAGCAGCATACCCTAATCCTGGGTAAACTTACATGAATTATTATTTTCAGTTTACATCCTGTAAGTTGCCTGTGTTTTCTAAGACTCTGCTCTCCTTGTGATGATATTCTGTAATGTGATGGCCATACTGTGCAATTCTAACTCAGAAAAAGCACTTTTTAATACCTTGCCCAATAAGTTAGCCATAATAATATTTTCTAGATACACATCATACAGTCAATATTACAGTGCAAGGTACAGACAGCCAAAGGTGACACCTGATTTCTGATGTTTGCTGAGTAGCCAGTACACTTAATATGTATTATAAATAGCATTCAGTGCAATTATAATTTACATAAAAGAACTCTGTATAGAGTCGTATAAAGAGGAAGTAATTAAAACCATAGCATACTACCTACCTAAAGGTGTAGAGTTAAGGTTTCCATGGCAACCTTAACTCTGCATTTCCTGCCTTTTGTGGTTTCAAAAGCCCAGATTCAGTGTTTCTTTAATATAGTATTTCACACTGAATACTTTTACCAATAGAAGGATTATTTTGAAACCTGACATTTCTAGCACTCCTAGTACTAACCCAGTTTGCACAGCAATGTTATAAATTATTCAGAAGAAACTGTACTAATACATAGCTCACAACAAAGGCCAAACTTGCCTCAAGCTGGTGTAATGTATTATGGATATGTGGTAGCCTCTTCATAGATAAGGTGCTGGCAGCTTCCCTTTGGAGGCCTGTTTTATTTCCACCATGACACCGGCTGAAAAACTATCTGGCCTGGAAAACGCCAGATTAACTGAAGGCAAGAAGGAACATGTCTGCAAATGTAAAATGGGAAAAAATCATTTATTTGAATTATAACTCATCAAAGAACACATACCAAGTACACCTGGAAAAATGCTGGTTGTGAAGAAAAGCAACGCTGCATTAGACAGAACTGTTCCAATTTTGAACCTCTAACTTTTGATTAGACTTCTGTAACTGACTTCAGCAAGTGTGTATGGGCACACAGGTATTTGTCCATCTCTTGGCTGACTGCGTTTGAAAATGAAAGTCACTTTTATAGCTTACTAGTAAATAATGCTACCACCCGGGTTTTCAGAGCCAAATTATATAGATTCAACTCTTTATAGGCTGCTTTACTTAAATGCTAAGTAAAAACCATGTTTTCAGTTATTCTTATTGTAAGGCTTCATAGAAAATCCCTGAAGAAAACACATGTATTGTAAATTTTAAGGTAATCTTTAAACTTGTTAACAAAAATGTTCTGATTTCTTGAGTAAAAACTCTTAAGCACTAGTACATTTTATTTCAGTTTTTATGGTACATGAAAATGTTCCTCATTCTACCAAATGTATTTGAAATTTGGCAAACTTTACATTAGTTTTTGTGTAAAGAGACATTTAATACCCAGAATTGTAATACCTTTAATAACCTGCTCCAGGTGTGTGTGTGTGTGGGGAAGTAAGATTAAGGAATTTCTTACATCAATAGGCACATATCTTTGCCAGTAAAGCCACTACATAAAATTCTGTTCCATAACATACTGTCATCGTTTGTATCCAACTGACAAAATTTAGTTCTTAAACATGGAAAAACTCCTGAATCAAATAAACTTCAGATGCATTTTTTTCACAAAGAAGCAATCAAAACCAGACACAAAAACGTGAAGAAGACTGAAGAAATATAATACAACAGAATTTAAGTTTACCACCAACAGGTATCTCTTGCACACTACTCAACCTTTGCAGTGCATACAGGAAATGTTAGGAAAAAAGACAGCAGATAGCAAATTACATTTTATTAACTCACAGTAGGACCTTTCCCAACTTATTCAAATCTCAATATGCTTGTTCAGACTTAGCAACTTTTACGCGCATGCTTAATTTAGTAAACTCAAGTATAAAGTAGAGTTGATACTTGCTGTCTATAAAATATTCAGTTTAAGAGAGAAAAAAGTTTGCATGTCTGTCCCCCAGTTTGGGTATGTTAATATATGCACAAAGTTAAGTCAATGTGTAGGTATTGCCTCCAGAGGTATTAACCCTAAATTGATTTTTCTTAGCCACTAATAAAAACTGGGCCACAGTGAGAGATCTACTAGACCTTTGTAATGATAACCAAATTCCTTCTTAAATACCTAACCCTCAGGAACTGACCTATCAAGCAAACCCTTCAAAAACTTTACTGACTAATTTAAGACTTGGGTAACATGAATATCCTCCCAAGAGTACAATATATTAAAATAAAACTAAGTGAAAAAAAGAGCTTTGTAGTATTGTACAGAATTAATTGGCATCATCCACTGGTTTCAATCAGAATTCACGATTCTGTTTAATTTTAAAACTTGTCTTTATTCACATGAAAGAGAAAATATTAAAATTTAGTGAAATGCAGAACTCAGACCTTCCTTTAAAAAAGTTGTATTTAAAGAAATTTAATTACAAAATTTACAAAACCAAAGCACTGAAGTAATGAAATTATTAGCAAATATACTCATTAATCTAACCATTACACAGCATTAACCCTTTATACTAGAGCCTTAATTCTCGCCAAAAGCAGTGTATTTTCAACAGTAATCTAAAGTAGAGCAGTACAAATAACTCATCTGAAAAAGATACAAGGATTATTCATATGTAGACATGTTTATAGATCATCCCCAATAAAGATAACTGAAAATATATATTCTGCTATAAATTAACACAATAGATTTATAAAATTGGTATAATTTTAAATTAGAATTCAGATACATTTTCATATCAATGCCTATGATACACTAACTACATTTCACAAATACTATACTGTATATCACATATGTATATTCATATATAAGAATTAACATATTGTACTTAATAATTGTATCCACTGATCTCTCACTTAAAAAGCACCAAAGAAAGCATATAAAGGCATACATAAACATCACTGAACAGAAGTAGAATGCTGCACAGTGGAAAAAAAATACCACATTTAATTCAGAAAAGTATTAATTTTTATTTCAGCATTTATTTGCTAAACTTTTGAATCTTGCTTTTAACGTGGTTGATATTTACATGGACACCTGCCAACCTTCAGCAACCGATTTGTGCCTTTCTGATATTGTTTCTTAATGTAAATCTAATTTAAGTTCTTTGTATTAGTATGAAAATCTTGTATTGTTTTCCTGAGGAAAGCTGCTTTTTGCCTGCACATAAAATTTATTTTAGACCTAAGTCTCTGGTTTGGCTTCAATCCCAGAATATTCTGATTTCTAAACAAACTGCAAAGCATATCATATGGGTATCATGATTAAAAAGCCATAGTCCTCATTGTGGATTCTGCAAGATATTAATCCCTGTTATAGTTCCATTTATTTCATTGCAGTTACGTTTCTTATTTTAATATACTTGCCATGTTTGGTCTCAGTACAAAATATGAAAATGGCATACTTAAAATGAAGCACAGTACTGATACAAATTTAATTTTTTTCTGACCTGGTCCTGGAGACTAATAATATCACAAATGATCATATATTACAGCTGGTTTTGAAGCTGAAAACTGTTTCAAGTAAGTTAAGTAATTTCCCAGTAGGGAAAGTATGAGTACATGAATACATGTTTTTAATCACTCTTAATCAGGTAACACTTTTAAAATCAGCAGTATGAAATGCTCGTTCATATGGCTGTTTGCTATGGTAAAGCACATTCTAAATATACACCCATCTCAGTTCCCATATATTTTCAAATAAACTTGTCTGGTGACAAGAGACAGAGAAAAGAGCCTATAGACTTTTTAAGATTAGGCAAAGGTTTCCATAGAGGAACAGGGGGTTTTCCTTAATTTTTTCTCCTTGAACTATTGAACATTGAGCTGCTTTGACCAAACTTTCCAGCATTATGTCCCTTCAGACAGCAACTATACCTGGATCACTTGAGCTCTAAAGTTTCATAAAATTTCAAGTAATGCCAAACAGGAACTTTAATGGTGCATAATTGGTTCCATTCTATGAGAGGTTGCAGCTGGTTTATCAGAGACCTCTTTGCTAATGACTTCTAGAAACCACTCTCTTTTCTATCTATCAGAAATAAATATCGTTTGTAGTTTTCAGAGGCTGAATTTAGTCTTTGCTTCTATTATGGATCATGAATTTCATTGGTCATTCAGTTTTTGTTGTTGTTCCAATAAATTAGCTTTAAAAATTGTTCTGTTACAATAAATATACCATTTTTATTCTAAAGCAGTATTTCACTTTGGAGGCAGAAACACAAGACCAGTCCTAATCCTATTATATTTGGGGGGATCTGGTGTAATATCTAGTGCTAGTTCTCAAATTCCTTGTTGTACAGTTGAGTACCTCTTGACCAGAGGTCTGAATCTTTGCTTGAATGATTAAAACCATAAGTAAGGCTTTGTAAGACTTTTCTGACAGAAGATAATCTGACCTGTTAACTTTCTGAGATCAGAGTCAAGGTTGGGAAGTAAGAAGGCACATATTGATAAAAATAGAACAGCTCCTAGCACATCAAAGCATAGAGATTTGTCTCAGAAGGCTGTTGGCAATTTGTAAAACGTCAGGTTATTTCAGGTACCTCACTGAAATGTGTAGCTACTTTGACAAGTGGATGCAGGTAAGACATGGGGAAAAATCCTTAAGAGTGAACAGTCTGTGCCAAAAAAAAAGGGTTAGAATTTGTACCTAGATTAAGATAAACACAAAATATCAGGGTGCCTTGTGCCAAGGAGCAGCAGAAAAGGAGACAAGCATGTCCTAAATCTTTTTTTTTTTAACTTTTCACTGTACAAAAAATGTTGATGTTTAATACACAGCTATAAACACTGCCTCCTAACAGTGTATTAGGCTATATTTATTGTAGGCCCCATGGCAAATGTGAGAAACTTTGAAGAATGACATGTTAGGGTTAATGGATATGGTGAGATCAGTCGTCAGATGGTCTGGAGAACACCATTTGAATGGGCCAAATAGGGAACTCCAGCCATCAGGAGTCTTATCACTGATTTTTAACAGTTAAGACATGAAGCTTCCACACTGAGCAGAAACTGGGAAGTTAAGTTTTGATTCCAAACAAAGAGCATATAAAGAGGGCTGGTTTCCAGATGAAAATCAAAGTCCTTCATCACTAGACACTGGTTGGATTCCCATGAATCTCAAGATGTGTTATGCTACTCACCCCATTTAAGATCTCTTGGGACTGAATTCCTTCACACGGAAAAACTCTTCCTTCATCCCAATTCTTCCCATCTCAAATCCTTATCAACACCCTCTGAAACAGCTCACAGCAGGACCTTGTAACAATTATAAACCCCATCCCTTACCCTGGCCCTAATCTCAACTGTGGGCTGACCTTAGCCAAAGACCCCAAGCCACAGTCAAGATGGAAAAGCTCTCATGGGAGAATTCTTTGTGATGCACAAACCTGCCCTTGGTAGCCCTTTTGCAGCCCCACCACAACAGGACCCTTCAGCTTTATGTTTCTTCTAATCTTAACCCTTAAAGTGGCCAGGTAGCCCTTAAGCCCAGAAAACCCAAACCGTGGCACAGATTAGAAAGTTTTTAGGAGAGAACTGCCTTGGCAGCCCACACCTTCCCTCAGCAGCCTGTCTGCAGCCCCACTTCACCTAGATCCCTAGGCTTTGTCTCTCTTAGAACCTTAGTGCTAGAAGTGCATAGACCTTTAACACCAGAGAGCCCCAAACATGACTCACATAAAAAGTCCCCAGAGAATTCCTTTTGCAGCCCACACCTTTCCTCAGCAGTCCCAGTCCAGCTAGAACCCTAGGAACTGTTCTCACCTTAAATGTACCCAGGGCATTAACTCCAGGTAAACCCAAACATGGCCCTGATGGAAGTCTTTGACAGTAATTCTTCTGCAGAGCAAGCTGTCCCTAGGGAGCCCCTTTGCACACCCACCACAACTAGACACTGAGGAACTGTCTCTCTTCTGACCCTAAAACTGCCCAGAACCCACTTTCTGCAGCCCAAACCTTCCCTTGGCAACTTCTCTGCAGCCCCACTCCACACAGACCCCCAGGCTTTGTCTCCCTCTGAACTCAAACTCTAGCCTTAACCCAAGCCATGTGCTGAGCCTTACTCTAGGATGTCAAATAAATAAAACCAACTAAAATGGCTAAAATAGAAAACTATTAAGAAAATTTCTTTGTGGCTAAACTTGCCTTTAGCACTACCTTTGCAGCTTTGCTCCATGTACGCCACTATGGTTTGTCTCTCATAAAACCCTTATGCAAGGATCCCAAGCCATGGCCAAGGTGTAAAAGGCCTGAGGGAAGGATTCTTTTTGCAGCCCAAACCTTCCACTGCCAGTCCACTTGCAGCCCTGCTTCACCTGGGCCCCTGCGCTTAGTCTGTTTCTCATCCATTAAGTCTCTATGAGCGGCCAGAGCATTAAGCTGTGACAACCCCTGAGAGCAAGCCCTCAAGCAAGAAGCTCTCAGCTGAGCAAGCCCTCAACTTGCCCCTTCCCCCTCCAAGATGGAACCTTCAACAGCGTGTTTGTGTGCACGAGGCCATTGTTTCAGTACCTGCTCAATGCTAGGAGCTCACTTATGACAGTTGTCCTCCAGAGGAAAGGATCAAATCTTGATTCAGCTCCTATCTTTGGAACTCTTGATCCTTCACGTTGCACGCATTTTATCCTGTTCTTATCTTTGGACTTATCCCAGCACACCTACCACCCCTGGAGGCCACAACTTATTTATTCAATTGTCGCCTTTTTAGCACACTCATCAACAATACCTCGGTAGCGGCCGCAGGGCCGACCCTGCGCATGCGCCGTGCCTTGCCCTACCTTACCCTGCCTTGCCCCGCCACGCCGCGTGGGGTGGGGGGCGGGGAATAATGGAGGTGAGGGCCGGGCGGGCTCGCCACTTCCGGTCTGCGCTTCCATATCCGGGTGAGGGCTCAGGGGCTGCTGAGGGTGCTGTTGATTGGTTTTAGCTGCAGTTGGTGTGGGGAATCGCTCGGTGACTAGCTGCGCCGCTCCGCGGGCCCGGCCCGGCCCGGCCCGGCCCAGCCCAGCCCCTCCCGTCCCGGCCTGGCCCGGCCCGGCCCGCCTGACTCCGCCCGGGCCCGCTGTGAGTCTGCCGGCGCGGTGCGGGGTGCCCCTTGCCGCTGTGGGGAGCGGGTCCCGGGGGGCTGGGGTGGGTGGGGAACGGGGTCCGAATGGAGACCCTGGCAATTTCTGCCAGGGTAATCTTTGCTGACAGTCGCGGCAAGTGCCGTTATAGCCGCTGTGAGACAGCAGTGTTACTATACTAGTTTGTTTCGGTTTTGGGAAACTGACTTCTTAGTTGTTCCTCCTCTTGCTATTTTTAACTTCTCTTTATGGTGTTTACAAAGACTGGAATGAACGCATTACTTTTCCAGTTCAATCTTGAATTCTGATGCACGGTTCTGTTACTGATGAATTATATCCGTAAGCTGCTTTTGTGTACTCTCTGATGCTAGGAGTGCCTCAGCTTCTTGGAGATGAACGAGGTGCGTTAACAGTTGTTGCGTTGCCTGTACTAGAAACGGAGAAGTTTAGACTGCACGTGAATGCTATTCAGATTAAATGTAAATGTCAGGTGACTTTTTTGTAATGGAATTCGGTTTTGTTTCTTAAGCAAAACTGAAAGTAAACATCCCAAAAATAACTTTAATTCTTTCATTAATACATATTTCCTGTCCTCTATCCCTGCCTCTTTCCCCAACCCCTCCCTCTGCAACCCCCGGCCAAAAAAAAAGCAAAAACTGAGAGCATTAATCTTGAAAGCTTTTACCTGGAGCTGGTATGGCAATGTCCATGTAGGTAGGTACCAGCTTTTCACTAGTGTGGGTTGTCATCACAGGAGGTAAGGAACAAAGTCAAACCTGAGCAAATATACTCCTTGGAACTTGCTTGCTTATGTTCCATGCTAATGCTGCCTGTGGTGACAGTCTGAGCTGTCTGAGGAGGTTAAAACATGCTGACAGTCCATAGTACGTGAAAGAACACTTCTAGGCTGTAGTACCAGTGACACCTTACAGTAAAGTTAGGAGTAACTGATTTTATTTCCAAGTATGATGTAATGCCTGTTAATGTAACTGCTCATACGATCTTTTATGTAGGTTTTTCAGGATTGGTTTGGTTTGGGTTTTTTTTTTTTTTTTTTTTTTCAGTTTGGTAACTGAGAGAAGCTGAAAGTGGTACTTTAATTTTATTCTAAAATTAGACTACTGTGTGGTGATAGGACTTCCATGCTGGGCCACTGACTTATTGCCAGTTTTTCCAATTGTATTACTGTAGCATTGGTTGGATAAAAAGGTTTTTGTGTAGTAATTAGGGAAATACTGCCATTGTGCATGTGACTTCTAAATGTTCCAGTTAAAAGTTGTTTTAAAAAACTTCTTCCTCTTGTATTTGAATCGTCTTATTGCGCTAACTGGATAAATATTCATATGCAGAGTATTAAGATCAATCATGTACAACTGTGCTTGTCAGTGACACATGTTTGTTTGCAGGGTTCTTAAGACTGAAGTAAAAAATAATTGAAGTAACTTGAAACTAATGTCAGGTTTTCACTGTAGCTAAGAGATATGCATAGTACTGATAGCTGGTTTTAAAAATCTGATACAGTTTTTCCAATAGAAAGCATGAACTTTTATTGTTTTCAACATATAAATTGCCCTTAGGGAAAATACTGGTGATTTGAAAAATGGATGCAATACACAGTTTAACCTGTTGTAGAGGCAAAGATTTTATTTTTCATCCAGTCTTTCTGCATGCATATAATGATACAAGATCAAATAGCAGTCAGCTGTACCAGAATCAATTTTAAAATTAAAAGATAGTAAACCTACATTTTTCTATTACAGAATCCATTCAGTAACTGCAAACATTAAAACCTACTATGTATATGGTATTCTTAAAGTATGACTATATTACTTTCCAATTGCTGTCACCATTTGACTGCTTCTTTGCATATCATGTCATAAAAGAAAAATTAATTACAGTTTATGATCAGCTGCATCTTCATGTTCCTTTGGTGTAGTCTCGTGTTTTGAACCAGGCTGGTGGCTGAACACATGATGCAGCTGCTCGCTCACCCTTCCATAACTGGTGGATGGGGGAGAGAATTGGAGGGTAAAGAGAGACTCCTAGGTTGAGATAAAAAGTTTAATAATTGAAGTAAAATAAAACAGTAATAGGAAGTACAAACACATAATGCACAATGCAATTGCTCACCACCCAGCCCATTCCCAGCTAGATCCCCCTAAAAAATCTTGCAACCACAATCCCAGAAGTGAGAGAGAGCACCCCCTTTCCTGGCTGACCCTCCTCTATATACTGAGTGTGACGCTAGATGATATGGGATACTTCATTGTCTAGTTTGGGTTGGGCACTGTGGCTTTGCTCCCTCCACGCTTCTTGTACATGTGCACACAGACAGGACGCGGGGAGTTGCAAAGTCCATGATATCTTGGAAACAGCTGAAAACATGAGTGTATTATCATCATTCTTCTCTTACCAAATCCTATACTGAATCCAAAGCACAACACTGTTCTAGCTACTAAAAAGAAAAATAAACTCTATCCCAACTAAAACCAGGACATGTAGTCAAGTGTTTCTTTCCATATATTTTGAGCCTCATTGTGGAATGCTTGAGATAAGAAACATATTCCACTGTAATATATTCCTTGAGGTGAAAACTCTTATGTCTTGTGTCTTGTGATTTTTTTCTAAAACTTAAAGTGGAGGGGAGCAAATAAAAATTCACTCTTAAACATCAATAAAGTAAATAGTAATTGTGAGACTTAAGAGTATGTAGCATTTTTTAGTGTCTTGTCCTGAAATGACATAAAACTAGCCCACAATCACAGTTCTTTTAAGCGATTTCTGGAAATATATTCTAGATAATTTGAATTTTTAAACCAAGAATTCAAAAGGTAGCTAGTATTTCTTGTTGTCTAATTTAGATTTCTCTTTTTTAATGTAGGGAAAAGGATACATGTTAACTTCAGATAAAGGAGCATGTTCCCAAATCCCTCCAATGTGGGTTGTCCACCCTTCCCTCCAAAAAATCATCGACAGAGTAATTTTGTAAATAAGCCTCCTCTAAATAGACTACCTACTCATAGCCCTCACCAGCGAGTTTTTGATGCTCAGTTTCATTTTCAGAATACACGGTAAGTTCAGTAAGATTTTGTACTGGGGGTTGGGTTGAAAAAGAGAGTTAATGAACTTTTGAAAGAAGTATTTCTGCTTATGGAAGATATTTTTCACGGTTTTTAACATTAAACTGCATTAAACTTTAAAAAACAGGAAGGTGTCATGTGTAAAACAGAGCTGTATCATGTCTGTTCATGACCTGATGGTCTCTTGCATTGTGTATAATGCATGAGATGCCATTGCACTGATAGAGTTAATAATCCACAGTTCACTTTTAAAAATCTTCAGTTGTAGTTGTTTATCGGGGAAAACAGCAAGGAGATGAGAAGGGGAAGAATTATTTATTTGGGCTAGATTTGAAGACACAGTAGTGTTTTTTAGGCTCTTAAATTTAACGGTACCTTAAGTTAATTTCCTTGCTAATCTATTCTTACATGTGTGGTGTGAAGTATGATAATCTTCTATTTTGTTAATGAAAAATATATATTGAAAATCTCTTCATTTTGAAAAGACCGGTGTATTGCTTCTAAGAAAAAAATGACAGTACTTGATGAGTTTAATATTCACTTAAGAAAAACTACCAACCCCTAGAAACCATCTTAGTTATCATATGAATAAAAGTTATGGACTATAATCTTTCCAGGGCTTATTTGTGTGGGAATCGTGCAACTATTCCAGCTGTTACACTGCATCCAGTGACTTACGGAAATGTCAGTTCAGCACATACAGCTAATGTCCCCATGCCATTCCAAGGAAGAAAGTAAGTTCTGTGTGTGTGATTAATTCTGGTTTTAATGTACCCATGGTGAAGCTTGTCTAATATAAATTTTTTTGCAATTTGAATTTTGTTAGGATTTGCAATACCAAATGTTTTTTGATGAAACAGGCCATGCCATGGCTTTTTAACATGTACATGTAGATTTTGAGAATTTTAGTACTCAGAAGTGACTTAGTGTGCGTAGTTTTTCTCTTCTAACAGCTGTAGCCTTACAGAACTGTGATTTATGTATTTTATTTTAATACTATAATAGATTGTAGTCTGTGTGTTTGACTGTAAGAGGCTTTGTGTCAATAAATTCAGTGTTCTTTTCCTGTTAATTTGTTAAGTTAGGAGTAAGACTGCACCCTCGATGTTTTGTGGGAACTGTGATGTTTTTCTCATGAAACACTAGATGTTTCTTCTGATTTTCTTATGTGATGCTATATTTTTCAAATACAGAGTGCTAAATTCAAACATATGTAAGGTGTTGGGGTTTTTTAAGAGGAATTTTATGGAAACATTTTTTCTACTTTTCAAGAAACAAAATTTACTTGAATTTATCTAATTTCATGTGTAACTTTAGTTGCACCAGAATGAGGAATTTCAGATGAATGTATGATTTTATTTTAACATTTGAGAAAGAAAAACTACTTATTGTCAGCTCAGAAAATAGTACTTGATGTGTTTTTAATAATTCTGTGAATCTGCTGATAGGGAGGAAGCTTTATGTTTTCCAAATTATTTCCTGTATGCTATTTCTCTTCCACATTTAACAGATGAGGAAATAATTACAAATGGTATTAAGTTATAGTTGAGTATATAACTATCAGATGAACTGAAGAAGTTCCTGGTTTCATGCTGCATGCATGTTTTCAGTTTGACCAGTCTGGTTAATGGAAAACTATCCTGCGTTAGGAGATTTGCAGTCAACTAGTTAATCCTTAGATTTTGAGTCTACTCTTCTTAAGGTATTTTTGCTGAACATGAGTTGGTGCATGTTATTGCCAGGCAAAATAGGCTGAAACAACATTATGTTTTGATTTAACATTACATTATGAGTTCCTTTAAGATTGGGGTTAGGTAGTGTTATCGGAACTTCTCTCATACTTGAAAACTGAAATGGAGACTTGAGGTCTCTTCAGTTACATTTTTATTATTAATAATGCTATCTGTCCAGGTCCCCAAAATACTTTGATGCCAACTTTTCTGACTACAAGAAATTACTGTAGTTTTACTAATAGTTAATTCATTGATACATATGAACATTTGATTTCATGATTTTTAATTAAAATATGTGTGAGTACCTCCATGCTGGTTAACTTTATGAAATAATTGATGTATAAACAAAACATTAATGTTCTCTTTTATTCTTTACTGTGGATGGATCACAGTATTCAACCACTGGTCAGATTTCAGTACAATTTTTTCTCAATGAAGAGTTCAGATACCATAAGGCTGCCTGTGAAATCACTATATCTCTTCAAATATATTTGAATTCCTCTGACAAATGACTTAGAAGATACAGACTACTGTTTGAAAATGAGACATTAGCTTTATGACCTGTGTAACTTTATACAGTCACTAGTTCATTTTGTCAAATGAACAGTGGTTTTTTTCTGCCCAGATTACACAGTTTACTGTCTGTACAATCTAAGACAGAGAAATGCTACATTTTGAATGGCTATTGTAATAATCTTTTTTCCTCCCATCCCCACCAATGAATTTATTTATCACTGGGTGTTCAGAACTCACAAAACTTCTCACTACACTTCCATTGATGTAAAAGAAAAGTACCCTTACATAGTCTGCATGTATCTTTTTTTTTTTTATTAGGAAAATTAACCAGTATGTTGTCTCCAAACTAGTATGACCATCTTTCCAAGCTGTCCTGCTTAACTGAACTTTAGGTTTCAGTTGATTAATATAGACACACTTGCAAAGCAGTTGCATCAATTCACTTCAAGGGTAGCTGTACTTTTGCAGTCGCGTGTTCTCTTTTCCTGTTCCAGGTTTATTTCAGCTAATATCTGGGATAGGCTACCTTTTGTTCTGTAGAATACTTGCTTTCAGTGAAATTGTCACATAATTAAGCATTTGTACTTTGTAGCAACTGTCTTTTAATCACAGGTTGGAGCTTGCAAGCTAGAGGAATTACTGTTTCTCTTCTCTCTCCACCAGGAGACTAAGTGAAGAAAGTGTTTCACCTGGTTTCAAACGGAGACGTCTTCATTCAGACACTTCTGAAGCAACTGTAGTTAACCAAGCAGTGCCTTTACCAGAAAGACATAGATACTCCTTCCCAGAATCAATTCAGTTTCCAGTGTCCCATGCACATTACAGTCCAGGAAGTGTTCCTCTGTTGCAAGATACTGTGTTTTCAGACCCTGTAGAAACCACACTCCCTGTGGCCAAAGATAAGGTAATATCTTTTTATGCCTGTGGTTTACATGTGCCTTCTGAGTAGGCAGGGTCCAATCCTGCTGTGGGAGACTACAAAAATTTCTGCAAGGTTCTTTGACAGTATTGTGGGGTCTCTATTGTTGAACTGTCGTTAGAAGGAATATCAATAAATGTAGCTGCCACTACGGTCCTATATAGCCTCCTTGTGTGTATTTGGCTTTGGAGCATTTTTGTGGAGTAGGGGTGGTGTTTGCTTATGTTGTTTGGTTTCCATATTAATGTCAGGAAACCTACATGTTTGCTCCAGCAAGTAGAAGTTGGAGGAATGGTCCATTGTCAGTTAATACCTCTTCCACCAGAGATCTTCTACTTCTTTGATAGTCTGGGATAAAAAAAAAGAAAGCGAACTTAAATCAGTTTTAATATTTATTTTTCTCCCTATTGCTGGTAGGCAAACTGTTGATATTAATGTCAGCAGAAGACATCTCTGGTGTTTCACTGCTTTTCCCCTGAAAGACTGTGGGGCACTGGGACTCTGGTGTTTCAATGCTCTTCCCCTGAAATACTAATGAGGCAAAAATTATTTTCTGTCGATAGACATACCAGATTGAACAAATTTAAATTTAAAAACTTTGCAGCAATTTCTTCAGGGGGGAGTTCACTATGAATTCAAATGCAGTAAAACTCTAGACTGTAGAATAGGTTGTGTGAAATTATGCTAGATTTTTCGTTTAAATGCAGTCTTCTGTGTTTCATATAATTGCATCTCTGACAGTAAGGAATGCTGATTTCTCTGTACCTACTTTTTGAATGTGTGTGTCAAGTTAAGTCAGCAGGTTTTGGAGGTGTTTCAAGCATGTCAGCAACAGACCTGTGACTTGAACAGAAAGGAGCTCTGTAGGATAGAACTCCAGAGAGAACTTCAGCAAATTTTTCCACGTATGTTTTGAATTTGATTACTTAATATCAATTTAAATGTTTTTCGGATTCGCGGTTTTTCTTTCCTTCTAAAGTATGATGTGTCACATCAGTTTTTATTCTGTGATTCTTCTGTTACAGGGAGCAGTCTCGTTTTGGTTGGGTCTTCACTGAATGGGTTTGCCACTCGTAGCAGTGATGGTGACTTGTGCCTCTTGGTTAAAAAAGAACCAGTAAGTAATTTAAAAAATACATAGTTAAAACAAAGTCTGTTTTTAAAATGTATGTGCTTTTATAAGGCTGGATTCTAAAATTAGAAATGAATGGTCAAATCCTTTTAATTTAACAATGTATTTTTGCACTCATAATAATTATGAACTATTGACGCAATAATATTAGAAATATCAATGTGACCTTATAAACCCTTTAACCCAACAAAACATTCAAAAAATAAGCATTACCTTCACTCTCTAAGTGAAAAAAGCACAGCAAAACAGAGAAATAAATTGCCTAAGAGAATGAAGAAAATTTAGATAACTAACTCATTTTAGATGCAGGAACAACTTTTAATAAGTACAGTTTATTTATTTCATTATTTAGGTTCATAGCCACCAATTTTAGTGATCAGGCATAAGAAGGAATTTCATATGCAAAATATCTTAAGTATTTTTGGTGAGAAAAAATGTTTATGAGTAGAGTTTAGGTTGAGAGAAAAGATGGAACAAAAAAATCTAAATAGACCATAATTTTGGAAGAATTGAAGTGTCATTGAAAAGGAAGGAAAGGACACCTTTGTATAATTGGGTCTAGGTTTTCATCAAGTTCTATGATTTGTGAATGTCTGATAGTTACTTTGCATATTGAATATGTACTGTTCTTTCTGGCTTTTGCTGCACTAAATATGTATGTAGGCTGTGGAATGTGTTAGCATACATGTTTATGTCTTATTCTGAGAATTAATTTTATTTGAAAAGTGTCCTTGGAACATCTAAATGAGAGATACCAACTTTTTTCTTTTAATTTTATTATCATATTTCAGGTAAATCAGAAGACTGAAGCAAGGCGTATACTCATCTTAGTCCAAAGACTCTTCAGTACTAAACTTTGTACGTTTCTGGCTACAGTGAGGTGATAAGATTATTGGCAATTCTCGAAGAAGTATTGATGCACAGTTGTAACTAACTTATGTAACTGCATCTTATCTAGCTTCTAATCATGGTATTGTTTGGAGAAAAGCTATAAATATTTTGTAATGTTACTTATCTTGGTGCTGATGGATAGTAAGTAGAAAAACATAACAGTTACATTGCAAACTAGGGTACTTCAGGAAGTGATAGAATCTAAAATGACTTTTGAATTGTGGACCACAGTTTGAGGGGTGGAGGGAAAGTAGATTTCTGTTTGGGAAACCTCTGTTAGTTAACACTTACTACTCTTTTATGTTTCAGTGCCTTCCTGGGTAGTGCTCTAAGAATTTCTAAAATAAGATGTCACTCAGACTGTATAGAATTGATTTGGGGAGGGGCAGGGGGCTTGGTACCAGTGAAATGATTAACTTAGGTTCCTAGTGAGGAAAATACTAAATGTTGACAGTACCAGCACGTATAGAAGAAACAGGTCAATTCATGGTTCTTAGAAGTTGTTTAGACTCCCTTTAGGTGAAGAATTCACATGGGCAGTTCTTGACTTAAACATGAAAGCATCCTACTTCAAAGAGGCTTTTGTACCATCCTTTGAATTATAAAAGACCTTGTAATTTACTGATACCAATGACTGTCCCCCTGCTTCTCAGACTTGTGATATAATCTTTGATGCCATTCGTTATATTGCTGCTCTGAACAATCCTGCAATGGTAAGAGGAACAAACCATAAATTTAAATGCATACTTTAAAATTTCTTCATTGGCACGTGTGCATACCCAGATTTCAATGGCTCACTTGAACAGAGACTTGATAGATCCACCACAGAATAGGCATCTGATGTTTAATGGCTTGTTACTATTGTATACTGATGCTTGCATAAGGAGTCCAGAACTTAGTCTGGCTTTTCCTAGGAGACAAGTAATTCCAGTACTTTCTGAGAAGCACAGTGGTAAAACAGTTGTGTTTTCAGGGATCAGAAAGGGACCATCTGTATAAACTCTCACACTCTTCTTTTTTTCAAGTGGTTGTGTTCTGTGACAGAACTTTAGGTAAAGCCAGGTTTGTTTGCCAGGGAATATGAGTATCAGAAAGACATGACAGTCATGTGAGAGCAATTCCTGAAGGGTTTTTTTTGTGCCATTGCTCATTTTTGATACTTTCCTAATTCTCTGTTACTTGCAAGTCTTTTTGGTCAGCTTCATTTAATCAAAATGTTCTTTGAAAGGTGAGGCAGGACAAAACACTGCTTATATTACTGCCTCAGTCAGACCCTTAGTTGTGGCTTGTAGACCTCTTAGATCATCTCTTCATAATCTTAACATCACTATGGGCACATATTTCTAAACCTAGCCATTTTTCCTTGTGTCTATGTATGGATATTCTGTGGATAGAACTAATAGACAGAAGTTGTTTGAAAATGTTCACCTGATTCAAAATGAAAAGGTTTTGCCATGTGAGTCTTTCCATTTAGATTTAGTTCATTTATAAACGGTAGCTCAACTATGCTAAGGTTCAGTATTTCTGAAGCAAGGGGGTTGCCCAATTATTTTGATTAAAGCTTATTTAGGCAAATATAATTGCAGTCATCCATAATTGTAGAATAACTTGTGGGTTGGTTTTGTTTGGGGGGTGGGGAGGGAGTTCCCCCAGGCTAGACTTCAGAAGTTGATAGATTGATATTCTTTTTCTTCACCGCTGGAGAAACAATCTTAGCAGTATGTGTCTCAGTGGTGGTCTGTTAGTACTTCTGTGGGTTTGTGGAGTCATGTTTACCTGCTTAGAAATGGCTATTCAATGTCAGCTCCAGGTTGGCTGCTAAATTCTTTTTTAATGAGCTGAGTTTAAGTGATTTCCTACCTTCTGCTGTCTTCAGAAGTCAGCTACTGCTTAATCATCAAGGATGGGAACTACAAGTACATACATTTTAAAAAAAGCCTTCAGAAATTGTAATTCTTTTGAAATGTTACTTAAACTCAAACCAGAATTCTAGATTTTCAACTTGAAAGGGTTAGCAGTGCATGTATACTGCTGCTGTGTACAAGCAAAAGATTTGTCTGCACCAAGCTCCTTTAAGAATTGCAATTTCATTCCAACAGTATTCTGCATTTTATTGCATATGCTTTTTAACAACCTAAAAAGTATTAAACTTAAAAATAAGTCTTGTGCTGCATCGAGTTAATATGTATGATCCTATCCTGTAATCTTAAAGTAATCCCTCTTTGACAATAGTAAAGTATTTCCTTTTTTTCTTCTATAGAAGAAGGACTGCAGCATGTTCTTAACAGGTCTGTGAGCTGTCAATACATTTATTCCTTGCTTCACACAAGAGAGCAGAAATAAACATAGTTTGGGCCAAACATGAAACCTAATGAAGTATGTTCCAAGATGCAAGAGAAACAAGGAGTAGGAAAGATAAGATGTTGTTTAAAACAAAGTTCTTGGGCTGTTTTTGTGAAAGCTAAAGGACAAAAAGAAATGAAGAGGAGATTTGTGGCATGGGTAATGTTCTAGAGCTTTAACCCTTTTCCAGATCATTTCAGTTCAGAAACTTGGGAGAAGTTTTTTCTAGCTGTGCCTCTCCTAACATCTTCATCTTTGTGATGTTCCTGTACACTCCAAAATAAGAACTATAGGAAGAGTGTGATTCTCTGCTTATTTCACCCTAATTCCATGACTGGTAAATTAGGAAGCATTCTACATGCAGATTAGATCAGTCTCTCAATTTTTCTTTTAGGTAAATCATCTTCAGAACTTTAAGTGCTATATGTTTTATCCTTTATAAATGGTTAACTGTGGTTGTTAGACTAGTGCTTCATTCTGGGAGGTTTGGGAAGTGGATTTGAAATTTATCTAAGCTCCAGTTTATTTTGGTTTCAGGCTTGCAAAAGGTAACAATGTGCGAGCAAGGAATTTGAGCCCATGAGACTTAAAGTCTTAGAGCAGAGGCTTTTCTGTATTGGCATTCTGCATCTAGAATACTGACTGAACTGAAGATGTGTTCTTTTTTTTTTTTTGAATAATCATAGAATCACAGAATACGAGGTTGGACGAGACCTGAAGGATCATCTGGTCCAACCTTACTTGGCAAAAGCATGGTCTAGACAAGATGGCCCAGCACACTGTCCAGCTGAATCTTAAAAGTGCAAAGATTTTTTAGATCTATCTTTTAAATGATTTTTTTTAACGTGTAAAACTGGTCCATCTTGTCTAGACATGTGCTTTTGTGAGACATGTTAGTCTTAAGCATGTATTGTGTTTTTTTTCTAGAGTAGCGAGGTGTAAGGATAGCAGCAATATATCTTCTGTTTCAAAGACTAGCAGACTAGCAGAGTACTTGTAACTTTTTTGACTTATTTGTTCAGATACCTGCATATATCTAGTTTTTACAATATTGGCTGACATTCCCAGGACTGTACACTCTAGCCAGTGTCTTTTAGAAATGTGAAATGTTAACTATAAAGTTGGGGTAATCACTGTTATGACATATTGGAGAGGATATTATGCAAACCACTGAGAGTAAATGTCAAACTGATTGCTCTCTTCAGATTTACCTAGACAGCATTAATTTGGAAAATATTTTAGCAGTTGGGTTGACTCGTTGCTGTCTGAATAAATAACAAAGAGCTCATTTTCTCTTAATTATACAAAGGCTTGAAGTAGTGTTGAGACTAGGATGTCAGAGTGGAATCTGCATAATGGTTGTCTAGAGCAAGCAAGGGCATTTGAACTCAAATGGTGTTGAAGGACTATGCAGGTGGGTGAGTGAATTCCAAACATCAACAGGTAATTCATCCTGTGCTGGGTTGTACCCACCTAGATTCTTCATGACTGGATTCAGACTTCTGTGTCACCTAGTTTCTCTTTCTATAGTATAACCCTATCAATGAGAGCCGGTTACATGTGCAGGATGCCAAAGATCCTTTTGGAATATACTATGATTAGGATTAATATTTTGATTAATTACTTAATCTTTTATGCTGTAAAAGAAGAGACTTAAGCTATTTAATCTGAAGTTCTGCATGAATAAGTAATTGATGAAACGGTGCTTAGTTGTCTTGGAAGTGGTTATATTCTTTTTCACTACAGCTGGAGTGGCATTTGTCACTTTTTCATAGATTTGCCCAAAACTGTGGAGCAGCTATGTGGAATTCTTTACATATGTTTTGGTCTAGCCCTTCTGCTTATAGCTTCAAGGTCAGATAGACAGTTCACTAAGTCACTTACTCAACCTGTATGTATTTCAGAATTCCACATCCTGTGTTTGTGACTGTTTTGTCACTTGTATGACAATCTAATATGCATTAGAGATTCTGCTAACAGTTTCATTGGTGTGAGCCAAGGAGGAGGGTACAAGCAGCATGTTACTGCCTTCTAACATTGTCTTTGCTTTGTTTCACCATGGGAAACAGACTGGGATTATCTTTTGGTTTGTTTTTTTTTTTTCTCTTAGCCAACTAATCTGACACAAGCATCCATCAAATGTTGGGGAGCATTTGCAGACAAGGATGTATTTGGAAGTGGATTGCCACTAGAATGAGTTCAGTTAACTTCTGCAGGGCACCTGAGAAAGGTCATAGTGAGGAAAGTTGAATTGCTATGGCATGCAGATAGATACCCACCATTGTCTACCATGCACTAATGCATTGACCATCTTTGTCTTAAATTTGGTAATGAAAGGAAGAGGTAGAGTGCTCTACATGCTTTATAGCTTTGCTTTAAGAATGTTATGGCATGTTGGAGGAGGGATGCTTGGATGTGTCTGAAGGTGCAGCTAGAAAATGGGGATGCTTGTGTAAGTTGTACTAGGTTGTACATTCAGTGAACGTGGATTGGAATTCTGTAAGATTCTTTCTTTAGTAAATAAAATTATCCCTCGGGTTTTTTTTGAGTGCCAGTTTGTTTGTTGCTTAGGGTCATACAATGCATTCAAATCCAGATAAAGGATTACCTCAGGTCAAATCTGTCTAAACATTGATATCCATAGAATACTTTCAGAAAGTCTCAAAAAAAAAGTAAAATTTGTTTTAACGGAATAGTGCACCGAACTGAATAGTTTTACCAAACCTGAAGCTGTCATCCCAGTGCAGTGGAGATGAGACTGTTTATTCATAGTCACTATCCAAACTGATAAATATGTCTTTTTTTTTTTCCCCATAAGTGAAGATCAGCTTTTATTTAAGGTTATTTTTAGTCTGCATTACTTCTAGTTTTGTCATAGTTAATTATGCTAATTTGAGATTAATTCATAGCAGTAAGGGGAAAATTTATGTTAGATATGGACAAAGTCAAGTACTCCTAGGTTTTGCAATAGAAGAAATTATTAAAATCATGCCTTTTGACCAAATTCATACCATGTAACCTACAGGCTCTGCTTTTCTTTGTCTTCCCCATTACTGTTGTAGGTGCATTTCTCATTCAGAATTATGGGAAACTATTAAATACAGCCAGAGATACTGTCAGGAGTTGGGAGATTGCCAATAATATGGCTGATGTAACAGTTCTGGGGACTGGAGTGCAAAGGTCCGTGTGATAGCATTGTATAAGTCTGGCAGAGCTTAGTATGCTTGGGTTTGGATGGTCTGGCATTGAGCCTATGTGTCTATAGTGTGTGGATAATTGTCTGAGGTGCAGTCATCTGACTGTATATTTATTGAATGTCCTATCACCATTGAAGGAAAAGGCAGATAAAACTTACCCCATCTTTGATGGAAAGTGTTCTCCAGTCTTTAGTAACAATTTGGTAGAAAACTTATTTCTTGGTATGCACTTTTATCAGTCAAACAGTTTTTAAAGGAAATTTTAAGCATAATCTGTACATAATGAAGACACAGTTAGCTTAATATTACTTGCTCAGTAAAATGCATAATTTCAACTGTAAGCAAACTAGACGCAATTAAAACATATGCAGCTGATGATGTGCCCATTGTTACAATGCAGTGCTAGGCTTAAATGTCTGACCATCCCAGATGGATATACTCTTGTTCCCTTATTTTTGAACCTTAATTATAACTATTCAGGATTTCTATTACAAGTATTGCTCAGTGAAAACATTGTAGAACCAAATTACTTATGTTCAAATTTCTTGAATATACTTCCCATAGAAAAATCTTCCAGTAATGTTTTTCTGTAATATTTAGTGTGATTTTTTTCACACACTTTCCTAGATTGTATTTTTGCTGGAGCTGCTAAAGATTACTTAAGCACAACCCCTCCAAGAATATTTTTGCTAAATTTAATAAGCTACTGTTTGCTATAAATCCATCAATACGACTCCACTTTAGGATCTTTTTTTAAGATCAGCATCTTGGATTAAACTTAATTCCATATTTCTCTCCCTTTCAGCAAGCTACATTGAGCAACCTCAGCTGATTCGAGCAAAAGTGCCAATAGTGAAGTTCAGGGATAAAGTCAGGCAAGTATTCTGTTCAACATATTTTTTTAGACTCTGAGATGGGAAAGTACTCTATATATGTACTGTCCATATGAGTAGCCCCACTGAAATAACACTATGCTTATTTGTGTTTTACTATAGTTGTATTGAAAATTTGTACAGCTTGCAAGCAGTGGTAGTCAGCATACTTCCTTAATGGCCTGAAAAACCTCTTGTGGTTGAGATGCTGTTTAGTTTCTGTGATGTTAATTATTAGCAGTACATCAAATATTTCTAAGGGTTATTTGTTCATGGTGGACTCCAGTTGATAAATGGTTCATCACAGAAAAACAATAGTGGGAATAAAGCTGTTGTGAAAGATAATTGTGTGTGCTGTGCAACCGTAACTACTGAGCTACTTTAAGACTAATTCACTGCATTTACACAATACGAACAACACTAAAACAATCTAGATTCTTGTGATGATGTTTTCTTGATTAAAAAATTTTTGTTCAATTTAGAGTATATTCTGCTGTTTTCTAGGGAGGTATTCGGTACTTAATGAAGTATTGCATGTTGTATTCACAATGTTAGATATTCATTTTATGGCCTTTGCTTTTTGAAGGGCAAACTAACTGGAGAAAAGGGAATGTGTTGAATGTTACTGTATTCATTGTATCTTCATTGTGAAGACATGAAAATGAATAATCAGGAGGAATGTACTAGGACAGAGAGCAATGTATTTCTTAGTGTGTATGATAAAAATATCTGACAGGAAAAAATAGTGCATAGCACTCAAATTGGTTAGGAGTCTGAGTAATGTTCAAATCTTCTTAGATTTATGGACTTAGATTTTTATAAGACTTGTGTGTATAACCTTAATGTAATAACATAGTTTGACTATTCTTCCTAAATAGGACGTCAAACAACTCTGTCTCTATCTTATCTTGTCTATATGCTCCTAAAATTTTGCAGCCCTGTCTCTGTCTTTTAAAAACAAATAAGAATACTTCTTTGGCCTCTCTTTATAAAAGCATATCACAGTATGCTTTTATCACAATATACCTTTATCAGGGCAGAAACACTGGTGTGATAAAATTGAATCTGTCATGTTTACAGTTGAACTGCTAAATATTATCCATTTAAGCTTTTCTTGCTTCTGAGGTTATCTAACACTTGTTAGGGTTTTTGGTTTATAGTTTTTTCATTCATACCTAATCCCATATCTAGTTCTGTAGTTTGCGTAATTTTTATCTAGTAACTTTTTCCTCTAACAAAACAAATGGCTGTTTCTCTCATGCTTTCTGAAAGTATTAAACTGCCTAAGCTAAAATTTGGGTTACATGGCTTAGCTAAACTTAACAATGCTAGTCTTTTCATAGATACACAAAATGGTAAATTTGTGGTACGAATATTGAATAAATCATGGGGTTATAGCAAGAATATTTGTAGGCATTTATAGTCCATACTGCAGTTACTTGTTAAATAAGGTAATGGTCATTATATTCATACACTTTACAGGATTTAAAGAATTTTTTATTTCCTACTATATCAAAATGTAATCTTCTTAAACTAAAAGCTGCCCATTGCATTTTTCAGAGACAAAAACGGTACTGTTCACCATCTGCTTTCCTGTGTTGTTTTTCTTGAAGAGGGGAGTGGTGGGGAATGATGTGACTTTGGGTTGGGTTTTTCTTGTTCTTTTTTGGGTTTTTTTTGTTTTGTTTTGTGGGGGTTTTTTGTGTGTTTTGTTTGTTTTTATTTTTTTCTCCCTTTCCAATTATATTTCTTTTACATAACCTGTCACCTTCACTCATCTTTTGAATTTAAGCATCTGCCTCTTTCCAATCTCTTAATGGCCTCTGTCTTTCATAGGCTCATACATATATATACAATCACAGTCATTAGTTTTTTCACAGAAATATTGAAAAATGGATTGAATATTCTGTAGCCAGGGCAGTGAGCTTGTTTTAACCAAAACCAGAAACTAAACATGACAAGCTTCCTGTGAAAGCTGCTTGGAGAAGATGGTAGAATTCAGTGGATGGCATCTCTGCATTTGGATTCTAATGTGTTGAAACTAGTCCGTACACACCTGAAAATTGCCATTTTCCACTTACTTTGATTTTGTGAATGAGAAAGTATTCAGATTGTGTTTGTTCTCCTTTTTCATCACAAAGGGTTTTTTTAGTGCTGTAACAATAAAGGAAGATCTATTGAACTTTGACTATATCTATTTTTTTTTAATCTTTCTCAGGAAATAATTGCAGTGCTGGCTCTGCTACCAGACAAGCCTTTGATTAATTAATGACATTTCTATATTATAGAAGATGCAAAAGCATCCTCTTCTGCTACGTTTCCTGTGCAGTTGACTCTTTTCCTCTTGTTTAGTGCTTTTAGTAAAACTTAAGTCTGAACAGTACAAAAACTTTTTCATTTGCCATAATTGCAACATCTATTAAATGTGCATATTAAAGTACAAAATAACTGCAATAGAACTTGATTAATCAGCATCTGGTAAATAGTAATCTGGCCAATAGAGGTTAATTGGAATTACACATGCAGCCTGACATAATTCTTTATTATATCTGCACATACATTTACTATTATTACTGGTGTTTATGCTTATTTTTACAATGGTCAGAGTGTAGCTCAAGTATGTTTATTTCCTGTACTACTATGTACTATGTTTTTAAAATACAGAATCATAGAATGTTTTGGGTTGGAAGGGATCTTCAGGATCATCTTGTTCCAACCGCCCTGCCGTGGGCAGGGACACCTGCCACCAGCCCAGGTTGCTCCCAGCCCCGTCCAACCTGGCCTTGAACCCTTCCAGGGAGGGGGCAGCCACAGCTTCTCTGGGCAACCTGTGCCAGTGCCTCACCACCCTCACAGGAAAGAATTTCTTCCTCATATCTAACCTAATTCTACTCTCCGTTTAAAAATGTTATCCCTCATCCTATCCCTACACTTGCTGACAAAGACTGCCTCCCCAGATTTCCTGTAGCCCCCTTTAAGTACTGGCAGGATGCTATAAAGTCTCTACAGACCCTTCTCTTGTCCACGATGGACAACCCCAACCCTCTCAGCCTGTCCTCATAAGGGAGGTGCTCCAGCCTCCTGATCATCTTCGTGGCCCTTCTCTGGACTTGCTGTAGCAGGTCCATGTCCTTCTTACGCTGGGGGCCCCAGAGCTGGACACAGCTCTGCAGGTGGGGTCTCGTGAGAACAGAGTAGAGGGGCAGAATCCCTTCCCTTGACCTGCTGGCCACACTGCTCTTGAGGCAGCACAGGACACAGCTGCGACTTGTGTGATGTGGCTGAAGCCCTTGCTGATGAAGACTGAGGCAAAAAATCTGTTGAGTACCTCAGTCTTCTCCATATGCCTGGTAACCAGGTCTCCCATTCCCTTCTGGAGTGGGCCCATGTTTTCCCTAGTCTTCCTTTTAACATGGACGTACCTGGAGAAGCCTTTTTTGTTGCCTTTGATGTCCCTGGCCAGATTTAATTCTATCAGAGCTTTGGTCCTCCTAACCTGATCCCTGGCTGCTCGGATAGTTTCTTTGTATTCCTCCCAAGTTACCTGTCCTTGCTTCCTCCCTCTGTAGGCTTCCTTGTAGTGTTTGAGCTTGTCCAGGAGCATCTTGTTTATCCATGCAGGCCTCTGGCATTCTTACCTGACTACAGTTAAAAGATCATGCTTGATACTAATTCACGTTTAAAATTATGTAATAATTTTGATGCGAAGAGTATTCTAATGTAGTTAATGAAGTCCAAAACCAAATTTTGTAGGCATCAAATTAATGTGGTTTATCCATTTTAACAAATTCCAGGTCCATGTTCCCCTTATAATAATTCAAGAAAATCCAAAGCAATATTCATGCAAACAAATGCTATGTGGATAAAAGTTGGATGTATAATATGGAAGTAGCTGTACATTGGGAGCAGCTACTTCTTTGTCAAAGATAGGCTCTTATTCTTGCAAGTTACAATCTTACTATAGCTTACTGACTGTGAATTTAATATAATTTATTGAGTATTGTGAGTAGTTAAGCTCTATATGCAGTAGGAAATTCAAAAGTTGGGTCAGGGTATGATATAAAGCAAGCAGGTAGTGCTTGTATGCCTTGTTCTTATTTGCTGTTAACCAGTTATTAAAACTGTTTTATCACAAAACATGCAGTGCTTACTAATAACACAGTTCTAAGTTCAGTGTGCTTGTGGATTATCTCTAACCATCATCACAGAAAACAGATTATTACCTTTGACCTCTTCCAATTTTCCTTTTCAGTTCATTGGCATGATTACCTAAACTAATGATTCAGACAATCCATCCTGGCATCAAAAGTTGTCCATATTAAATAATGTAGTAAAAGTCTAGTTGGGAGAAAGATTTGATAAAAATTTAAAAAATATTTGAAATTAAGCTGTCTTAAGGTCTAAATTTGGATCTACAGGTACTGTCTATGTAAAATAACAGTTACATTTTTATAACAATGGATTTCAAGTCTGTTAGAAATTAAAGTACTATAAACAAAATCAGAGTAGAAATCACAGCATCAAAATTGTTTGAAGAAATTTTCTAGAGTATTATCTTAAAGTTACATTTCTGCACATCTGTCACTAAATAGGTAATATTTTGAAATTTAATACAGTAATGTGTGATTCTTTTTCTTCTCAATAGCTGTGTGGAATTTGACTTGAATGTAAACAATGTTGTGGGAATAAGAAACACATTCCTTCTGAGAGCCTATGCATACAGTAAGTTTTTTTATGTGTTTTCTTATTTCTATAAACTTTGCTTTTTGAATTTTTATTTTGGTATTAATATACTGTTCAAATTCAGTTGGTTATATTACTGTATTCTATACTATATACTATATATCTATACTATATATTACATATATATATTTAATTTCCTAATTAGTTTAATTGGATAGGTTTAGGATAAGTTCTTGTTGTTCACTCTAAATATATGGAGAGAACTGATATATCAACTAGGTATGTTTTAACATTTTGAGTGTGACCATCCAGCCAATTCCTTACCCACCGACTGGTCCATCTGTCATATTCATGTCTCCAGTTTAGAGATGAGGATGTCATGTGGGACCGTGTCAGAAGCTTTGCACAAGTCCAGGTAGATGTCTAATATTGGTACAGCTGTTCCTGGCTTCTGCCACAGATTTCCCTTATTCCTGTCAGCAAATCACTGTAGGGCAGACCAGGAGTTCAGATGTGAAAGAGCTGTGGAAGACGTCCTAGTATCCTACCTTCTGTACTTCCTCAGTGCCCACTTTTATAAGGCCAGCAAAATTAACTTTGTCTCCTGACAGAAGACAGATATTGTTGTGTTCTTAAGGTCAACGAGTGAGTTAGTAGCCAGGGGAAACTTGTGATTGAAACTATCATCTCCTCTATGTGCGGGACTTTCCTAAATAGGCAAACTGTATCAATCATAGTCTGTCTTGTCTTCTTTGGACCAGAAAATTCTCAGGAGACATAACAGAAACAAAAGTAAATGGAAACTTTCCTCAGTCTCTTTGCACACTTTTATAAGTAATATCAACCAGGGTGGATAGCATTAAAGTATTAGCCTGCTCACTTAAATTTGTGGCTTAAGTGCTTCACACCACAAGGGAATAAAAAAAAGATCAGTTTAGGTCACATGTCGAAGGTGTATGGGTCCCTCTGTTCCATTAGAACAAATTAGGTGCTGAGACAAAGGACTACTTGTCTTAGTGAACAGGATAAAAAAACCCCAACTCATAAATATTTCTGTGGATGCTCTTCTTTTTTTGAAATTAGCCCGTTTATGTTTTCTACAGCACCTATGCACTGAAGATGATATGGCAAAGTGAAGCAGAATGTCCACAGAAAATGTAGGCAGACTAAGCAGAGCTAGAATCTGATGTCTATGCTGTTGTTATCAGTTTGCTTAATGAGGCATGTGTTCAATTAAATTAGCAATTGGTGGTAGGTATTTTTCAGTTAGTGGAAGCTGGACCTTTTAGCTTTGAGCAAATGACATTACTGAGCATTTTCTTGAGGTAATAGCTTGTTGACTGATGAAAAAGTATTGGGAAAAGTTCACTGGCCATGTTGCACACAACACTTCATTATAGACTGATTACAGGTCAGCTCAAAAGATCTTTTCTACTGTGACACACACAAGAGTCCTGTTTGGAATTTGAACCTGTTTGCATTTTTCTGTCATGGAAAAATCCTATTTCAGTTAATGCATGTTCATATGGTGTCTGTACAGTAATTCTTCTGCATCTCACTGTTAGGGTACCAACAGTCATATTTTTTTGGTTCAACTAGTGATTAATAATGTCAGAAATGTGGTGACTGGTAAGTTTTGTTTCTAAGAGGTCTTATAGATCTAAGACATGCATTCTGAGAAGAGGACCACTTACAGGGGTATGTGTGTAGAACCATTGTGAACAGGTTGTGAGAAAATCACATGCTTCCTAGGATTTTCAGAATAACAGAGAGCACCCCTACTGGTGCTGCTGTAAGGTGTGTGTTGTCCTGGATTAAGTGATGATGTATTGATATATTCCTGTCCTGATGTGCAGAATACAAAACTTTGCACAAGGATGTCAGGTTAGAAAAGATCCTCCAGAACATATGATGGTCTTACAATGCCTTTTAAGGCACTTGACTGATGATATGCTTCCACATATCTGCAAATAAGAAATAAGTATACTGCAAGGTCCCTAGGAGGTGGTCCTGAGTGACATCTCCCTACAACAGATTGCTACCTTAATTAAAAAGCTGTCTATATCCCCCAGAAATTTAGATGATCATACCTGGAGTATGACTATTTACGTTTTTTCTCATGAAAAGCATGTGTCTTGATTTAATGAGTTATTGTATCTCTAACATCGCATCTACATGAGAAGCTACTGAGGACAAGGCAAATTTAAAATTAACGTTTGTATGCCGGGGTTACTGCTTTCATGGATCTTGAGGAGAACTCAAGAATGAGCTCTGTGTCCTCCAGCCAGGAGAATTCTTTTCCCTGCCCTCAAAGTTTGTATAACCTAAATGAAAAAAAAGAAAAAAGTTAGATGCAAGTTAATTCAGGGAAAATTAGTACAATGAACTGGAGAGAACTTAGAAGTAGAATGTGACACTGCTACATTGACTGATGCATACAGTTTTCTTATCTGCAAGTTACCTGCCATACCCCTTGTAACGTATCTATGGCTCTTACTACTGAAAAGACTGTTTTCATATGCAAACTTTATTTTACTGATTTTTATAAGATGGATAGTAGTTGTAGAATAAGTAAATTCTATAAAATGTTTGCAAAAGGTAACTTCGAATACAAGATTATCATGTTGATCACATAGGAACAAATGTTGATTGATTGCTGTCTAGTTAAATGTGATTTTTTTTGAGATCTATTTATTTTACTTGCAGCTGAGAATCGAGTTCGTCCATTAGTACTTGTTGTTAAGAAGTGGGCGAGTTTTCATGACATAAATGATGCCAGTCGGGGTACTTTAAGCAGCTATAGTCTTGTGTTGATGGTTTTGCACTATTTACAGAGTAAGTATTTTTTTAATGTGTTGAAGTGGTCCCTTTTAAGGTCATATTTGTGTAGTTTTCCTCTTTGATAAAACTAAATGCTGGCAGGAGTCATCTTCCACACAGAAAAATCTGAAGATAATAGTGGGTTTACTTCATTTCCATAGTGCTGTATTTTTCTTTAACAGGTGGACCTCACCTCTGGAGTCACAGTTAACAGCTTTAAAAAGGTTACCAAAAAAAAGAAAATTTTCAATGTACCTGTGTAACTATAAAATAAACTCAAGCGCTAGTTAACAAAAATCTGCCTTTTAACTAGGGAAAATAAACTCAAGCTGTAGTCAACAGAAATCTGCCTTTTAACAAGGGGAAAAAGCTAAACATAACAATTTCAGTGTTTCTTTGGGTGTTTATTTTGTGGGGGTTGTTTTGTTGGGTTTTATTGTGTTTTGTTTTGTTTTTTTTTTGAGTTTGGGACCTTCCAAGAAAATTCAAAGGTACAACAAATGCTGTGGGGTCATTTTTCTGTCTTCTGATGTTTGAAGGACTGAACATGGGGGACATGTATATGCACTACTGTGTTAGATTTTTCCACTGATTACTGTCCTGTGTAAGGTGACAAATGTTGAAGTACATTAGAAGTTGGGATATTTGACTACCAGTGGCAGCATCTTCTTGTAAGTTTAATATATTGAAATATTGAACATCAGTGTGGAGCTGGAGAGCTTTACCTGGGAAACTAAGGATCCGCGTTGAGAATTCAAACCAGTGCAGTCCATAAATGCTTTCAAGGAATAGACTGAAATAAGCTTATCCCCCTATTTCTTTCATTAGAGGAAGTCTACATTTGTGATTTTTGTGGTTTGAAATTCTTGCTTAAGACTTAAGGAATCATTTAACAAATAATTTAGCTCAGTATGAGTTTCTTGGTTGTTTATTGGGAGAAAAGTGAGTTTAGAAAGGAACACTAAAAGCCCTGAAATCTACGTCTTGTAGAGTAACATGCCTGTAGAAGTATTTTCTTAATTCCTGTCAGTTCATGTATAGACTGTGTTTTGCTGTTTGTACTCATTCTACATCTTTGTTGTAATTTTTTTGCAAGGTGCTGATTATTCTTCATGTTATTTTAATGACAACTTGTTCTTAACATTTTATGATTGTATCTGTGGACAAATTGTGTAGGTTCTCATTTTAGACTTTTTCTCCTTGTCAGTTTGTGTAGGTTTTAACTTTTTTGTAAATAGTGTAGAAACAACATTTAGCTCCTGACAGCTTGTTTGGCCTGGAATGTAGGTACTCACTATAGTGTGCATAGCCAACTATTAGTTTTAAAATTGTGCTACACCCACTCTGTACTAGGGTGGAAAGCTTTTTATGATAGGTGACTTAAGCTGGTGGCTTGCTTCCAGTTTGAACAGTATGTGTAGTAGAGGACCTAGGAGGGAGTTTTGTGTATTTGGGATCCAATTCGCTGTGTTACTTCTGAATTCCTTGATGCCCATACTCTGTCCTTGTTAATGTGCCAATCACGAGGACAGTATGACATAAACTCGTATATCCAGTGACTGCGGCTTTTTCATAGATTTGTTTTTGTGGAAAGAAAATAAAATGTGGCCAAGTCTTTTGTCACTGCTCTGAAACCTTACTGTAGGTGACTGAGTACTTGTAGATCCTTAATTAAATAATTAATAATTGTAGAGCCTTAGTACATACCAGGAAAAAAAAAATCAAACAAAAAATGTGGATTTGGAGGAGAAATTACAGTGAACTTAAAAATGCCAGTGATTATTAGATAGAAGATTGAAAATGTTGGGAACCACTGAAAGTGAAGATTGCTGTACAAAGGTGAAGCACATGCAGAAGAAAAAGTATTTTTGCATGGTCTAGCAATTAAGAGACCATCTTAGCAGTGACTTGATAGGCATGTGATAGTGCTACACTTTTAATGGAAACTGACCTTTTCACTTGGAAAATTATTCTCCAGATCTATTTTAATTGTACCATAGTCACTCTAGAGACTTACATTAAGTGCTACGTGCAGTCATGGGTAATCAACCACTGAGCTGTGCGTAAAAGTAATGCACAAAAGGGAAGAGAGGGGGAGCTACAAGGAAGTATAAATGAGTAAGCTTGCCAAAATGTTAACAACACTACATACATGAGGGTATTTGCTGTAGTCATCAGTGGCAGCTGCCACAGCTGTCTAAGGAAGGGGGAAAAAAGTTCAAATAATCCTTTTCATGCAAAACTCATCAGTGTGCCGCCTGGGAAGGATCAGCAGCCTGCAAATCAAAGATGAGCCTTTTACCTGTGCTGCATCAGCCTTTTCTGCTAAAAAAGGCCGAAGTGTGGCTCTGAACGTGGATCTAGCACCAGCTGTCTAGATTCTGATGTTTTATTTATGCAGATTTTAACCTTTTTTTTCTTCTCCACTTCTGCTACATTCATGTGATGATACTGAAAGTAGCTTGTGTCCTAGTCGTAGAATTTCTAACAGAGCTTTTGTTGATGTTACTGGGGAGTGAAAAAATAAAAATAAAAGCATTCCTTTGCAGTAAATAGTGTCCCTGTCTTCACTAGGCAGATTGCTTTCCTTTACTACTTAATACATTTCCGTATTCTTGTACTTGTGTGGATGTCTTTGGACCTAAGGTTAGTGTGGCTTGAGTTTATTTTGTAGATACATTAGTGTCTTGTAAATGAACTTCCCTTCAGGTAACAGGTCCAACTATCTTGTACAGTAAAAAAAGGAAAACTCATGTGACAAATGCTAGTGGCAAGTGGTAATTTTTCCCCTGAATTCCATCGTCGTACAGGAACAGATAAAATACCTTGATTGCATGTATTGCTCAGATTTTGTTGCCTTTTATTTTAGTGTGGCAGAGAACTGGAAATTATCCAAGATGTTGAAGAAATAAGATGCTCTTGCATATTTCTAAACACCCACAAACAAAATAAAAACATTATTAAAGCAGCTGTGATCATATTATTAGCAGTCCTGCTGGTTATTATAGTATACTCTTTGAAGATAACCCAACCATGTTCTGAGAATTCTGCTGTTCCGATTCTTAGTCCCTATGGAGAAAGGATTCTGTAACATCTCTTCCCTGTGAGACCTTGTCTTGAAGGGTGAATTAAGTCCCAAGTCAAAGTCCTGTGTGCTGAACTTAATTGTCATTCTCCCTAGTGAATGATTTAGACCAATTATTTAAAAGAACCTTGCTGAAGACATTATGTTAAAGCTTTTATATGATCACTGCTCTAACAGTTCTGTAGCTGCTCGGAGGCTTGAGTGAGATGTGAATACTTCAGGACTGTTCAGTGCATTTTGTGTTTGCTACTATTGTTAAAAGTGTCTGCATAATCTCTATAAGCTTTGTCATTTAGTAGACTAGCTAACAGCATTAGACTGTATTTATGTATTTTATGTGTATTTTGTTAGAAATGCCTACGAACTGTTGGGCATTTTAGGTTACTTTTGGAGACTCAGTATGTAATACTTTGCAGCTGAAGAATGTGTGTTTTTGCAGTATCTTGAGACTTCCCATGCTGTGATAGAATCATATTGTATTAGATGTCAGATAAAAAAGAGTGAAGCTCTGATTTTTTTTTTTTTTTTTTTTTTTTTCCTTTAGGGAACCTAGATGTGCTGCTTATAGCCATAATTAACATGAGTTTTTAAAGTTGTACCCAGCTGCTGTAGAATTTTTCATGTCTTCTACAAATAGTAGTATCTTAGTAACAGCTTCTCTTAGCTGAATTAACTCCTTCTACTACTGTATACAAAATAAAAGTTATTCAGCAAATCTTTCTACTACTATATTTTGTATGCATGAAAGTGAAGTTCTTGATAGGTGGCTTTAAGATGGAATTTTAGTCCAACCCATTGGTGTAGTTGACATGATACTGTTTCCTGTGAATTACATGAATGACAACTTTGAACTTTTTTTTTATAGCCCTACCTGAACCCATCATTCCTTCCCTCCAGAAGAAATACCCAGTAAGTATTATTTTACTGCATCACATGTGTATGAAGCTGCTTATCTGAAATACATGACCTCTTAAGTATCCGTAATGGATTCAGTTAAACGCAGTCTGTAAGCCTGGTGATTGATATACTAAACATAAGCATAAAAAGGTTAGTTGCTGCTTTTGGTCATTTCCAACACACAGTTGGAAATGACTGCTAATGAGATGCTGACCTAATCCTCTTTATGCTGACCTGAAATTATCCCTGTGTCATCTCTGACTTTCTGATTCTTACTTCTTAAGTAGTGTTTTTCCTAACCAGCCATGGTGTTTCGCAATTCCATACCTTCCCACAGCTGTAGAGTTGCCTGATATTTCTGGGTGCAGAGAGTGAATGATACATGTTTACTAAGGAGACTTTGAGACCTCACAAAATTGGGCTTCAACCCAACAAGAAAACATGTTTTTGGGACTTTGCTGTTACAACCAGCTCATGCTTTGTTGATTTCCAGAGAACTCTGTGAATTGGTATGCTTTGATCTTATGAAGCATTAGTGCTGTACTTAGTGATACTTAATCTAGGGAAGAGTACCTAGAGGTAAGAGCTACCCTCCTAAATATTTGTCTGGGGACAAAAGAGCTGTTGCACAATAGTTCTATGGTATAACTTCTTTACAGAAATTCCTCAATTCCTTCCTCCTTACCTTTCTTCTCAAATGTCACTTTTAAAATTTCTTTTTTTTCATAGGTGCCATAGTTTGGTGTCCCTGTCTACATATGTTTTTTTACTGTTGCTGATAATTGTGATATCAGCAAGGTGGTATCAGAAAGTCATACTTTATTTTGCATATATTTCCTATAATGCTGAAATGGGAATATTTGATGACAGGTGTATATCAGCGAGAAAATACTGTGGTGTCAGCCGTTTTGGGTAATTAGGATAATCGAGACTGAGAAGAAAGCTTTGAGCTATAGTACACTGGGGTTTTATTTCTATTTTGTAAACCTTCGTAGGCATACCTGTACTAAATCTTTATGGTCTGTATTTTTTCCTCGGATTTTTTACTGTACAATATACCTTCTAATTTCTTCATTGTTAACGCTCAAAAGCATTTGAAACTCTTTCATTTATTGTACACTTAGTTTTATCTGCTGGGTTTTTTGAATTGTTAAATTTGCTAATTATGTTTGTTTAAAGCTCACATGCTGTAGGATTTTAAGTTTTGTGTAGCATGCAATTTAAACAATGGTAAGAATTAGTAACTTTTGACTTCTTTGTAATAATAATGCAAACATTTATATTTGTAGTGTGTGAACTGTGTAAAGGTTGTCAGAGTACTATGCAGATATTAATGGTTTAAATGGTTAAAGTAAAAGTATACAATAACATAAGTTGAAAAATCTAATTTTACTAAATGCAATGTTTTATCTTCTGTTGTATGAAAAAAATCACTTGCAGGTTCCTGTGTTTCTAGAACAGTGCTGTAGGAATAGCATATTTTACCCTGTTTCAACAGAGATTTCTTTCTTTGTTAGTTATCTTGCCTTTGGATGGACTAAATATTCTAGGATTGCTAATAAAATAAGACTATTTTATATATGCTTACTATAAAACCAAGTAAAAATTATGGGTTAAGTTTTTTTAAAAGTTACACTAGAAATTTGCAAATATATTTTTGGTCTACAGTTGCCATTTGGAATATAATTTAAGTGTTTAAAAATTGTGAAACTTACAATTTCTGAATATCGATATTGCAAAGAAGTTTAAAATGAAAAGGAGAAATACACAAAGGTGATTCTGGTCTTGCAGTTTGCAGTAATAATTAGAAAGCATGAGCGCAAATGTCAGTATCCAAAAAAAACACAGGCTTTTCTTGTGGTTGTAGCTGGTCAAAGCACTGTCTCCCTCCTAATACTACACATAAATACTGTGTCTTCCCCTCTGAAATAAACCAACCTACTTACAATTTTTCAAAATCAAATCTGCATCTCCTTCTGCAGCCCCAAACCACTTCTGCATTTTGAAGGAAGCTGCTTATTTTAAATTGTAGGTGCCTTGTAAAGGAGTCATGCATACCATGAGCAAGAAACAAAAGGCTTGTTCTGTGACTCAGTATATCCCCGCTGCAGATATGAAGGCTGAGAAGTCCTGGAAACCCACCTGTGCATTCTGTTGCCATGGGGGAGTCTCCAGCAGGCATTGAACTGATATGTTTTGCAAACACTGGTTTAGAGAGAGTATTGGACCATATGAGATATGGGGTTGGATTCTGGGGTTTCCTGTTCCCCCAGCCAGATGGGGAAGATAAGTAGCCCACAAAATGTGTTGATCAGCTCTGAAGTCTATACAGAACTTGCCTCCAAGTCAAGATTTTAGATAAACTCTAGGCCATTATGGCTTCTGTTTGTTTCACCTATGTGTTTAACAGAGGTTAACACTGCTAGAACTGGGAGTCAGAAGCGAATGTGTGGCTGAGTCTCCAATGTTCAGAGCACCCTGACATAGTAGCTTAAATCCAGATGGAGTTGGGTTTCCACATAGTGCTCTGGATCATGAGCTTCATGTACTCTAGCATGAGCATATTTTTGTTTCCACTCTCAGCTTCACAAGCAGTCATATCTTGCAAAAGGTGGGACAGAAGATGGGATGGTGCTTACTGTAGCGCCTTCATACACAGGAGTCAGTCCTCGGACAGACACAATTTGCTTCACTTCTTGAGTTGCACTTTTTAGAAGTATAAACGTGAGTTAAATATTCAATTGTAAGACTGGGAAAGGATATTTTATCTGTGCAAATATAGATACCTATCAAAAGTGGCAAGATACTGTGCTGATGTTACCACTGTAAACTTTTGAATGAAGAATCTTGTACAGTCAGTTAAACTCGTTATACATCAAGATACGAAAATGTACAGATTTTTTTGATGCATGCTGTGTTTTTTTCCAGTGTGTAAGGTGGAGTGAGAATATGGGTAAGCATTATGTAGCTTGAACATGAAGCATGTTGCTGAATACTAGTGTTTCCTTGAGAAATCAGACAAGCAAAGTAAAAATTAGAGATCTAATAACAAGGTAACAAAAGTCTTTGGGGTCCACTTTTCTGGGGTATTTTGAAATAATGCGTTGTTCATTCATATTTGTTGCTCAATCAGATTCTGAATTTATTTTCCACTTAAGACAGCATTAATCAAAGACAAGAAGAAAATTAGGGAGTAGTTTTAAAGTAGCTGATTTTTTTGCCTTCTAGAGCAAGTTAAGAAAGGAAAGCTTACAGGCAAAGGCGTACTTGAAGCTACAGTAGTTTGAAGGATGCTTTGTAATTCTGTTTTATTATCAACCTCCATTAGTGCAGAATCTGTAAACTGTACCTGGTTCTGTTTGTCTATTTATTCCCAGAGGATTAAGGATAGTAGGCAGGAAGAAGAGTACTGTTATCCCTGTTTTACAGTAGGTGAATGGAGGTGGATTCAGGCTAATGGATTTTCATGGGTTTCCTGTGGCAGAAAAATGAGCCTAGGTATCCTATGGCTAGTCTGACCTCTTGTTCACTGGACACTGATTGCTTTGTTAAGAAACAGCCCTAAACAAATGACATTGTTGGTTGTTATTATTATATTGAATATTGGTATATCTTGACAGAAGTTTTCATTAAATCTTCCCCATGCCCAATTTTAAGTCAGAATTAATTTCGTTTTACATGTAAAAATTTCTAATCTGGCAAGAGCAATTTCTTCCATAATAAATTTTCTGTATTTATAATGTGATGAAACACTTTTTTTCCTTCTACATGTGGTGATCAGCAGCTCAGAGCGATTAATAGTTTCCTTCGGTTAGTGTAAAAAAACCCTCCTTCCAGAAAAGTAGTTTGTTGTGCTTTCTATTCTGTAATATTTAGTTGTCTTTCTAAGAGTCATTTTCATAGTAGTGTAACCACTAAAGCCAGTGAAGGCAAATGTCTTTCTGACTAAGGAAAACTTTGAATTGCCTGACCTTTGCAAGGTCAGTGTACTTAATATACATGGTAAAACTTGGATCTGCAGCTTTCATGAAATGGAACTTGCTTTTGGGAAAAAAAAAAAAAATCATAATTTTAGATTGCAGAATTGAAGAGTTTTAATCCGAATTACTAGATGAAGATTTAGAAAATTGCCTTCTAATGCAGATTAGGAACTTTGTCTCTTCTGCCATGGGTGGGAATCTTTTGAATGTGGTCCATTTCCTGCTCCTCAAATGGGGAATCTTTCAGTTTCATCACTGCTGCTTATATTACTTCTGATCAGTTGCAAACAGAGTGAAGAAACAGACAAACTACATGTCCTGAAAAATGCTTTCATCTGGATCATACTTCAGATATAATCATCGTTTTCAAAATTCAGATTTGTGATTTCAAAACTGCAACGTTTTGGAACTTCCTATTTCATTAACTGCTAACAAACCTTATTGAAAAAGTATTTTTAGATAAACTTGCATATCATACCCATCCGCTCTTTCGTTGTTTCTGAATGTAAGCACACACACATGAGCACAGATGTATTCTCCTTTTTTGCCGTAAGTTTTATTACAGCTATATTTGATATTTTGTCTCTTGCTATTAGCATCAGCGAAATCGAGAATAAAACTCCTTAACACAGGGTTTAGCATTAATGAGCAGGCATTACTTTATTCGGTTAGGGACATGAGGGAATCATCCCACCTAACATATCCACCATATGCTACCTTAACCAATATCACACTGTTACATTCATATGCATCAAATTTCCTGGAACTAATTATCATATTTACACAGTTACTAGGCAGGCTGTTTGGGTCTCTGAGGGGCTTCCAAGGGGGTCATCGTTGGTCTCTGGCTTTTAGGAGAGGAACCTTTCTCGAGCTTTGTCTGAACCTTTGAATTATTCTTCTTCTATGGTAAGGGCTTGGCCATTCTTTGGTTCATGATTTCACTTTCTTCTCTCTTGCCTAGTTTCAGCTAGTTCATAGTTCTTTAGAGGGCTTTAATCTTCCAGCACAGGTGCTTCTGATTAGGAGTCTTTCAATTTATGCACTCCACATGCTGTGGTTATCACTTCTGGTCTAGCTCAAGGACCATTGTGCAACAGACACATTGCAAGTGTCCAGCTGATTGCTTTTTATTTAACCCTTAACAATTCTCTTCAAATTCTAATACCCATTTTCCAATGTTACTGTAACTGATTTATTTTTTTCTTATTCAAATGATGTACAAACACTAATAAATTAATTATGATCAATATACAAAATGTAAATAAAATGTACTTAGTGTCAAGATTCATAAGAAAAAGCAACATCCTCTCTAAGCTTGTAATAGTGCTAAAGAAAATAGGTTATTTATTATTCTGAAAAATAATATCCCAAAGTCTAGCTTTTTAGCTGCTCAGGATGCCAACCTCACTGTGATGACAGATTTTTCTTGCAGTTGAGAAATTCTCAAGCATTTCATCATTCAAAGCATAAAAAGGAAAATCTTGTTCTCCTTTCCTAAACTGCTGCCTCCAAACAGAAACTTACTTGTCTTACTAGTTTTAGTAGGCATCTGTTGTAGTAATTTCATTGCATTTCTGTTTTGTATTGTTTGGAGCTCAGCAGCCCTTGTTCATTTTTTCCTCCTGTGTCCATTTCCTCATGAGTTCTTATACTGCTAATACTAATTTCATTTGTTGTGACTCTTCCACAACTTTCTGTGGGAATGGGCAAGGAGTAACTTACACTTTAATATCTGTCTGATTAACTTTAGGCTTAAAACTGTATATACTGTATAACACAGGAACAGCTGTTCCCATTTTAGATCTTTATATGCTGCATAACTACTTTTTATGTCTGTCTCCATGGGTTTTGGTGTGTTCTGTTGGATTGTAAACTGTTAAATTCTGAGCTCTGCTAACTATAAAAATATTTTATATGCAAAGTTACCCCATGTGAGAACAAGACTTGAAATTTTTCATAGCTGGAAGAATGGCCTTTTTTCCCAGAAGGTGTTGCCGAAGGCTCCAGGAAGTTTGCTAGAATGGGAGTCCCAAACTTTCCAGTCCTACTGGTTTGATCTGATTGCTAACCATACTTTTCTGAGAGGAAGCACTGCCAGCTGTGAACATGGAAGCAGTATTACAGTGTATCATGCTTTCAGTGATATTCTAGTACTATAAAGTTTGAGTCATGCTTGATACTAGTCTTTAAAATACCAAAGGAGTGAGAGAGGAGATATGGTAATGACTGAATAGGTTCTTAAACTTACATAGATGTATTTCTGTATGTGAATGTGAAGCTTGCTCTTGTGTATCTTGGGTTCATTTTCCTCAAAATATACAACACTGATGTAAAATACAGTATCCTGGTATTACCAGGTTTTAAAAATTGTTTCTCCTTATATGTACCTCAGTCTCTGAGAAGAACCTAAGGGATGCAATGGATAGATAAACTGTATAGCACATCTAAAACCATGTTAATTTAATCTTGTGTAGATTCCTTTTTTAAGCTGACAACTGTGACTTTTGTTTACAGCAAAACATGACTTTTTCTTCCCCACCCCCACAAAAAAAGCATACTTCAGCTTAAACACTGTGTTCTGTGTGTTCAGGTTTTTTGTATAACTTTAATTCTTTCAGGTAGGTTAGCTTGAAGAGGCCTGCTGCAGTCTTTGAACTTACATTATGTAGGAGGATGCAAGTTCATATTAGAGCCAGTGGGTTTCATATGCAATTTTAACTCTATTCTGTGGGAAAGTCAGGCCTTCCTTTTGTATTGTTTCTGTACCACAGTTATGGGAACTTGGTGATAAGTGCATTAGCTTCACCTGCCCTATCTCAGTTCAACTGCAGCCAGCTCAGGCATGGGCTATCTTACTTCGCTTCTACTCATGTGGTTTTATTATCATGTAAATGCAAGTCAAGTTCAAAGATTCTTCCACGTTAAAATTCTTTAGCAAATAGGAGGAAAGGGATGGTCTTGGACAGTCCTGTAAAAGATGATTCTACCTGAGTTCAGGGGGAGTAACTAGTATCCAAGAGGAGCACAAAAGAAATAGTCCTTTGCTTGTAAGTTGTCTTTGGACTTCTAATAAGCAAATGATAGGCAGCTTTTTTACTGTGAAAAATATATGCACCTAGATCAAGGCTCTGTGTGTGTATACTCTCTGATTTTATTTTGACAGGAATCTTTTGATCCTGCTATGCAGTTGCATCTTGTTCGTCAAGCTTCAAGTAACATTCCTCCTTACCTCTCAAAAAATGGATCAAGCCTTGGAGATTTGCTAATAGGCTTCTTCAAATACTATGCCACAGACTTTGAGTAAGTAATAAGCTCATCTTAGTGTTTTAAAATATGCAAAACTCTGGTTCCTTCTATTCAATATATATCAACACTTTATAGCCCTTGAGAAGAAAGAACAGCAGTAATGTAGGAGTGGTAACTGACAGAGGAAGTGGGTGAAAAGACAAAAAGACAATAGGAATGCTGATAAAGAGTATGACCTCTTTTGCCTAGCAAAACATCAGAAGTTAGCGCTTTGTCCTTTAAAAATAGCTAGGGTTTGTTATATTACTGTTCTAAAACTGCCTATCCATATGTGAGAAAGATCTGTTATTCTTAGTCATAATTTAAGGTATTGGTTGTGATATGAATTACTTGGACCTCAATAGTTTCGCTTGTCTTCTGTCAACTGGAGTCAATGGAGGTAACTGACCAGGTGGCTCCTTACTTTGATTATAATTACACATCAATATAGATGACATCTAATGAAGAACTCTCCAATATATAGTTGATTCACTAACCTTGAATTGTTAGCTTGCTAGAATCAGAGTTTAAATTTTGCATCTGGACCTTTTTGTAGAAGAGAAGGAGAAGCTCAAGTTCCGAGGGCAGCTGAGAGAGCTGTACATTACAAAAATTTTGCCAAATTGTCACTCAAGAATTTATTAAAAAAAGTCTTTGTATAATATATCAAATGGTTGTATTTCACTAAGCTTAAAGATTTCCTAAAGAACTTGTTTCTGAGGCAGTTGGTTCATACATGTTGCTGTTGTGTGTATGTGCATCATATCTATTTCCTGGAAAGAGAACAAAGTTAACCTGGTTTCAGCTGAAATAGAGTTAATTTTTCTTCTTAGTAGCTAGAATAGTGCTGCGTTTTGGATTCAGTGTGGGATTTGGTGTGAGAAGAGTATTGATAATGCACTGATGTTTTTAGCTGTTGCTAAGAAATTAAGGACTTTTCAGCTCCCCATGTCCTGCTAGTATGCAGGTACACAAGAAGCTGGGAGGAAGCACAGCCAGAGCAAGGGATCCAAACTGAGCAATAGAATATTCCATACCATACAGCATCTTGCTCAGTATACAGATGAGAGTTGGCAGGAAAGCTTGCTCTCTTTCAGGATTGCAGTTTCAGAATTTTTTTATCTTCTCTGGGATTGCTAGCCACGAATGAGCTGGGCATCAGTCAGCAGGTGGTGTGCAATTGCATTGTGCATCACTTGTTTGTATATTCTATTATTCCTATAATTATTATTAGTATTATTTTAATTTTATTTGCGTTATTAAATTGTTTTTATAGCAACTCCTTGCCTTCACCCCTCCAATTCTCTCACCTATCCCCTGGGTGGGGGAGAGCAAGCGAGCAGCTGTGTGGCATACGTTTAACTGCTGGATAGTCATAATTTTTGAAGTGTTCATATTTACTTTGGTGTCAGAAGTGAACAGTCATGAAATCCTTAAAAGAGAAAACCACAGGGGAATGCACCACATGTAAAATATGTAAGCTAAATCCATGTGACCTGTGGCAATTCATGAACTAATTATACTTTGTGCATGCTTAACACCAATTCTGGGAGATTTTCACATAAAGGATTTTCTTTCCAGATAAGGGTGTGGTCTTTTGTCCTAAAAGCTTCTCCTGAGTACCTACCTTTTCAGATGGCAAGGTGCTGTTTTCTAAACAGGTAAAATAGAAAACACTGCTAGAGGATATCCTCAGGTTCCTTATTTATGTGGAACACTAGATGCATCCTTTACTACTTGTCTATATAACAAACTGTTAATCTTCTCATATATGAAAGTAAGTATCTTTTCCACTAAGTAAGAAGTTTCTGGTTTGCCTGTGCAAACTAGCAGGGAAGTTCTTGTCCAAATGCAGGAAAAATAAATAATCTGATTTTTCTGGTTTGGGTGCTTGTGAGCATAGTCACGAGCAGATTTCTGCCTAAGTCAGTAGCTGGTCCAAGAAGGTACTTTTTTATCTGCTGTCAGACGTGCAGGATATACTAAGAAGTATGAAAACTAAAAATGCTGCAGTATCAGTATTTGAACTGATGGTAATCCCTGAATATTATTTTTCATAATGATCACAAATGAGGAAAGAAAGTTACTCAGATTTAATCACAGAGAAGCCTATGGTTAAAACAAAGCTTGAAAAAGTGGACGATGAAGGTAGGATAGTTACTGTCAAGGGAAGAAAAGATTTTTTTAAAAACAACCAAAAAAAAACATCTGGCTTGTTTTTCCAGTGTTAAGTACCTGTTAAATTTTTAAACATTTGACTGGTGATATTATTTAAAAAAAAAAAAAAAAAAAGGCTGCAAAAAGTAGCCATTGGAATTCCTGTGTTGAAAATGTTACATAGCTGAGAAGTCGTATCAGGAGATGACACACCTAATGCAGCACCCTATATTATATATTTATTTTTAACTTTCTGCTACAGAAATAAAACTTAGTCAGGTGTACTGTTTGCTTGATCATCTGTGTATTCCTGTTCACTTCAAACAGGATTTATAGTTGTCAGAGCATGTGTCTCAAAGATACTAAAATTCCATGTAGTTTCATAAAACCTGGTAACTGCCTGGAGAAGAGAAACCCAAATTCATGCCCATGCTGGGGAAAAGGCAGGCAGGACATGGTGTTTAAACATTTTTGTGTGTGTGATAGCCAGCCAGTGAGAACAAATACAGTGTCATGCTATCCGCAGTATCTGTTACCTCTGCTTTGAGATTGATGGAAAAGATGTTATAGGTGGGAACGAGGATAGGAGTTAAATACACACAACATAGGGCTCTTAGGTCTGTCTTTCATGGAAGAGCTCATATCTTACTCCTGAATGTGTTGAATATTTTCAATAATGTAATCTGTAATTTCAATACTGTAATCAGTATTTTTTTCAGTGTTTGCTTTCCCTGTAAAACATGTACTAGTGTCTTTATATACAGAAATTTTGAGATTATAATTCAGATACTGTGACTGTTAAGTTAGGTCACATTTAAATGACCTGTTCTGTGCCTGTGAGCCTTCACTATTGAACTGTAACATCTGTTGAACTCTAACAAGTTTGATGAAAAGATTACTAAAGAGAATACTACTTCAATTTTCATACAAGTGACTTTTGTAGATCCCTGTCTTTGGAGTAGGACACAATACTACCAGGTTTGATACACAGGATCTGTTTTGCTCAGAACAGCATGCAGGCAAGAATGATCAGATCATGTGTGAAGATGATAATTTTGGACAGAATGAGTCATTGACGCCACCTGCCTGGAATGCTTTCACTGATAGAGTGTTTTACGTGTATTGGTCAGGAAGATAAAGGGAAGATGGAGGTACATTGTTTGAAGCTTCGGCCTCGGTCTAGCAAAGGCCAGTAGGTATTTCAGTTAAAATTTATGTTTTATTTTAGTTGATGTAGTGAATAATATTTAAGGGCACAGTGGGTCCAAAGAGTAGGGCACAAAGGAAGGAACAGGAGCCTTACACGCTGTGCAGCTATGAGTAGGTTCATCTCCTTGTGCTGTGTTTTCTTTTCCCTTATGCTTTTAATCTGCCATGTTTATTTAGAATAAGCTATTTCAGAAGACTGCTGATTACTGTGTATTTATGCAGTGCCCATTCCACAATCCTACTCTGAGATTTTCAGTGTGTCCATAAGGAGTAATTTACATGCCCCTTCATAAGTTACCAGAAATGTGATTTGGAAATGGCTGCTTATATCAGACTTACACACTACATATGGCAAAGTTTGATTTGCAGACATGGTTGTGTAATTAGCTTGCCATAAGAGTTCAAGTCTCATTAATGTTTCTTGTGATACAGCTGGCTAAAAGTATGCTAAAACTCCATTTTAAGTATTTCAAACTGGTCCCCTGTTGGTTCATCTGGTCCCCTGATCACACAGTGAGTATGACCAAGTAAAAAATGTATGGAGGTGTTCTCAGAAGAAAGTATTTGGAAACTGGTCCATGTTTACCAGGCCCTCTGAAGACAGTGTCTGATTTCATTACTGCAGCTGTGAGTGAAGGCAACAGGTTTTCACTTGGATGGCTGTTTACAAAGCAAGACCTTGAGGCAAGGCCTTGCTCTCCTGAAGACACTGCTAGGAAACATAGAGATTGGCCTTTGGGACGGTAGTTCTCTTAAATTTAGTGTTTCAAGTTACGTAGCAGTTGTCTGAGATCACTCACTGATTAAGTTGTATTTGGTAGACATGAGAAAAGATTGGTTACGTTATCATGACAAAATATACAGCTGTTCATGACTTTCTTCAGGGTAGAATTGGCTAGGAAATAAAGGAATAATTTTTAATAGTATATTGAATAAAATATACTTGCAATTTGTACCCAGTGTGCTTATGCAAGTGGCTTTGGCTTATAAGAAAGCTCAGGAAAAGATAAGCTTTTTAATCTATTTGTAGCATATTCATACACACACCTGGAAATCCCTAGTATTTTTTTTTCCAAATTCTTGCCTTCTCCATGGGGAGCACATACCTAATGTGGGCAGTGACATCAGAAATAACTGGTAACTGAAATAGCTGTTTAAATGGTTATTGTTAACTTATGGATTGGCAGTGTGTATGTGGAGAATATTTGCTTTGTGTTTGCAATAATGACATTATCGTGTGCAAGCCAAAATGGTTAAAATTGATACACAAATCATTTGCTATTGGTAATTCATTTCTAATTTGGTCTAATTTTGATACCAGGGCGGGGTTAATGAAGGTTTAATGAGACTGTTAGAATAGAGACTAAATAGCTAGAAATGTCACTTCTTTTATTGCTTTTTGCTAAATCAGTGTATGATAAACACGTTTATTTTTGCTGAGAAATCAAGCCAAGTATAACCTAGAGAAAAGTCAGTCAAAAGAAGAATTACATTCTTGAAGTGAAACAATACTGCCTGGTTTAACCAAACACAGATGAAATACTTTGTTGTGTGACTAATTTTATTTTTTTTTCCCCTGGCCTGGATCCCTCTGATTTTTAAATATCCTTTAAGAAAAAGCAGAAGAGTTGAATTGTCAGCTTCTGCTTGTGACCAATGTTCTGGAGCTGTAGTTTAAGCTTCTTTAATGATCTAGGCACATGCATTTTCTCTTTTGTCTTTTTTTGTGTTGCTTTCTTTTTGTGCAATTCATCTGAATTTCTTGTTAAGTTTGTGTTGATGGTAGTTTATTAAAAAGACATGATAGGAGAGTATTTGGTGCTTCACAATATCTGTAATTCTTGCAAAAAGTCTACTATGGGAATTAAGGAGAGGGTGAGTAATGGGTTAGAATGAAAGCTTTAGTTTGCATTGGATGATAGAAATGATCATCACCTGCACTATTTTTCTAAAGAATATATCAAGAGAAATCTAAACATACACATCAGTGGGTGAATAAGTAATGTAAGGTATCCTAAACTATGCTTCATATGCTGTGTACTGGACCATTTTGAAACAGGCCCTATTCATATACGTAAGTAGAATAATAATGTACATGTTCTATGGAAGCACAGTTATTCAGTTATTCAAACAGCTGACTTTCATAAGTGTCTTTAATCATGAGTTATATCCAAAATAATTTGTAGAATTACAGGCATGGATTTTTAGCTGGTATAAACTGTCTTATCCACACCAACTTAATGAAGTTATGACAGGTGACCTGTGGCCTGGGGAGCACGGAGTTCTTCTAAATTTAACTGATAAATTATAGACTGTATTTTGATTTACAGTGATATTTACAGATTTACTGCAGATGGTTGGTACTCCCAGCCAAGCTCCTCTCTTTTTGCATTATGTCAAAAGATTGATTCAGTCAGGAGATCACATCAGGTGTACGTAACACCAGTACATCTAGCAGCATGCTACCAAGCTATTTCTAAGCCCCATTTAGTCAGGGCACATGGTGACGCATGGTTTGTGATCCAGGTGTTTTGCTGATATGGTAGTTCCCTGGTTTAGTTAAGAGCAACTGAAAACTGGCTGGGTAGATAAGAACATAAAACTGCAAGTGGTTGCTTTGGCTTCCATTATGCTTGGCCTATTGTTGTGCCAAGCATCATAAAGATCATAAACATGCTTGGCACATTGTATAGATTGCCCTGTAAACTGCCTGCTGTTCCTGTTTCAGTGTGATCATTTCCTATGGTTTTGTTGTTGTAAAATTGTGTGCAGAAAACGGTAACATATCTTCAAACATGCATTTGAGTAGTTGCTCTGTTGTTGCACCTGTAGGAGATCTAAAATTCAGCACATACAAAGTGTTAGTGCTTTCTGATAATAGGCCCCTTGCAGTAGGAATACTGTCCTGTAAGCAAGCATTTATATGTCTTTATGCATCTTTATAGTTTGAATGTTTTTTTTAATGGAATGCATTATGTAACTTCATCTGCACTTGAACTCCTTATGTTCCTTCTTTCCCCTCAGAAAATTCTGAAAGATACATTGGAGGCTATAATTTCTTTTGAACTTAAATGTAGGTGTCCAAATTCAAGTTGACATTGTTTTTTGAAAAAATTACTGTTGTGAATATATGTTACTCATGGATATTTGTGATGTTTTGCAGATGTTTTTGTAAAAAAACTTGTTTGTGGAAAATTTTTATTGTTTTTTACTCGTCATTCCTTACTGTTATAGAGTTAATTTATGATGATTAGACTGTTACATTAAATTACTCATAAATTACTGTGTTACCCAGGCTTATGATATAGCAATTTGACATTTTTTTTAATTTAAACTGTTGTTATTAATTTGGAGTCAAGAGTTAAAAATTCTGCAAATTTTTTCCTTTTCCCTAGTTGGAGCCATGAAATTATTTCAGTTCGCGAGGCCAGAGCTATTCCAAGACCTGATGGTATTGAATGGAGAAACAAATTTATTTGTATAGAAGGTAAAATGTAAAGCTGCATTATCATTTTTAACTGTCAAGACACTATATACATCTGTCAATTAGACTTTACCTTGGGTGTGTTTTAACAATGCGCACATGCAGTATGTTTATATAGTAAATTAAGTTTAACCAATGTAAATAGTTTTGGAAACAGTCCTGCCAAAAACATTTGAGAAGGAAGCTTGAAGTTCTATAGTGTTTAAAAATAGTACTCCTGACCTTTTCTTCAAGAGTGTTCATTGCCCTGTTATGTTTAGAACCAGGATTAGGACTTTGACAAGGAATGGCCTTTATGACAGTAGTGTGTGTTCTCTTGCTCTGCAAAATAGATTTCAGTTTTGCCAACACTGAGCTTCTGAAAAAACACAGGCACATATTAAGATTACTCTCTAAGAATATTCTTTGTTCTAGAAGTGCTCTGGCATCCCAAGCTCAAGCAGTGACTAGGTTATGCATATGTTGGTCTCCCTGTGGCTACTATTTTTGGCTGGCTTGTGAATGTACAGTTTCTGCAGAGACTGTATGATGCCATCCAGAACTGGACGGTAAACCCAGGCTACTTTTTGGAGTTGTAGGTCTCAGCCTTCCAAGAGCAGAATGAACCGGGCAGTAGCACTATACAGGAAACTTGCTTCATGTGCTCCTCATGCCTTCCAATTGCTGTGAGGAATCTGCAAGGAGAAGATGAATAGTTAGCATGTGTGGGAGATGAAGCTTGGGCCAGAGAAAGATAAGACAACAGACCAGGAGAAGGATTGAGGTGTTAGGAGAATGAAAACAGAAGCAGGGAAGGGACTATGAGAGGTGCTGCATAACTGGAAACAGTTAACACAAAGAGGTAAGAAAGGGGAGTGAGAATTAGAATGCAGCTGGTGAAGGGGAATTGGTTGGACAAGGGACTGTGGATAAGGAATCAAGGTGGAATGGGAACAGAATTAGAAGTAGGTGGTTTAGGACACTAGGGTGAAGAGGGAAGGTTTGAAATGTGAGGTGGCCTGGGTCCCAGCTGTAAATAAATTGAGGCTATTAGGATCAGGATATGAAGGGTTGAAGTTTTAGGATGAAACGGGAATAGAGCTTGGGCAGGAGCCAATGGTATGGAAAGAGTTGTTACAGACTGGGAAAATTTTGCTGCGGGAGGAGGAGTATAAAACAGAAGTTCTGTGGCTAGACAGACATCCCTCAAGATTGCTGGGGGTGGGAGTGCACCCATGTATGTATGCACTGAACTTCCTGCAATTGTGCTGCTGTGTGCAGAGAGTAATTACCTCTTGCTGAAGTTAGTTATTCGTTGCCCAGAGCTCACCGATTTGCCTGTGATCATATGGAGGCAGTGTGAAGCCACCTGATGAGATTCCTGCTCTTTATTTGACCTTTGGGGGAAAAAATTGACTGCCAGTTTTGGGGAAAAAAGTACACTGAAAGACTACATACTTGACTCTGCAGTCTCAGAGTTGAGAAATGTGAGAATTAGAGTATCTGCACAGCTGAAATTGCTCGGGATAGTGTAGTACAGGCAATGCCAAGGCTCTGGTCTGAATGTGGGAGGTGGGAATGCTGGGCAGCTGTGTCTGCTGCTGTCACATGATACTGATCTGCTGTGTTGGGGGGGACTGTGTGTTTCAAGCCCTCAGTTTTTTTATGACATTACAAAGTGGTTGAACGATTGGGTTTTCTTTCAGGTTGGAAAATAGAATATCGGCATACAAAATAGGCACATTAGAATTTGTATGAAATAGGCTTGATTACGTACAACTTCTCCTTAAGAGTGCATTTTGCATTTGGACAATTAAAAAAGCAAAATTATCTATAGGTGGCACATCTGATTCTTTTCTGTTACAGTGTTTTTCAAGACTTTAAGGGGGGGGGGGGGGGCGGGTTTAGCCTCACACACCAAGATTCTACTTCTGAATTGGAAGGGAAAAATTAGGTTTCCTACTTCAACTCATAGTAGGCTTTATGTTTTTTTGTAACAGGTGTTCAGCTGAATGAGTTTAACAAAATATGTAGATAAACCGTGTACTTTGAGAAGAATCTTTTAAAAGCTATCTAAAGATGCCAGCATATTCTGTTTTCCAAGTCTGTCAGATTTTCCAGTTAGCGGACTAAAATTTCAGTACTTAGTATTATTGCATATATTTTTTTTTTTAGTATTTTAGGTATATTTGTTCAGAGATTACACAAGTCTATGCCTGCAAGTTGCCATAATTTTTCATGTAACACTGTGTTTAGGCTTGCTTAAAGAAAAAGTTGTATTCTGTTTTACTTTTTATTGACCTTATGACTTACTCTCACTTGTATTTCTGCTGTTAGAGAAACATAGTAGACATGTGCTTTCCAGACAGATTAAAATCTGCTAAGCTATTAGCATTATAGGGCTACAGAGAACACTGCTTTTAGCTAATGTTTGTCAACATTCCTTGTCAGAACCTCTAAATTGCTAGCAATATTCAGGTTTCAGTTTAAATCTTGACAATATTAAATAGTATCACACACTCTTCTGTTGAAAAGGACATAGTTCAGAAAAGCTAGAAACATGACAGTTTTGTGAGACAATTAAATAGATAGTCATTTAGGGAAACTGGATCAGAAGCCATCTAAGCTGCACCTGATTCATGCTTGTACTTTTCAATCTTTCAGTTGCACATGTTAAAAATAATTCTAAAAATAATTCCTCAGGGCTTGGTTTGCTGCAGTTCTGAAGTTTTATGATTTCTTATATTTTCATTTAGCCTTTCCATCAAGCATCAGTGTTGAAGTTACATTGGTTTTTTTCTTTTAATATTCTCATCTCTGTATGTGAAAAAATAACTTATGATGGACTCTCACAGTCTTGATGGTTAGAAAATGTAGGGGTGTAAATGGTAGGTGATTGCAAAATTATTCTTGCTGCGCTCCAGGGAATGAGTTTGTCTTTTGACAGTCAGTAAATATGCAGGAGGAATAAAGTGAAGATGTGAGTCAGCTTTTGTGACTAGAGTACCTTTTTTCCCACTGACAGTTTCAGAAGATTGTACAGCTTTGCTCTTGTTGCTTTAAAAATATATATCTCTTGATTCAACATAAAGTGCGTAAAGGTCCTAGCATTAAAGAACAGTTAACATCATGTTTAAAACACACAAAAGAAATGCTGTACTGCTTCATATGGTAAGGGACATGGAATTCTTAGTAGCAGTAAGTCACTCTGTCAAATTAAGTCACTGACTTTAGAAGACTTTGTACTTTTTTTTTTATCTGACAGCCAGTTTTTTGTTCCAATCTATGTGTATGGTGTATTCTAAAGTAAAACAGATCTGCCCATAAGCATCCACTGAAAATTTTATAGATATAACATCACACAAATTTGTAGTCTCTTAGAAAGTGGAAGACCCAAATTGTTAACTTATAAATAGGTATTGTAGAATAGGTAGGGACTGATAACGTATATTTTTACAGCAGTTGATACCTCTTATATAAAAAACATTATAGTAAATATTTTACTGTTGTCCTTGTATGTCACTGAGAAACTGTTGAATGAGGTGAATCTAAAGAGATGCAAGAGACGCCTGTGTAGTAAGTCTCAAAACATTTTAATATGCAAAGTCATACTCTGATATGTCATCATAGACTATTAAGAAGTAACAAATAATTACTGATGCATAAATACAGCACAAGCATGGTATGCTTCAGTAGGTATAATAACCTGACTTCAATATGGATTACATACCATTAGAGCATTCAGGGTTTAGGGCTTTTTTTTTGGGATGAATGTTACGCAGAACTAAAGATTGAAAAGCAGTGGTATGGACCCTTCTGGGTTTTGTCTGATTACTTGCCTCAGTGAAGACAGCCTAGCTTTAGATTTTTTTAACACTTAATATTTGTGTTTGATCTTGCAGAGCCCTTTGATGGGACAAACACTGCTAGAGCTGTACATGCAAAACAGAAGTTTGATATTATTAAAGATGAATTTCTGAAGGTAAAAATTACATCTCATTTAATTTTTCTGGTCACTTTGGTTTTCAAGATAGTTATACAAATGCTAGTCATTGAATCTGCCTGTTTCTGGAATTTGTGTTATGAGTATTTCTATGCTTTGTACTATATAAGCAAAAGAAATGTATTGGTTTTTTAAGTATTGTGGAAAATTTAGTAAGAATATTAATGTCTGCCATCAAGCATCAGACTTAAGTTGAAATGGATACTTGAAATAGGAGACACTTTGTCTTCCATTTTCTTGTGTATGTAAAATTCTAATGATGGTTAATAACTTTAGAATCACAACTTCATGTAAGAGAGGAATTATCTGGTTGGCCATGCTCAAAGAGTTGAGGTCAACAGCTCAATGTGCCAGTAGAGAGCTGTGACGAGTGGTGTTCCTCAGGGGTCAGTGTTGAAACCAGGGCTGTTTAACACCTTTTTTGAAGACATGGACAATGGGATTGAGGTCACCCTCAGGTGTGGTCAACACTGGAGGGCAGGGATGCCATCCAGAGGGACCTGGACAGGCTTGAGAGGTGGGCCAGGGTGAACCTCATGAGGTTCAACAAGGCCAAGTGAAAGATTCTGCACATGAGTCAGAGCAATCCCAAGCACAGATAGAGGCTGGGTGATGAGTGGATTGAGGGCAGCCCTGCGGAGAAGAACTTGGGGGTAGTAGTGGGTGGAAGATCAAGTATGAGCCAGCAATGTGCACTCCCAGCCCACAAATCCAACTGTGTCCTGGGCTGCATCAAGAGCAGTGTGGCCAGCAGGTTGAGCGAGGGGATTCTCCCATGAGACCCACCCTGGAGTACTGTGAGCAGCTCTGGGGCCTCCAGCATAAGAAGGACACAGAGGAGACCACAAAGATGATCAGGTGGCTGGAGCACCTCCCTTATGAGAACAAGCTGTCAAACCAGAGTGAACTTGTCTTTTCAGAGTTTTCAATTTAAAAATTGGTTTCAAACCTGTGTGGTTTTCTGAACAAAGTAAAAGCAGTTGTTCGATCCTAGCTGTCTGGAAGCCTGTATAGTAGAGTGTGATGGCCCTGAAAATATTTCCACTTTAATAGGAACCATAAAGAATGACAATTGCTTAAAACTGCAAGTACTTGTTAATATCTTACCCTTTTTTATAAGAAGCCTAAGGAACCTGTTTGTCTCATTGCCCTTGAGAGATTATTCTTCCGGTGGTTTTCATAATGCATTGTGGTTTAAATACATTCTGCATAAGGACAGGAGAGTCACAGCACTTATTTGCAGGTTCATGGCCTAACAGATGTGACAGATGGGTCCAGGAATTCACACTAGAATACACAAGAAAATTTAAATAGCCTATTTTAAAGACATAGTTAAGTTCTGGAATTGTCAGAGTATAGCATCTTGTATCAGGCACTTTAACACGTGTAAATTTGAGACAATTATTTTGCATAATGTCAATGTAGTACTTAACATTATTTGAGTATTATTTAACATCTCAGTCACCAGAAATACACTCTTGAAAGGCTCTACCTTCCTTAGTAGTTCATTGCATTATGTGTACCTTTTGGATTTTTTTTCTTCCTTTAAAAAACAAAACCAAAACCCCTTTCTTTTCAAGAGGGGGAAAAATATCAACCTTATTTTTGTGGATGTGAGTCTTGCTGTTTACAATGGTATTTAAGTATTAATGGCAAAGACTATTTAGCCTTTTAAAACCTTGTACTTTTTTTCTCAGTCTTGGCAGGTATTACAAGACACGAAAGACCTGAACTGTATATTACCCCTAAGTGCAACCACACAGAACAGATAACCTTCTTTCACTTTCTTCTTATTGGATCCTGCTGAAATGAAGAACAGTATCAAAATCAAGAAGCAGATGCCCTGGGAATTTTTATGACATGTTTTTTTCTGTAAACTTTTGTTAAGGAAATATTTTTAAGAAAAAATGCATATTTTATTATCATCATTTGTTAGTACAGCAGTTGTTTCAAAGATATGTTTTCTGAAAATGCCTGGGTAGTTGACTTCTAAAAGAAACTCAAAGCAGCAGACCACAAGGATAAACCCATTTCAAGGAAAGTACAGGAATATACTGACTTCTTGTTTCCATAATCTGTCTAATTATTAATGAAATTAAGACATTCAGAGCTAAACAATGTGCAAGTCTGACTATATCCTTAAGGACTTGCACACAGTACCCACTTTGTGAGGAACAGACAGCTCATGCTTTACATCTGCTTAATTACAGTAAGCACTGTTGCTCAACTTGGCACTTTCCAGTTTTATTTCCCTTTTACATGGAATAACAAGGAACAGTTTATGAAAATTAAACTAGATTATGGTTGGTAGTATGCTCGATATCAAGAACTGTAATCTGAACTGCAGTTCTAGGACAAGTCAAAATAAAAAAGGACAAATCAATATATATGAATGTTTCATATTCACACAGTCTAGGCAAGAGGTTTTTTAGTGCTTCCTTTTACATGTATGAAGTACTAGTGATGTCTGCTTTGGGGGGGGGGAAAAAAGGCACAAAAATCCCCACCACAAAACCAAACAACCAAAAAAACCCCCACAAACCAAAAAACCTCCCAAACAAACCAAAACCAAAATACCCCACAGACCTACGACTGCTACAATAAGCCAGGTTTCTGTTTTAATTTTGTGTAAATATTTGTAAATGTCAGCTACTGTAAATTGAATTTAAATAATTAATCTTGAAAATTCTATCTTTTTCAAAATAAAGTTGTGAACACTCTTTAGACCTCCTGTAGCACAATCTGTCCCTCTCAAGTATTTGTTTAAGACCAATTAATTATTAAAGTTTCACCATTGATGTCAGCTTCATCTTGTCTTTTTTTAAGTTTACTATTTTGTATGGTGTCCAGTGGAATAATTTTTATATAGTGAAGATACAGCATACTTTTCCGGTTCATTTTGTACTGCATATTTTAAATATTTCTTATAATTGAGTATAAAGGGAAATGCTCTGTAAAGGAAAGACCCCTGTTTCAAATTGTAAACTTCTCTATAGGCTACTCTGCTGCATCTGTGTACAGGTAAGTTTCATCTATTGCCATCTGTAATGAGATTGTGGAAACCCTTATAACTGTAAAATAACAAGCATTATCTCTTCTTGTGCAACTTCTGAGTCCTAATTTATTTCAAGTTTTACAATTTAGAAGTTCTAGAAACTGAATTATTTGCCTGCTGTAAGGTTACTTACTATACACTTCATCTAGTCTATGTAAGCTTTTGGCTTGCTTCTTAAAACAGCTTAGCTTCCTTCTGCAATTTTAAAGACCCTTTCAGTTTTAATCCGACTTTAGCAATCCACTAAAATGTTCTTCCATTCATATGTTCCCCCTCACTGCCCTTCCTCTTTATAAAATGGTAGACTTAGTGTCAGTGAAATATTCACTTTTAGCTGCTTTATATAAAATGGGAGCACATTGTTGGTACAAGATGTCTGTATTCAAAGAGACTCTACAAGCCCTAGGTGAATTTTTGAGAGGGGAGGACTGCTAATTTTTTAAAAATGTGCTGGCTATCCCTTTGTCTAGAAAATTTAAAACTTTCCCAGTGTAGGATAAGTAAGAATGGACATACATGTTCAAATTCAGCAAAAATGTATTTCAAGTGAGGATGTGAGGTGCAAAACTTTCTGCATGTCTCTTGAGTTTGACGCATTAGGTGATGCTATGCAATATATCTCACACCTTAAATTACTGCTTTATGTTCGAAACCTCTTCTTCCTAATCATTTTAAAATAGTTAAAGTTGTGGTACCTCTGTGCAACTCTGTAAAAATTGACCCACGAACTCAGTAATCTTTTTAACACAAGCCAAGATCTGTAACCACAATAGCCTGTGTCTTTCAAAAGAATCCTGCATTTTTTCTCAAGTTTATGTACTGGTAAGCTGCATTTATAATCAGAAATATAAAGTCTAGATGGTAGTTTTCTCCAATTGTTTGGGGACAAACCTGCTTACAAACCAGCTTGTCCCATCCTCCCTAACAACTGAAAACTCGCCAGTAATTTACTGTGTTAGCTAAGCAAGGTGGGAGGTAAGCTTACAGCAGAAGAAGCTAGTGGGTAATCTGCCAAGAACACAAAAAGTGGCAGGGCTCTCACATATTAAAAAGTAATCGAAGAGGTCTGGAAAACAAATTTCACCACACTTCGTGTTATATTATTCTCTTGTCAAGCCAAACAAGCAGCACCACTTTCTGTGAGTGAACATAATTATATTTGTTAAAGGGTGGGCCACAACTTTTGTCATGAAACTTCAGATGAAACACCACAAAATAAATGGTTTGGGGAGAGTGAGTAGGACCTGAACTTTAACTAACTTTGGATTCGGTTCTGTGTAGTCTAAAGTTGTTCAGAGGTTTAATGACCTGGATTCTCATCTTCTCTGGGCAGGTATCCAGAGTGAGAAATCCACTAATGGCTACCATAACTCTTAGTGTTAGCATGAAGTTTTCTCTTTTCATCAACTTCAAGATAAAAACCTTCACAGACCTATACCTTGGCGTACACCCTAGCTGGAGTAGTTTTTCTGGGAGACCTTTGGTAAAGGGTTGTTTTCATGGAGCTTTTGAGATTTCAGCATGTGTGCAAGATGATAACTTCTCTGAGGCTTCATACTGCCTTGAAATAAAAATGCTTTAGTTCAGCTCTGTTAATTTAGAACTAGTTTTGACTACTCATTTGGGCATTGGGTTTGCCTGTCATTTCTCACCTAATGTCAGAGGTTACTAGTGTCTCATCTGGGATTTTAGGAACTCTCTTCAAGTCAGCTAGCAGTGCTGCTAATTAACAGGCTCAGAGGTCTATGGGAGGAACAAACCTTAGCAAGAGCTAATTCAGTAACAGTAGTACCAGAACTGGCATAGGCTGCACACTTAAACTTGAAGCTGGTTTTCTAGCTCTTTTGCTCTCACTTCTCCTAAAATGTGATTGTGTAAGTGTACTCTCTGTACCTTAAGGTGATCTGACAATATGACGGGTTACTTTTAAGAAATCCCTTACAAAGTATTCAATGTAAACCAATTTTAAGACTCAAATTCAAGGTTGGCATGGTTATTTGGGAGAAATGGGCAACCGTGGTAAAAGGATATAAGATGATTAGTAGATAACCTGAAGTTAGAGCTTGTCCCAAATGCTTATTTGGAACCAATTTGAAACCAATGCTTTACTTGAACTTGCCTCACTGGACTGAATTCACAGTATATTTGGTGTGAAATTTAAGTCCATCAGATTTGTCATTCTTGATTTAATGGACTCGTTCTAGATTATCTCACATATATTTTGCAGTGTTTTGCTGTGGTGTCTTGTTTTCTCTAATCCTTCTGAGTTTTGATATAAATCTTTCCCTCACTGATTTTACAGGGTATGATGCTTGTAGGAAGAGCATGAAAGAATATGCTATTTTGGTCAACTTACAGGTCAAAGCAAGTTGTAAGAAGTACAGAAGGGTGAGCACTAGGTCTGGAAATAATTCGAAGGGTTCTGGTAAAAGGTTACTCACCTTTCTCTTGCTGTGCTGAAGACTGATTCAAAACCTGTGCAATATATTTATGCTTTGTATATAAGCATTTCTAGAAGATTGCAATACTCTTGTCTTTTATGTGTAAAGAATGTGAAGTCCTCTGCCTTACATATCATTGTGCGATATACACTGTGTTCCTGATAAAATGTGAAGTTTAAGTTAGTACCATTTTCAAGTACACTTCTTCAAGAAAGTATGTTCTGACCTTGTAAATTGTGTACTTCACTGGGTAGGTCAAGAGAGCAGACAGGTTTTATCTGTACATACTGTTTAGGAAATATTTTACTTCAAGTTAAACTATCAGTAGAAATTTAATTTAGCATTGCAGAGAGAGCTCGTACTCAGAAGTACTTTCTTGGGTGTTTCTGTACTTGTAACACAAGGAAGAATTTGCTGACTGATTTATAACCAGCTGTTTATTTGAAGGGAAAAAAAAATAATCCAAAACAACCCATCCCCCCACAAAAAAAAAAAAAAAAAGAAAAGAAAGAAAAAGTGGGATTAGAGTTACACTGTGTATTCAATGTTTTAAAGCTGAAACAGCTTGGAAGTTCTTTATTTAGAATCATAGTTTCAGTGCTTCTCCCCCTCTTCAAAAATACAATTTTTAAAAAAGTCATTACTTTGGGTAGTGCAGGTTGGAAATATTTCCATTTTGTCTGTGAAAAGCACTTCATTTTGTGTTAAGTGCAGAATAATAAAGACTAAATGTGTCTTAATCTAAACCCTGCATGTTAATGTAGTTTTTTGCTTTAAACTAAAATTGGTTCAAGTCCCCTCAAAGAGGAAATTTAATATGTCCTGTGATGTAGCACATCAACAAATCTGGGGGTTCAAATATGTTCACTGTGTGTTAAAAACTACAGAGCATCTGATACCTTTTACGATACAGTATTAATTATTAAAGGTATGTGTCCTAGGCTCATCCACTAGTAATTGTATTTGCACTCCAGGTATGCTCAAAGGTGGAACTTACTTTTTAACATACTAAATGGACCTTTTGTTGGGGCCGCAAGAGAACTTTCCTGCTTCCTCTGTGCCGTCCACCCGAAATTCACTAGAGGTGGCTTGGGAGGGTCTGCAGGGGCTGCAGCCCCTTCCTCCCTGCTGCCGCCCGGCTGCCCTGTCCCTCTGCTGTGAGAACAGCTCTCCGGCAGCAGCGGGTGGGCCAAGGAGGGGCAGGGGTCGAGTGGTGGGCAAAGGAAGGAAGGGGGCAAGCAGCCGGAGCAGCGACCGACCGCCAGGTTTTGCCACGTGTCCTAGCACCAACCCAGGGCAGGACCAGCAGCGACTCCGCGCTGTAACTTCGCTGCCTTCTATTTAAAGACTCTGCCCTGAGTCAGGAGAAGCGAGAGCTGCTGGGGATGACAGTTGCTTCAGGCAACCCTGGGGAGGACAGGGTCGGGGGTAAAAATCACCGGCGAGGGCCTGAGCTGGGGAAGGCATGGAGGGGTACCGCGGCACCGAGAGTGACAGGGCGTCTGAGACCTCGTCTTTCGTAGAGGATGAAGAAGAAGAGGAGGAGGAAGAGGAGGAGGAAGAAGAAGAGGAGGAGGGGGAGGCTGTGGACCCAGAGGAGGCAGAGGAGCTGACTAACAGGTACTGCCCCGCCAGGGACTCAGCCTCGGGGAGAGCTGGCAGCTCCATCCCAAAACACCAGCCCAGGGGATGCCAGGGTGGGGCCCAGAGCTGGTTTTGGTGCCTTTCCCTGTTCCCTTCCCCAAATGCTGTAGATAAAAAGATGGGGGGGGGAGGTGGGGGGGCTGGGGGGGTGGGGAAGGGGGAGGGCTGATAATGGGGGGCTCTTTGGATGTCTACGGCTGTAATTAAGTTTTGTGCAGCAAGAACCTGGCCCGAGTTCCCTGAAAGCTTTTCTATTTAAAGATCTTATGGCATGACAGCTCAAATGGCATCTCCCTCTTCTCCTCCCTCCTTGGCTGACTCTTTGTCACATATCGATCTTAAATGCTCTGCAGATTTGCTTGTCAGGGAGAAAATGGTCAAAGATTATAATAGCACAGTGAAATTTGTTCCTTTTTATGGCCTTTCTTCCTTCCCTCTTGTCCCTGCCTCTTCAATCTCTTCCTCAAAAAAGGGAAAACTTGTATGTACTCACCACCGGTGGTCGTGACGTGTAGCTAATTTTAGGGGTGGAATAAGGAATATTTTATCATTTTGATTTTTTTTCCCTCCCCTTAACTGTTGCACAGGAACAGTTTGTTGTCTTAATGTTGCACTCCCACCATCAGGAAAATAACGAGCGAGACAGTGGCCGGGTGCCCAGCACATGGCCCCGGTCCTGCGCAGGATGCAGAGGCGTCTGCAACCCGATCCATGCGGACGGTATCCTCCAGCCGTGCCAGCACTGTTGGGTTCCAAAAGAGACCATGAGGCCTGAGAGTCCCCCAGCACGTATCGGGTTGCAGGATTTCTTCCCTGTCTTGAGTAAAGCCTACTGGTTTGGGGTGGATACTGTAGGAAGAACCAAAGACATTAATGTTGACAACTTAAGGTATTTCCAGAAACCATTTTTTTAAGAAATTTCAGTCATATAGTTCCTAAAACCTCAGTGCTGTGGAGCCACCCTGCATTTACAAACGACTCTGGGTGTATCATAGTTCAGAGTGCTTACTGACATTGCTGATGGTCAACTGGGAGAAAAAAAGATGGCAGAAGAAAGGCTGGGGGTGGGGAGGCTCTCTGCAGCCTAACCCATCCCGAGTGCTGTGGGAATTAAAGCCAGACAGGGAAACATAGCCCAGGACTGTAGGAAAACCACCTCACAGAGGGAATAGAGAGCTAGTTTTCTAAAGTGGGGAGACGCCCCCGCTGTGTAACATTGCTTTCCTCCTGGGGCAGATGTTGACTCTTCAGTCCCATACTGGCAGCGAAGGGTTACATGCTGATAAACACTGCTCACACAATCCTGTGAGAAAATCAACTAAAATTGGTGGAGTGGAGCTACAAGCTGCAGACAGCTCAAACACAACTAAATGGATATTTTTTAATGGAACCTGCAATTAAATGGCTAATAATAAAACTTAAATTGTAAAACATAAGTAGGAATGGCTAACTTTTCCCTTATTGGGAGGGAAATCTGTGTAGCCTCGCAGTTATTTACTGCCTGTGCTGGGAGGCTGACTTCTCCACGAGTGCCTGTTAGTTCCTCCCCACAGCTGGGTCTTGCTTCTGGCTGGCAGTTTCCATGCAAACTTGGGCATTGCATTTCACCACTTAATTAAATCACAGCAACCATTCCCCTCAGCTCTCACTTACATTAAGTATTGCAGAGTTTATCTCTATCCTTAACTATCTTACTAATATGAGAGGTCAAAGTCTACCAGAGAGGTTTTTAACAGCTGTGCTCAGTGGTAACTGGGTACATTTAAATCTAACCGGTTTAATTATATTAAAGGAGATGTAAAATTTTGGGTTTGGCACAGGTACAATAACTGCACCAAGCACTCAGCAATAGCTTAGTAAAGTTAAATAAGACTGAATCTTTAACTGCTTAAATTTTGTTGTTGCAAATGTCAGCACGGTTGTTGAGCTTGAGGCCTTCTCCTGTGCTGAGTGCCTGAGCAGAGCTCCTGGGAGGTGCTGGGTAACCACAAACAGCCCGGCCAAGCCTCTGGGACATACTTAATCAGGCTGTAGGCTAATTATTTGTTGACAAACAGGTTTTCAAGCCCCTGTTGCAGAACAGATTGTGTGTGTGTGTGTGTGTGTGTGTGTGTGTCCTTTGAAAATGTGTCTTAGAGAAGGTGTAACCAATATGCAAACTTGGCTGAAGACAGCCTGCCCTGGACCCTGCCATCACTGATTTATTTTTAACAACCCCAAGCTCTCTTCTGCTTTTGTCTTCCTCCTCTGCATGCAGTTGAACAGCACCTGGTTGTGCAATGTTGCAGTCAGCGGGAAATTCCCCACTGGCTCCTATTTCCACCTTTCAAGCATGCTAAATATCCTCATACCTATTTTGTAAGAGAGTTATGCGGCAAGATGGCTAGCCCAAGGTCAACATGTGCCTGTGTAAAAGAAGCAAAAGAGCCCTGGTGTTCCACTGGGACACCAATCCCTGAGCCCTGACTGACCCACCCCACTTCCACACCAGTCCCTCTGCAGCACCTGCGGGGAACAAAATCCCAAAAGATTCAGCAGAACTTATGACTTGCCCCAAAATTTTGATGCATGCCCATAAAAAGCAGAAAAGTTTGGATTTCACATCTTTATTACCCTTTTAAATATAATCTTTAAATCATTTGGTTTCCTAACACAGGTTTTTATACAAGTAATGAGACCAACATGCAGCATCAGAACCTATAATAAAGATGGGATAAGACATATCCATGTCAGAATAAATACCCCACTGATCTTCAGAGGGTTTATGCAATATTTTCTTGCCTTTGGGCATTTTACTATCTCAGATAGATGGATCGTGGCAGATGTCTTTTGCTTCTAGGTCCATGTAGAATTAATCATTGAATTGTAGAATGGTTTGGTTTGGAAGGGACCTTAGAGACCATCTAGTTCCAACCCCCCTGCCACAGGCAGGGACACCTGCCACTATACCAGGGTGCTCCCAGCCCCGTCCAGCCTGGCCTTGAACCCTTCCAGGGAGGGGGCAGCCACAGCTTCTCTGGGCAACCAGTGCCAGCGCCTCACCACCCTCACAGGAAAGAATTTCTCCCTTAGATCTAATCTAAATCTACCCTCTTTCAGTTTAAAACCGTTACCCTTCATTCTATCCTTACACTTGCTGATAAAGGGTCCCTCTCCATCTTTATATTTCTTTCATTTCCTTTCTTTTTTTAGATTAATCTTTTATACAGAAGTAATATTTTGAAAACATGTATTGTGTGTTTTAAGTCAAACATAAGTATGAAGTCAGTAGGTTTTAATTTTTGTGTTGATAATAGTGACAATAAACTGTAGCTATAGGAAGAAAATAGTTTACTGGATAACTGGTTTACATACCCACTGGAATATCTGTGTCTCTAACAACTATATGATGGATGAGCTGCTCTGATACAGTTGTCTCTCAGACTGCTCCTGGTTGATTTCCTTTCGCAGTGGAAAGGTCTCTGGATGAGTCTGTGTTCAGGGCTTACATAAAAAAAAAGACTCTGCAGCCAATTTATATGCATTTCCATGTAGCTGGTTTGCCTGGAATGGGCATGGGGCTCGTTAAGTATTCATTTAGTGGTGACCTGAGATCAGTAAATGGGGAGAAAGTACTGGATTTTTTTTTTTTTTTTTTTTTTTTTGAATTAAGTGGTCCAATCACAAGAAGATGGGAGGTGTGGAAACTTTAGAGCTTTTGAGTGCGGCAGGGCAGAGACTTGAGTGAAAGGGCACCAGGAACAGCTGAATGGGTTGAAACCTTTAGGTGAGGGTGTTGCAGTGGGGAGCGGTGCAAAGGGTGACTCCCACTGCTCATCCCAACCCCTGCCAGCAGCTGCCAACCATGTTTTATTTCTCTTCAACCATTTAGGTAGTATTATCTGAGTCCTTGGTAAAGGACTACATGGTAGTTTACATCTAAAATAACACTCGGACTTCAAGAAGTTCCCCATTAGGACTCAGCAAACTGATGAAGTCACTGTGCAAAGGAAGCCTCCCATCCAGACTGAAGTATCTGTGGAGGGAGCACAGGCATTGAATGAATGACCTGACTGGTAGAGAATCCAGAATGCAGGAGCAAGGCAGGCCTCTGAGGCACGGAGGTGCTGTGGTTTCTCAGGTAGCATCAGAAGCCGCAACTGGCAGTGCCACCAGCCATGATACAACCTGATGTCTGGAAAACATAAAATCAGCACCACAGCAGGTTGTGTCCTTTCCCAGACATTTGCAGGCAACAGGGAAGGAACAAAATGTGTGGGACGGGCCCTGCTCCTGGCTTCCACCTCCTCTTAATAAACATCAGCTTTGTAACAGAGTGAGCAACCATGTTACTGCTTTTAGATAATTATTCATTTGAATTTGGACGCCTGCGTGAGCCACCGTGTTGCCAGAAGGGACATCATTAACACTGGAGGAAGTTAGCAGTAGGTTAACAAGTGAAAGGCTGTGTTTAAAATAGTGACTTTCAGAAGCTCCTAGTCCTCTTGCCCTGAAGAAGCAGATGGATGAGCTATAGCCCTAGGAAATGCAGAGCTGTAAGCAGAGACCTCGCTGAGCATACTGATTGCTGTAGGGGGAAAGGGACAGCATGGTAAAAAGGCAGAAACTACAGGAATGTACAGAACAAAACCACAAACACAGACAAATAAAGTATTTCCTTCAACTGGGGAGGCAAGCTGTCCAATACCAATTTCCACCTCCCCTGCACTGTGCCTGCAGGGCTGAAGTAGGAGCCTTCAGGGAATGAGAGATCTTGTCAGTGCAGGCCACTGCCACAGCTTGACAAGGCAGTCATTTTATCTGAGTTGTTTTCAGCTTGCAAAGTGTTATGCAGCAAATGGCAAAAAATTCTGATGATACCAGGAGTGACAAGGTCTGATGTGAAGAGGATGAAGGGAGGATCTGGAGGATTTTAGAAAGCTGATGGGCTGGCTATGCTTCTCTGAGACGGTGGATGGTGTAGCACAGATGGATGGACCTCACGCAGTGTGTCTGAACATGACTGCTCTGGCAACTGGGAGGTGAGCACCCTTCCCTGCTACGATACATAAGGTAACATGTGCCCAGCATGCCAGACCAGACTGGAAATCTGAAATACCAGTGGACACAGCACAGAAGTCATAGTGAGAAGCAGAGTGATGTGAGAAGCAGAAGGAGGCAATAAGAAAAATCTGGTTTTGAGCTATTATGACGGGAAGCACAAAACTGGTTGTCAGTGCCTTCAAGAATTATAAAAGGTTAGAGTCAATGTCCTAGCAGGAAAATAACAGACTGACAGCACACATGCTGATAGGATTGGGTGTGAAATGTTTACGTGGAAAAAAGGCAGCACTGTTTTTTGTCCCTGAATGTCAGTGGCTTTCAGTCTGTATTTATGGAGCTGAAACATTGTAAATGTATTTTTGTAATGGCAGACCTTGCAGCACGCAAATTGTATACAAAACTAGGGCAGTGTTTGGAAGTATATTGGAAGGAAGTGCTTGATTTATGTGCCTTTCATTCTGGTCTTAAAAATATAAAGCACCATCTCACTGCACTGTAGAAGAATATGTGACTACAACCTTGGAAATGAGTCAATGATGGGAATAATTCAAGCTTTTTTCATAGGCAGGTCCAGGGCAGCCCATTCTTATTCACTAATATCAGCTGAATTGGAAGTAATGCTTGATTCTACATGGAGGTAGTACAGAAAAATAGGTTTAAAAGTATATAAGGGTGATTTAGAAGTTGAAAAATCTAAAAAAAAGATTAGTCATCTGATATTGTGGATGCATATAAGACCTGAAAGTTTCCTTAGTACTACTGATATTTGATATCTTTTATTTTTATTTTATTTTGCTATGCCCAAGTCAGCTTAATGTCAAAGCATGAAACTGGCAAAGGAAAACTTAGCAGCAAAATTGTTATAGATTAGATTGTTTTGCTTCTTCCTCTAATGTGTAAATTTTACGTTATGGAGTAATTTTACCTTGCTAGAGAGTACTCCACCAAGGCAGATAATCAGCTGTACATCCTGGGTTTTGTGTTTGTTTGGGGGCCAGTTTGGGGATATTTTTTGCTTAAGGTGTGATTATTTAGTATTGCACTGTCAGGCTTCCTTTGAACTGTGGGCTTTAGTCTAAGCTATCCTGCTAGTCACAGTCTCCAGGCCAGCCCAGTCACCACAATTGGCTTTAAGCCGCATCACTGGACTTTGGTATCATGTTGTCCTACCAGTGCCTGGTCAGGCTGTTGTCCCACAGGGTGACTTCAGTCTTCAGTTAACACCGAGGACATCAGAGAGGAGATGGTCTGGGCATCAGTCTGCCCAGGCCTCGGCAAGGGCCAGCCCAGGGCAGCTCTTCTCGTTCTGTGCTCTGGAGAGCAAATTCATGGAAAGGTAAGGCTGGCACTGCTAGTACCAGGATTACCTTTTTGTTTCTGATAGGTACTGCGCAGTTTTGCTGAGTGAACTTTACAGTCTTTATGGTTCAGACAGTTTGCTTGGTGGAGCGATTACGGCTCTCCTCAGGATCTCCTCTTCTTCAGAAGACCTCTGCCTTCTGCCAGGTGCTCGGTGCCCTCCGGAGCGATGCTGACTGCTTCTCCGGGGTGCTCCCCCACCTCGCCCGCAGCCGTTTCTGGCACCCACGTGGTGCTGGGTCACAGCCTGTGGCCCTTGGTCAGACAGGTTCTGCTTCTCCCATCCATGGTCACAAGACGGATTTCTTTGCTCTTGATGAAGAAGTGCTTTATCCTAAACACCTGGAAAGTGACCCTTCCCTCTGTTCTATGGAAGCAGGAGGTTGTGTGGCCACAGGTTTGCATCCTTCCATGGGCGTGACACAGACTTCACCATTTCTCCTCTACTGAAGCCTCTGCCTTTGCCAGCAGATACTCTGCCTTTTTCTCCATCATCTATTAATATGATTTCCCTAAATGAACTACTGTCTACTCAAGAGATATTGGGGTTGAGTGTTTTGATTACCTTTTCTATACTTTTTTTTTTTTTTTTAATTAATATTGCAACCCTAAAAATACTTTATTTAAAAAAAAAAAAATAGGCTATGTTTTTCAACTGGTTTTGCTATTCTTTACACTCTTATTTCTAAGACTGTTTGTTTTTTTCCTAAAGCTTCCCAGAAAACATTTATCCAGCCTTTTTTTTTTTGAACTGAGAGATATTTGATTACAGCATATGATAGCATACTGATTACATATTGTAGGGTTTAAAGTTAGCTTTATAAAACATTGTTATTTTATTTGGGGAGGACTCAGTATGTTGAATGTTTTCTAAATTACTTTGTTAAATATGTAGAGTGCTTAGAGGAAGAAACATATGAGAAAACAGTAACAAGCTAGCGGACAGATTCTCAACTCCTCTGAGCATTGTATAATCATTTACACTTGGGCAAAGCAAGTGTGGGTGCTATTAAAACACTGACAGTGTCTTATAAGTGTTTAATGCAAGGTTTAAATTATACTGTGAGATAACCACGCACTGGAGAATAGCTTTAGAATCAGCTCGATCTCATACTGGCAAAAGGAGGTCGGATCAAAAACTGGTTTTCCTGCATTGTCAAGAGCATTTAAACACCTCCCCTTCACTGAATGAACCTTGAAACATGCAGCTTTACAAAAAATTATCTACAATACATTAATCAGATGAAATATGATTTTGCTTCACTTGTGTTTCAAAATTTATGCACATCCAGTATTTCTACAAGTTTGAAAAGTATTTTTGCTTTAATGCAGACATTTAAGGTTTACTACAATAATTTAATCTCTGTGTTTTTACAGCTTTTTTTTTTCTTTTGTTCCTTTTGTTTTTAGTTTAAAAGATCTTATCCAAAGTGAAGATGTGAAACCCAAGCTGCAGTACATCATGACTAACCCTTCCTTTTCTATGGTAACAGTTCAAAGTGAAGATAGTGGGATAACCTGGGAAACCAGCTCAAGCAGATGTTCTACTCCCTGGGCCTCAGAAACTAGTACAACTTCTGATCTTTACAGTATGGAAAGTTCACCGGTAGGTTCTCCTCCAGGAAAAGTAATCTTTATTATGGATGAAGGTAAGATTGTTCGGAAAAGGAAGCTCAAAGCTTCAAATAGGGTGCCAATGGCTACAAGCCTGAAGAGAGGCCAGAGCAATAAAAAACGTGACTCTTCTGGAATGCAGAGGCAAGAACCAAGAACTGTTCTAGGAGATGTGCAGGCCTCGATGTTGAATGTTGAACAAGTGGAAACACAAGACACGGATGAGGAAATGCTGGATGACAAAGAAGATCTGGAGAACATCACAGAAGAGACAGTAAAACGTGCTCCGATAAGATCAATATTTAGAGAGAGCAAACTGAGAAAAGTAGGGCCGATCCTTGGAGGACCAGTACAAGCTAGAATCCAGCTGTTCAACTCAATTTTTGGTGGAACTGGGCCAGTCCCTGAAATATTAGAGAAAACCATAATCCAGAGAAGTAACTCAGTTTCAGGAGATTCTGAACAGTTCCTTGAAACATCAGTAAAAGAAAGATTGCAGAAGTTCAGTTCACTTTCAGAAGCAACACATCCAAAACCTCTCCAGAAAGCAAGAAGTAGAAATAGGGAGCAAAGTCAACGACCCACAGCACATGCAAATCAAAGCTGTTCTTCATCAACAACACCTCTTGAAAAACGGCTTACTAATAAAGATGATGTTTCCTCTGAAAATACTAAACCCCTTAAAATGAAAGATAAACCAAGCAGGTTTTCAAGCTTTGGTGCAGAAACGTCTCTTCAACATGAAGAAAGAAAAGACAGACAATCTCTTTTGGAGACTCCAGATCAGGTATCAGGACATTCACTGAAGTCCTGGCCCCCTGAAGAAGCCAGGAAGCAGCAAAGCTACTCACCTGTGGTCAAAACATCAATAACAGAGCAAACAGCCTCCGTTTCATTAGAGTCTGACGATAAAACAGAGAAAATAGCACCACTTCCTGCATCTGAAAATGCAAACAATAAACCAGATGAATCCCTGATGAGAGCATCAGGTCATCTAGATGAACCAAAGGAGCAGAAAACTCAGCCCAATTCTGCACCACAGTCTGTTTCAGCAAATTTTGTTAATCACTTAGATAGACAAAATACCCAGCCAATTTTGCCTACAGCATCTGTGTCAGAACATCCTGAGAAGGAAGCACAGAAGTCAGCAGTTCAGTCTTACTTACCTAGTTCTCCATCAGCTAAATCCAAATATTCCGCTCTGTCTGAAACAAGACAGGAGGATGTTCTTCCTCAGTCATCAGAAACTGCACAATCTGAGTCTGAAAATGTGCTTTTACCACATTCTGTAGATGAAACAGAGAAGCAAGAAACTGAGTGTCATTCGTCAACAGCTGCACTGTCAGAAACTGAGCCTTCAGGTCTATTGTATTCTTCTAAAAAAAAAGAGGGTCAAAAGACCCCACCACCAGAAACCCAAAATGTTCACTTAGAAAAGCAAACAAAGTCCAAACAAGACTTTTCCTCCTCCCTTCAGGAAACAGTGGAGCAAGGAATACAGCTAAATTCACCTATCCCTGAAAAACTAGATTCTAAATATTTTGGCATTTCATATCCTATTGACAGAGAAACAGAAGAAACTCAGAAAACTCCAACTATAAATAAAGCAGTAGATTTGAGTGACCTTGATTTTTGCACTGAAAAAAACAAACAAGCAGAGAGTGTGCAAATGGAGATGGAGCATCCAGATTTCCATTATTCCAGCGAAGAAATAGAGGAATTGGAGAGAACACAGATGGAGGCAGAGTATCCAGACTTCTCTCTTTCCAAGGAAGTAACAGAGGAATTGGAGACTGCACAGCTGGAGGTGGAACATCTGGACTTTTCCAGGGAAGAAATGGAGGAATCTGAAAGTGCACAGCTGGAGACAGAGCATCCAGATTTCTTATATTCCAGAGAAGAAATAGAGGAATCAGAGAGTGCAAAACTGGAGGCAGAATATCCAGAACTGCTCTTTTCCACAAAAGAAACAGAGGAATCTGACAATGTACAGCTGGAGGTGGAGCATCTAGATTTCTTGTATTCCAAGGAAGAAACAAAAGAATTGGAGAGTGCCCACCTGGAGCCAAAGCAGCCAAACTTACTGTATTCCATGGAACAAACAGAGGAACTGGACAGTTCACAACTGGAGGCAGAGCATCCAGAATTTTTTTTTAAGAAAGAAACAGAAGAATCAGGGAGTGCACAGCTGGAGATGGAGCACCCAGACTTTTCTTTTCCTGGGGAAGAAATGGAGGAATCTGAAACTGCACAGCTGGAGGAATGTCATCCAGACTTTTCTTTATCAAAAGAAGAAGTGGAGGAATCAGAAAGTGCACAGCTGGAAACGAAAAATCAGATTTTATTTTCCACAAAAGAAGCAGAAAACGAAAAATCTGTTCCTTTTGAACTGGAACAGCTAGAGTCTTATTCCCCTGAAGAAGCAGAGCAAGAAGAAACAGCACAACTTGTGCTGATACCTTCAGATTTGCCATGTTTGATGGAAGAAGCAGAGAAAGAAAACATTACAGAACTCCAGTTGGTACATCCAGATATATTTGATTCCACCAGAAGAGCTGAGACACAGCAAACAGGGTATCTGGAAACACATTCAGATTTACCATATCCCATGAATAAAACAAAGCAGCAAAAAATGGCACAGGCAGATTTGGACAATTCTCTTAGGTCATATTTTGCTGACAAAGGAGAACAGCTGCAGCCTGTACAGCAGGATTCACAACCTGGAGGTAAGCTGGATTCCCATGCAAAGGGAATGCAAGGAGAAATTATTCAACTGCAGTCAGAGCATCCAGTTTTATCATATTCTATGGGAAAAGAACAGCAACATAAAATCTCACAGCTGAGGGCAGAACACCCAGAGACATCATATTCCACTGGCAAAACAGAACAATGGGAAATATTGCAACCGAAGTTGGAACAAGCAGATTCACCATATTCCCAGGGAGAAGCAGCACAAGATGCTGCACAAATAGACTTAGTAGGTCCAGAGCCATCATGTTTCATTAGTGAAGCAGAGAAATATGAAAATGTACAACTAGCTTCAGAAGATAAGGATTTCTCATTTACCATTGGAGAAGAAAGACAAAAAGTAGTGGAGTCGGGATCTTTGGGGTCCTCACAGTCGATTGACAGAGCAAAGACCCGGGAAATGGCGAAAATGGAGCAGGAGCAGTTCCTTCCCTCCTGTTCCACTGCTGGTAATCAGCAACAGGAAACACCACCACTGGATGTGGCCCCGACAGGTATATTATACTCCTTTAGCAGAATGGAGAAACAATATATAGCACAGAAAGAGCTGGAACAGCAGGAAACAACCCAACAAAAAACTATGCAAGTGGAAATGGAGTATTCAGATTTGTCAGAAACCTGGAGTAAAGAAGAGCCACAGGTCATACATCAAACTAATTTGTCACAGCAAGAAATAGCTAAACCAGAAACAGTGCATCCATCTTTGCTGTGTTCTTTCAGTGAACAAATACCAGAAGAAATGCAAGCAGAGCCAGAACAGACGTCTTATGTAAGTACAGAAATGCAGGAGGAAATGACACAACACAAATCAGAGCAATCAATTCTCTCCTGTTTTACTGGCAAAGCAGAGAAACCAGAAGTATCACATCCAGAGCCAGAACAAACATTTTTGCCATCTTCCAGTGGAAAAGAAGCTCCACTGGAAATGGAAATGAGTTCAGAAAATCCACATTTGCCCTATTTCTTTCATGAAGCTGAACAACAAAAAAAGTTGAAACATCCAACCTTACCGTTTCATTCGAAACAAGAAGAAACTGCACCGCTGATGATGGAACATCCAGATTTTTCATGCAACAGTGGTGAAGCAGAACCAAACAACATCACAGAGCAAGAGTCAGGACATCCAGAGCTCTCATGCTCCATGGGAGAAGCACAACGACAATCAGAACCTTTGGATTCACCAGGGACCCTTGGCAAAGCAGCACAAGATGAAAGTATGGAAGTGGAATTTAAATGCCCAAATTTGTCATGCTCTGATGGCAAAAGAAACCAGCAAGAAACTTCACAATTGGATTCAAAATATCCAGATTTATCACTTTCCTTTGGTGTGGCCAAAGGACAAGCAACTCAAGAGTTTGAACCTAAACATCAAGAATTGCCTAAATTGGCTAGAAAAAGAGCTTCTCCAGAAACTGCACAAATACAGTCAAAACATCTAGATTTTACACATTCCCCTGGCAAAACAAGTGAGCCAGAAATTGCAATACAAGAAATGAAGCATCCTGATGCAGTGGAATTCTCACATACTGCTGATGAGACAAAGCAACAAGAAGTAGTGCTGTTGGATCAGAAACACCAAAAAATTTCTGTTGACAGAGAAAAGCAGGAGCAAATCACAAAATGGCAGCTAGAGCAAGAAAAGTTATCACATTCTCCTGGTAAAACAAAGCAATTAAAACATAGCAAAGAGGACTTGGAACAACCAGATGTATCATTTTTCACTGATGAGCTGGATGATGAAATGGCCCCACTAGAGTCAGAGCACCCTGACACGACACATCCTCTGGACAGCACAGAGGTGCGACAAACAGTACGACAAGAAACAGAGCAAACTTACCCCTTTGGAAAAGCAGAACAGAAAACAGTTCAGCCAGAGGTAGAAATTCCACATTTGGCCCATTCTGTGGGTACAGCAGCAGCAGAAGAAGAAATGGCAGAGCCAGGGCAGGGACATCCTGACTTTTCTCATTCTGTTTTCAAAGCAGGACTGCAAACTGTACAGCAGAAACCCAAACACCCTGATCTAGCATGTTCCCTTAACGAAGTGCAGAAGATGACCCGGCTGGGGTTGGAAGATCCAGATGGGTTGTATGTTCATGAGAAAACAGAGCAGTTCCCACCTGCCCAGCTGGAGTTGGGCCACACAGACTTGGCATTCCCTGCTGACGGAGTGGGGCAGCGAGGCGGGGAGCACACAGCCTTGGGACGCCCTGATGAGGGATGGTCTGTCAGCAGAACAGAAGAGCACCCACAAGCTGCAAAAGAAAAGACAGGAGCTCCATCGCATAGCGGAAAAGCGGAGCAAAGAGAAATGGCAAAACCAGAGCCAAAGCATCATGATTTATCATATTCTATTGATGAAACACAAACACAAGAAACTACACAACTGGTGATAGGAAAACCAGATCTATCATCTTGGACTGGCAAAACAGAAGGAGCACAAACTGCTCAAGAGGATCTGCCAGGCTGCTTACATTCTTTCAAAAAACCTGCACAAGACAAGAAAGCACAGCCTGAATTGGGACATTCAGAGTTACCTTATTCTGTTAGTGAAGCAGAACAAGAAACTGCACATGTGAAATCAAACTGTTCAGATTTATTGGCTGACAGATTAGAACAACATGGAATCATACAACCAGAGGCGGAAATAACAGATTTATCATGTTCAATTGGTGAAACACAGCAACTTCAAACTGTTGCAGTGGATTTGGAGTATCCAGGTTTATTGCATTCCACTGGCACAGTACAGCAACAAGAAAAGATTCAATCAGAACAGGAACAGCCAGGTGATTTTTCATCATCTCTCAGCAAAGAGCAGCAATGGAAAGGCACAGGAATGCAGGCAGAACACCCTGAGCTACAGTGCTCTATGGGGAAAACCAAAGGACTGCAACATTCCCAAGCAAAATCAAAATGTGCAGATTTGTCATTCTCTGTTGGCACAGCAGAACCTCGTAAAGCAACACATCCAGAGTTGAAAGAACATGATTTGTTCCATTCTTTTGTCAAAACAAAGTCACCATGGGCTGCCCCACTGGAGTCTGAACATCCAGGCATCTCGGATGCCATGGGCAAAGTACCACACCCTGATTTGTCCTCTTCTGTTAGTGAAGAAAAACAAACTGCACAACTGGAGGTCAAAGAGGAGAGGGGAAATTATACATTATACCCAGAGGAAACAGTACGATTGAAATTGGAACAGCCAATGTTTTCAAGTTCTTGTAGCACAGTAGAGCAACCAAATAGGGGCCCGCTGAAGGGGGAATTCCCAGACTTCTTGTATTCCCCTGGGATAAAAGATCAACAGGAAATGGCAAAACTAGAGTTGGAGCATTCAGATTTATCATATTCATCTGATAAAACACAGCACCAAGAAACCACACAAATTGGGTTAGGACAAACAGATTTATCACCTTGCCCTGGGAAGTCAGAACAACCACAAACTGTTCAGGTGGAAACAGAGCATCAGGGCTTGCTCCATTTCACTGGCAAAATAGAACCACAAGGAACAGCACAACCAGAGGTTGAGCATGCATATTTGTCATATTCCAGTGATAAACTGGAGCAGACGCCAGCTACACAATGGAAATCAGAGCAGCCTGTAACACCCCATCCCACTGGAAAAACAGAGCAACAAGGAATGGCACATCCAGAGCAGGAACTTCCCAGTTTATCGTATTCCATTTGCAAAACACTGTCACAAGAAGCAACACAAATAGACCACAAATTAGGGCAACAAGATTTAACATATGCCCTTGGTAAAACAGATGAAATTCAAACTGTGCAAGGTGAACTGGAACATACAGGTTCATTGTACTCTTCTGGTAAAACAGAACAAGAAATGGTATTGCCAGAGTTGCAACACCTGCAGCTATCTTATCCTGTTAGAAAAACAGAAGAGGAAGCTCCCTATCAGAAATCAGACTATCCAGATTTGAAATATTCTATTGGTCAACAAGAGCACCTTGAAGTTGAACAACTGAAGTTGGAAGAAATGGATTTACCCTATCCAGCTGGCAAATCAGAGCACTCACAACCTGCCCAAGAGGTACTGCAACAGCCAGTGCTTTTGGAGTCCTTCAGCAAACTAGAGGAAAAGGGAATGGCCTATCCTGGCTTTTTGCACTCCCTTGGTGAAGAAAAGCAGAAACTAACTTCACAGTTAGAGCAACCAGGTTTATCACATTCACTTGCCAAAACAGAAAAACAGGAAACTGCACAATCAGGGTTCGTGCCTTCTGATTTTTCATATTCCACAGGAAGAGCAGAGCAGTTGCAACTAGAACGACTAAAATCAGAACATCCAGATTTGTCATACTCTCTTGGCAAAGAAGAGACTCATGGAATTAAACCACCAGATTTATTGTACTCTTATGGCAAAGCAGAGCAACCACAGACTGCCCAGCTGGAGCACCCAAAGACATCATATTTCATGGGTGAAACAAGGTGGAAGGATGGGGCTCAACCTGAACAGCAATGCATTAATTTGCAGTATGCTATTGTTGAAACAGAGCAACCAGAAATACCCTCTGTATCACATACATTTGGCAGAATCAAGGAGCAGGGAACTGCACAACTGAACTTTGAACAATCAGATTTATTAAATCCTACTGACAAAGCAGAAAAGCATGAAACAGCCTCACTGAGAACAGGACATTCAGAGAATAGAGTTACTGGGGCTACTTCATCTCAAATTGCTCAGCTGGAAACCAAACAAGATTTATCTTTTTTCACTGAAGAAGCAGAGAGCCAAAAAATTCAAGCATATTCATGTCCTCCTGAACAAACAGTGCCTGTACCTTTGGGTGTTTCACATTCTGTCTCTGAAACAAAACCAGAAGGAAGTCCAAAGTCCTCACCTGTAACTGGAGGCCTGTCCCCCAAGCACTTGGATTTATCTTACACTCAGTGTAAAACACAGCAGTCAGAAACTGCCCAGCCTGAGTCAGGTTTCTTCTTTGCAAGAAAAGAAGCAGAGAATACAAAAAAACATTTACATTTGCCTGAGGCTGCACAGTCAGAGGCTGAACATGTAATTTTACCTGAAACAGAGAGAGAACAGAGTCCACATTACTTCCATACAACTGTACAATTAGAATCTGAACAATTAACAGATAAAGCTCTAGAAAGTCAAGATTATTTAACTTTACCTCCCAAACTGGAGTCTGAACCTTCAGTTCCATTTTATTCAGCTGATGAAACACATCAGCAAGAATTTCCACTTTATTTGAAGCCAGGCTCTGAGTATTTGGTTCCCACACGGTCCCTTGCTGAACAAGAAAAGCAAAGCATGCAGTCACTTATTCCCCAGTCTGAACAATCAGAGTGTAAACATGTAATTCCACCACATGATGAAGAAGAATTGCAAAAAATTCAGCTCCATTCACCTAAAACAAGCTTGAAGACAGTGCAGTTGGAGAGTATGTCTCTAATGCACATACAAGACCAAGATGAGCAAAAATCTCAAGATCATTTGTTGGACACAAACTATTTGTCATCAGAGCAGCTAAGAAGTACACCCAAATTCACTACTGAGCAAAATAAGCAAGAAATTCAACCTAATGTGCAGACAGTGTTAAGGTCGGTGACCACAGAGTCTGAGGTGACTGCTGCAACAGACCAGCAAGTGGTGTCATCAGATTCGTTTGTACCATTTCATACATTACCTGAAAAGCTCGTGTCAGTGGCTTTCACTGATGATGAAGAGAAACAAAGTATTCCATCCTCTTTATCTGACATAGTAGGCATGCTTGGGAAGCAATCTAACATAGTTTCAGGCATTTATACTGAAGGAGAGGATAGATGTGGAAAGCAACAAGATTTTGCAGACCAAAAGCATACATCCTTAGAGCATCTGGGAGCTGTTTCATCAGGTCTTGTTTATGAAACTGTGACACACAAACCTCAACAGGGCAGCTGCTCTTTGGGAGAGATGCAGTCTGCTAGCTCTAGTTCTGATGAAAAGCAGAATCCAGATATTCCATCTTTTGGGCTAGCTAGCTGGCTGGCAGAAGAGGTGAGAGCTCATTCAATTAGTCCAATAAGAGCTGCAGAAGTAGACAGGCAAGGAATTCAGCTTTCTCCAAAGGAAGCTTCTGATTTTGGATCAAAACAATTCCCAGCTGGAAGTTGCACAGAGCTTACAGTTCACGGTGCTACAAAGAATAGAGGACATATATTTAGAGTTTCTGATTCAGTGTCAAGTGAAATTTCCCACAGAACATCCTCAGACACTAGTCACAGAACACAAAGTAATGATTTACCATCTCTGGTAGGAGATAATCCAGGTCCACACAATGTTCCAGAGCAGGAAAACAGCATTGGAAACCCTACAAAAATGGACACAATGCAACATCCAGAGGTAGACAAACTTTCTGAAGCACCTGAACATTATCTGAGAGAAGAGGAAGAAATGGAACATGAAAGCACTGTAGAAGAGAGTCAGCATGCTCCAGAGACTACTGAACAAAAAGATCTATTTAATATAATTTCAGAAGGTTATGAAATACTCAATATTCATGCTCCAACTCATATTTTTTCTGTTGATCAAGAAGAAAGTGAACACATGCCAGATAAATTAGAATACTTGGAAACAGATCCTTCATTTAAAAGAAAATTAGCTGATGATGGCCATAGACCCCTAGCTTCTGGAACAACCACAGAAATTTCAGAAAGCTTTGTGTTGGAAAAGCCTGCAAGCCATGAACTAGAAGATTTGGTCAAAAATTATGATGTTGAGGAAACTGGAGGAACACAACAAGAAAATCCCACGTTGCCAGAAAACAATAATAATGCAATGTTGTATCCTAATAATGGTATGGCCGATATGGATTATTTTGAAAAATATACATTAATTGATGACAAGACCCCAGTTAAGCCACATTTTGAAAGACCAAGTTCATTGTTTCCTGTGACAGAAGATCCCAGTGAAAATGAACCTGTGGAAGAAGCCACATCTTTTAAAGAAAGTGCTGAGGTAGATACTTTGGAAGAAGAATTTTCCTTACTTGAGGATCTAGATGAAGTCTTTTACGGTACTGTGAGAGGAGAAAGCAAAATGCAGTCCTATGCAGATGCTCCAAAACCTTTACCTCTGCAGAAATCAATTGATACTAGCAGTAAAAAGGTTACAAATGTAGAAGATGAACGGAAGTCACCAGGGACCCCACTCTTTGATTCAGAAGAAGGTGTACTAGAACGATCTCTGTTGTTCCCTACCACAGTTGCTGCAGTTAATCCAGAGCTTCTAGAGGAGCCACCTGCTCTGTCATTTTTATACAAAGACCTCTATGCAGAAGCAGTAGGTGAAAAGACAAAGGATGAGACACCCTCTGATGAGGAAAGCGGTAATTCTAATGCATCTTTCCCCAGTAGAAATTCAGACACAGATGATGGAACAGGAATATATTTTGAAAAATACATTCTTAAAGATGAAATTCCAAGTAAGGGCATATGCCCTCAAAAAGATCAGATATCAGAAGGTGAGTCCTTTAGTGGAAGAATTTCAGTTCAGAGTTCAGAGGACAAACACAAGAAGGGGACTGGTGATATTCAACATGTCAGAACTGAGATTCTGCCAGAAAAGGGTGCTGTGGAGAGAGAGAAAGTCCAGGTTGACAGTGACATTCAAGCAACAATTTGTAAACCAATGCATGCCATTCCTTTTGGAAGCAAAGTAATTCTTTCAGGTGCAAGAACTGATACCACTGAACAAAGAGAAGAAGAAAATGTACCTGTAGAAACAACTGAGGAGTTGCCAGAGCAATCAAGTCATCAGGCATATAGTCAACTAGTGGATTATCAGGGAGCTGCATATCAAGAAGCTGGTAATAAGCAGGAAGAACAGCATGACATAACAGGAGTTCCTCAAATGGAAAAATATGTCCCATATGTCAGGACTCCTGTTGAAGACAGTGAAGATGATCCGTATACTCAGGAAAATCTTTCCTGTGTTCCTACCATTCAGCAAACAGAGAAGCCAGACTGGCAAAGAGAGGAGCAGCACCCTGATGTTTATGAAGATCTCGCTGAGTCAATGGACTATGATGTGATTACACAAGAAGAACTTTTGCAAGATGAAATATCATCTCAATTAACACAGGAGGAGCTATTATTTGAAGACAGAGACTCTTTTGAGCATGCTGGTGATAGTTATGAATTTGTTAATGAGCCAGAGCAAAGAACACCTGTTGAGCTTGAAGATGCAGGTTTTGTGCTGATGTATCCTGAAAAATCAGCAACAAACATTCCTCAAGTTGAGACACCACAAAGAGAACTGAAGAAAGCACAAGCAGACACGTACTGTTACCACTGCAAATGCCCAATATCTGCTATTGACAAGCTTTTTGGAGAACATAAAGACCATGAAGTCACAACACTAGAAGATGCTGCAACCAAGATGAAGGTAAGAATAAATTTGGGTGAGGGAAGGAGCTACTGAAGTTAATTTTTCCAGACCTCCTGTGTTGCCAGGGGAGAGGCTTCAGGGAGCACTCCAGAGGCTAAGTCACACTATCTATAAAGTAAAAACTGTTCTTAAACACCTTTTAGAGATCTTGAATAGAGACTATCTTATTAAGGTATTCTTTAGAGTCCTAGCTTGCTAAGATGATATCTTTATTTGTTCATAACTATGAATGACCTTGGCTAGATGTAGCTGCTACCAGACTTTCCATTTTCTACCCTCCTCACCTGTGTAAGTTTGTTCTGGTTCATATATGGAGGGGGAGAAATGGGAAGGGTGTTGTTTCAGTGAAAATAAAGTTTTTGTAACAACAGCTCATTTCACTTGACAAGGTACAGAAAATTTCATATGTGAAGACCAGTATCATAAAGTGTTCCCTGTCCCAGTTACACGGGTTGATTGCTCAGTGATGTTAGATGAGTTACACAGTTTACACTGTTTTGTTTTGTTGAAACACCATCCCAATTTTCTATTCAGTTCATGTTCATCTGTGCCAATAGTATTTTAGCTGCAGTGCTGGTAAGGGTTTAGCAAGTCCTACTTCTTCCCACTATGTCTAAGCTGTGCCACTCTAAAAGATAGATAAAAATGCACTCCATTTCTGTAGCCTAATCCTTTGCTACCGACACTAGTGAAAATGCGTTTGTTTCCGTGGAAGCTATTCTTCATTGAACTGTAATTCTGCTTGTGAAAACAGCATGTATGTGATGTCTCACTTTTCCTATATCAGATTTGTTCATGTACAAGTAAACAGATGTTCCTTTCTTGGTTGCCCGCTATTTAATCTCACCCCAGTATCTGAAAGGTGAGATCTCTTTCCTGACACATATTCGGTAGGTGGTAATACAGATTCTGTGTAACTTCACTAAAATTCCAGAATGGCTTGTATCGATGGCATTTATCTTATCTTTATGTTAACTCATATGCAAAAAGAGAAATTAAAAGTAGGAGGAGTCAAAGTGGCAGTTTCAAATACCAGTATTTACAAACTATCTCCATGGTGTGCAGATGTATGACAGCAGAGTTGCTTTTTATGTATGGCCATTCATGCTTGATTTAGAAGTGATAATTAGTCACCAGTAAGTCAGTAACAAAGTCACAGATCCCAGCCATCCCTCACATGTACCTGCATTGCAGTGAGCCAAGTTAAACAGCAAATAAACATCCCATGATATCATTCCCTGGCTGTGGAGCACTGACATGGAGCCAGTATTAAATCTGGCCACAACACAGGCTTGGCTTCATGTGATTTCTAGCACTCAGGGATCAGGTTACTCTGAGACAGCATTTGTGTGTTTCTTGTTACTTCTGTATAGTTACTGAGAAAACATTAAGGTATCAAAATTCTTGCCACCTGAATTTTAACTGCAGGAACATAGCTTCACAGTAAATGAAATGAGCTATGAATAGCATTTGTCAGATTTTATAGGTTATCTTGACAAACAGAAGTTTGCCTCTGAATCTTGGTGATTTTCCCTAATTATTTATAAAGTGAGCTTTCAGTGGTACAGTCCAATGTGACATTTCTAATTAATGGAAATTCATATGCTAGTTTTCAACAGCTCTAGCTGTAGAAGTTTGCCATAATAGGAAGCTGTTACCATAGAAAGTTAACCTTCCTTTTAGATTTATGCCAGCTAATTAAAAACTAAATATTTTTATAAATTATAAATTGTACCTGAGCAGATGGCCAGCTTGCTTTCACAAAAGGTCAAGAAGGACTAAGAAAATGTTCTGAGTTGTCTCTGATGCCTGTTGTCCCTTAGACTGCTTTTGTTTCCATATCTAATTCAATCAGTAATTTTGATGAATTCTGGTTTATAGGAAATATCTTTAAAATTCTAATTTAAAAAATCAAAACACTGCATAATCTATTAGGCTCATAATTACCTGCATCATCTTCCTTTTTATGGGCTTGTTTCTGTGAACTCTTGAGTACCCTCATGAGGCCCTGAGTACCCTCAGCAAAGCTGCACTGGAATTTGTAACATTCAACATCTATAGACACTCAGCACCTTGTCGAACTGAACTCACTTTTTCTGGTTTGGAAACAGTTTTGTGACTGTTCCAGTTGCTATTTCTGTGCTTGTCTATACAGCCAGTGTGATACTTGAACTTAATTTAGCAACTGTTCCAAGAGTGGCTCATGGTAAAACATAAAAATATTTACCTAAAATAAGTTGTATGTAAAAACTTTATAAAATAACATGCTTATGTTACTGAAACATTTTAAATTTCAGGATCGGTTAAGTGAATTGCTAATAGCAATGGAAGAAAAGTCAATGAAGATTGAAGAATTTGTGAGTGATATTGAATCACTATTTAATTCTGTTGAGGTAAGTCCAGTGTTTTATCACACTAGTTTTCTTTGCCTCTACAAAATTACTTCTAAAATATGCTTTCCTTGTTTTGTAGTGTCATTACTTCCACTAAAATGGGCTGTTTCTCCATTCTTCAAATTGTCTTGCCCCACTGGAAGGTGTTAAATTTAGGGGAAGAAAAATATTACTTTTTTTTGCACATCATTGCAAAGTGGAATATGTGACTGTCAAGCACTGGAAGAAAAAGTTCCCTTCATTTTGTTTGTGCTTACAATAAGCTCACACTGTTTGAGTCATTATTTAGAATCCTATGTGAAACATCTAGATGAGTTGCCCAAAGTCAGTCTTAAGTTCTTAATGCCCAAGTTCTTAAGCCTTGAGGACTGTATTAATTTCAGTTGAAAGTATGGATTTTTAGCTATTTTGTCGTCAGACTTCCTGTCTCAGTGCTTAAATATAGAAGTTTAATTTTAAACACGAACAATAAAAAAAAAATCTACCATTACTTTTAATGTATTTCTCAAGCGTTATTTGTCCCAGATGAGCTTGCTTACAGAAATAAAGTTCTCTTATTGTCAGGATGCCAGAAGGAGTCTGGTAGATGGCTCATATATTGATAATTGAGAATTTCTGTATATTCATTAAATGTTGTAATTTTATTTTGCAGATCAATTTACATCTGTTTTTATTTTGCAGGAAAACTGTAAGAAAAATGCAGAGTTATTGGAAAAGCAGAATGAAGAGATGCTTAAGAAAGTGGTAGCACAATATGATGAGAAATCAGAGAACTTTGAGGAAGTGAAAAAGATGAAGATGGAGTACCTGTATGAGCAGATGGTTAACTTTCAGCAAACTGTTGATTCAGCAAAGGAAACTCTCGAGACAACAGTAAAAGAAATGGAAGAACTCGATGGATTTGTTTTCCTAAATGTAAGTAAAACTGGCTTTCATACTGTAGCTTTTATGATACTAGTTAAAAAAAACACTTACATTGTACCTAGGCTGAGAATTAGTTATTTAACTTCATTTTGTGGGTTTTTTTGTTTTGGTCTGGGGTTTTTTGTTTGTTTTGGTTTTTTGTTTTTTTTTTTTTTTTTTTAAGATAGCTAAATCCTACAAACTCAACTATTCCACTATGAAATTACTAGATAAATTGCTTTTGTCATGTGGATGCTCAGAGAGAATTACAAAGATGATGGACAGGGTGAAAATGTGACTTATGCCATTAAAATGGTTCTGGTTTATTTTGTGAAGAGAAAGCTAAGAGACAGTTAGATAATTTATCCAGAATTAATTATCCACTGAAGATTACAAAATATTAGAATAAAAGGTACTTTACTGTCTGAAAAATAAAGGTGAAAAAAGAAAGTGTAATTTAAAAATATCTGAAGCAGAGTTGTTGTTGGGTTGTGGGGTTTTTGTGCTTTTTTTTTGTTTTGGCTTTTTTTTTTTTTTTTTTTTTTTTTAATTGAGCAGACACAGGCAGTAGTTATGCACTCAAATTACTGAGGCTGTGATAAATGTTTACCGCTGAAAAATGGTGAGTGGCTGTGTGGTGCTTAGTTGCTGGCCAGGTTTAAACCACAACAATGGCTAGGTTTAGCAATGTGCATGTGAGGTGCATATCTGTAATGGTCCTTTCTGGATGTAAAAAACATCCCTTGTGAATCTGCATGACTGGAGTTACCTAGCTCACACAGTCATCAGTCGTAAACTAGTTTCAGAAAGGCTTGCAGGTTAATAATTAGCAGCCTGAGCCCTCCAAGACTGTTCCTGTGCTGCAAGACTTGTCTGTAAATGAACCGTGGCACTTTCTTCTCTATAGAAGTGTATCAGCAGTCTTGAAGGGGATGGGTTTTCTGGGACAATAATCTTTTCCCTTTACAGAATTAGCACATAGTCTGGAAGCTGCAGTAAAAGGATCCTGTGATGCAAGAAATGAAAAGTGCAAATTACTGTCTAAAGACATCTTTGCAAAATAAAACAGCTTTCCAAATACAAGCCCCCAGCCATTGTAGCAGCAGTTATAGAAATGGTGCAACAATATTTGGCTTTATCCTGTGCTGCAAGTTACACAGTGTCTTAGTATCCTGTAACCAAGTGAATGCTGTGGTATTTTGGGATGGACAAAAAGTATAGCTTATCTTCCTGAGCTTTGTGATGTGCTGGATCAGTGCTTTGGCAAAAAGACAACATTTTAATCTGAAATTCTTTTGTGAGGTGTGAAAATTATTAGATTCCATGCCTCTTTCTGTTAGTGATAAAGGACACAAACTTCTCTGTCCACAAGCCAGGAAACATTAGCTGAAGATTCATGGAGCATGGGAGAAACTCCCACTCCATGAGTACAAATCTCACCCAGCTTCTAGCAGTAAGAAATTATGAAGAAGATTTCAACTCAAATTTGGATTTCAGTGTCCTTAATGCACAAGTGATTTCTTTCTGTAAAAGCCTGGGTTTAAGAACGTATTTGACTGTGCTCCAGTCTTTAAACTTGGATATTGAATACTGACCACTCAGGAGCTTAAAAGCAGATTTAGACTCTAATAGCCTGCTGAGACAGAGCTCTGACATGGAATGTTCTTAAGGAACCACATTCTCTGCTGTTGTGAATTAACAGCATCCCAGACAACATCAAGTCAATAAAGCCATGTGTATTCTATGTCTGTGGAGAGTAGCAAGACTGTTAGATGAGTGGCTATTCTAGATTTTCAGGTTTTTGAAAACTGTTAATACATTTCTTTTTTTTCCTCCTCCAGTCATCTAAAGAGTTGAATAAAAGGTACATGAAGTATGGGTTAAGTGCACTGTAGTGAGTACTAGGCCTAGCATGCTGGATGCTTCATTTGGTATTTGCAAGCTTTGAAAACACAATGCTAATATTAATAGCTACTTTTATAAACCTTGCAAATAATAAAACTAAGAGAAGAGGTTTTCTACTTGTTGCTGTAATGGACTAGATTTGAAGTGTTTTGCAGATATTCTGTAATATATCAGTTAAACAAGTAGCCCTTTAAAATGTCAGCTCAATTATAAATCTATACACAGATATTTTTAAACAGATGTTCCTTGCAGTTTTTATAATACACGCATATAATAAAAAACATTTTGACCATGCTTCCATCTCTTAGTCATCACTGGCATGTCCTTTTTTCACTAGTCTGGTTCTGTATTACCCGATCGCTGAAAGGTTATAATGCAAAGTGTCACTCACATGGCTAGGGTGGTTGGACTATATTTCTGAACACGTTCCAGAAAAAAATGAGATTAAGTAGCTTTCAAAAGCTTACCAGCAGACTATGGGCTGATGTTTTCCGATGCATCTTCATTAGCACTGCCTGATTCAGGATGTGACAGAGGGCTGGTACCTCATTACAGTTGCATCCTGGCTCACCTGCATATACCAGTACATACAACTGGAAACAATTCCACCATGTGTGAAGTCCTCAAGGAAGCCATTTTGGTGAGACCCATCCTTCATGACAGAAGTGTTTGATTATAAGCCCATATTCCCCCAATAAATCTTCCAAGGTGAACGACAAATATTCAGAGAGGCTGGCTGCAGGCTCCCCTTATGCGAGTCCCAAAGCTGCTTTGCTCACACTACCACCGCTGACTTTGCCCGAGGGGCTTGGGCATTGCACAGTGGATATCAAACATACCCTTGTCAGGGCTGCCTCAGCCATCACAGAATTACATGTGCTGACACAGACTAGGGTATAACAGTGGCATGAGGGTTCCAGTTTGTGGTCACATTACAAACCCGGGAGAGCGGTCTGAAGGCACTGTGCCAAACACTCCTTCCTAGTTCCTATTAACCTGCAGAACTAGGACTATAAATTTGGACTCACCTGTTGGAAGTCAAAATGTGACAGTCTGGCCACATATCTGCATGTAGTTTATTGCATAAGAATAGAGCAGGTATAGTAGGACAAAACAATTTTCCAAGGCTTTCTGCATGCTTGGTCTTTACTTGTTTACTTACACACTAAATTTAAAGTTTATTCTGGTTTGTGCGTAGGTTTTGTTATTACTTTACTTTGGTAATACCTGACTTGCTAAAAAAGGTTAAGAACGAGTCTATATAGCAATGCATGTATTTTTTTTAAAGAAAGTATATTTTATATTTGTTGCATTTTTTTAAGATTATGCATAATTAACTACTTTGGTGACTGAAAAAAAAAGAAAGAGAGAAAGGTAAAATTCAGTTGCCTTGAAAAAAAAGAATCTTTCATTTCCTTGAAGCCGCTTCTTCCTCAGAGTTAAAAATATGTTGTTTTTTTTCCTATAATGAACTCAGCAAATATGGGCTAATTAAGTGGAATCTATCTTCCTTCTCATGTTTTTTTTTTGCTTACCATAAGCAGCTGCTTTACATTACGTCTCTGGAGTCAGCTGCTGTAGTTTAGCTCTAAGGTTTGTAACCTTTAAAGGCACTGTGTTAGTAAGTCCAAACTCCTGTGCTCTTGGGAGTCTTGCTGTGAACTTCAGATCCTCACATTCTCATGCGTTAAGCATATACAGACTGTGTGCACTCTCAGTGTGCTCCTGATCTGAAACCACAGTATGCTCTAAATGTTCAAAATCAGTGAAACAGCTTTTACTTGCATGTTGTTCTCAAGTTCATGGGAAATACTTTGAAAAGCATATGTTGCATGGTCTTTGCTTCTGGCCTTTGGAAAACTATGTGATGCCACAAGGGATTTATACTGACAACTATGTCTTTTCTTCCAAATAGGTTACTTTCTGCAATGGATACTACCCTTTCTTTAGAAAAGGTGCCCAGTGCTTTTTCACTGTTTGAACACTACGCAGACAGTCCAGGACAAAGCAACCAGCATTCCTTAAAACATGTGGCTGGTAAGAATTTCTGAATATTGTCTTTACAAAAGCTAACGTTTTGGCAATACTTTGGAAATTTTAGGAAGCTAAAAACAGAATATGTTTGAGAAGTATAAATTTGCAAACCATGTAATTAGCAATCAGAGTTGAATGTAAAATGAAGTCTAATTGTGCACAAGTGTTTGGCTTATAGTAGGACACTAAGATGAGCAACAGAGGGAAAAGTGCTAAAGTAGGGGATTCTTGCATCATTTCAGATATCTGTACCTCAGACTGGCAGATCTCTATCTGTAAATATCCCAGGGCTAAAGAAGTCGCTGTTCCTTTGCAGGCAGGGACAGAAGAGGTAATCAAAGAGTCTCCTGAGCTCTCTTTCTCCAAGGGGTACAGCCCCAGCTCCGCTGGTGTGGGGAGGAGAGCAGGGGGCTGGCTGACAGCTGAGGTCCCTGGGCTTGTGAAAAGTGAACAGAGGTACCTGAAACCCCCATGGGATGTAAAGGGAGAGAGGTTAACTGTAGCTGGAAACAACCTCTGCTCTGGAGGATAAAGGGACTTGTTCATCTCTGTCTGATACTTCATGTCCTGTAGAAAGCCTGCCTGTGTGGGCTTTCTTCTCTGCCTGTATATACACCTGGAGAAATCATCTGGATCTGGACAGCTGTCAGTGAAGATTTTGTCAGCACCAACTTGTGGATTCATTTTCCTCATAACGTGGACTCACTGCAGTGTTCCTCTCTCACGAGAAGGTTTGTTTAGGGATTTTGCATCTCACTGTCATGCTTTGTGACCTTCCATGAACCGTCACATGCACCACTGTCGCTGTAGTCACTCTCTGGGTTTTCAGGTGAAGCCTCTTTCTCACATGTTTGGTCCCTGAGCAATGGAACTAGAGCACCAATTTCCATATGGTGCTTTGTTTCCTGGCTGGATTTTCAGGTGCCTAATGGGACATTGGAGAAGTGCCATCTTGCGCAGACTTTCTGGTGTCTAATAAGAACTGAGTGCACTCAGCAGTGTCACTATGGGGAGATGGTCTCTCTCCTCCACACCACTACTTTTATTAGACCCAGCGGAACTGAATATCTCTGGGACTTAATGTCCTTGTCAGATTTGTATGAATTTGCCTGTGGCATTCAAAGCTTCTCAAGTGGAGTTGGACAGGCACTTGTGCGTGCAGTGTTATCTCCGCGTAATTTTTTTAGGAAGTCAGATAAAAAGATCATGAAGAAAAAAGTTCCTTATACCACAGCACTTCAATGAAAACTGAACTGATGAGAAAATGTCACACTTTTCTGTTGAAAAATATGATTTAGTCAAACCTGTGGTGCAAATATCTCATTTATTTTAGAAATTAATTTTTAAAGGGACCTTCACTTTGGTAACACATGAATGTTCTGGTTTTGAGGAGAATAGTTTAACTGCTTGCTCTGAATTTACTTCCTTTCAAAAGTTTGTTTCATATTATGTGAAAGGAAATTAGAAATCAAATGTTTCTTAGTGTTACTAAATTGAATTTTGATCTATAACTTTTTTTCAGAAGTTTAATTCATTAAGCTAGCTTCTGCTCATATTTGGCATAATAATAAATCTTGCAGTTGTGGGGTTTCTGCAATCATAAATAGCAGTTTCTAGGCAGCTTCACAAGAAAAAAGAAAAGCTTGTTTCCCCACCGGGTCCACTGAAAGAAAGTCTTTTCCTAAAGATGATAAATTTTTAAATTGACCGACACTAGATGCAGTCAAAAGACAAAATGTGAATTGTTTTTAGCAATGAGAAGGATAATTTTTTTCAATGGGAAGCAGATGTAATGCTACTGTACTCATAGCTCTCTGTATAAATCATAAGGAAACAGCCAGCATCTGCATTTGCCTTGTTCATGCCACAGGGGATCATCATCATTACTGTGAAGATAACTGAAAAAAAGCAAAAGCTTTCTGCTGAGATTCTAAGAGCATTCATGCAATATGGAAATTTACTGGGTGAAGAAATAGAACCATGTATTTTCATTCCCTGCAATCACTTTAACAATGAACATCTTTTGGGTCTTTTTGCTTCTTTCTTTCCCCTCGCTTTCTTTTAAGCCATAATTGTAGAGGGAAACAATATCTCATGAGGGATGAATCTGTGCCTATTGGGAGACAAAGTTTATATGAAATTTGAGGGGCCTTGGAGGTCTTTGAAACATCCTTTGTGAGGGGTGTTCCTGGTTGTCCCATGGGGCTCGGGTGTTTTGGCTGAGCTCAGATTCACCTGCACACCAAGGGTTCTCTGTCCACTGGGTCCGTGTGGAAATGACCATGCCAGGCAGGAGCGTCTAGTTGTGCACCCGCAACAGGAGTCCTCCTCTGGGCAGGGGTGGACCCAGGGCTGCAGGGAGCCTCCTGCTTCCCTGTGCTGTTAGAGCTGTCCTTTGCCTAAAGCACATCCCTGCTGCAGTCGGTGTCAGTGGGTTTGACATGCTGCATGAATCCCTTCCTGCTGTGGCAGGTCCTTTCCCCTGCTCACCTTTCTGGTATCAGCTACATATGTCTGTCTCTGGAGGAGGCTTTCTTCTTCTGCAAACTCCTTCTCCCCATCAGTAAGCTGTCCTGTGCTGTTTGTTACAAAGAAGTGCTTTCAGTCTCCACTTTCATGGTCATCTCCTTCATAGGGTGTCCTCTCCTCTAATGCCTGTGCTGCAAGGCAAGGGCAGGTAATGGAGAATGCAGTCACCCAAAGGAGCCTGCATTAGGCTCCAGGGTTTTCTGGGCTTTCTGAGGAGGTGGCCTGAAATTATCAGGAGTCTCTTGGCGTTCCATCAGCAAAGCGGAGCGCGGCGCTGGAGACCTCTCCCTGTGACTGAAAGGAGAGAGATCGTTGGAGTCGTATGACATCTCTGCAAGTCCAGGATTGCCATAGCCCTGGGAGGCTCCCTGATGCAGTTGGAAACAAACAAGTGTACCATGACTCATCTGCATAATGGGTCCTGCCCGATAGGGAAGGATCCCAAGAGCACGGGCATGGGCACATGCATTACGCTGGCTTCAGGTACTAGGATCTTATTTTGTTCATACTGTGAGATGAAAGGACAGATTCCAATGCTGAACAGTTACATTTTTCTGTTCCTAGTTTAGGAGGACAAACTGATCTAAAACTGCACAAGTATTCCCTATTTCATGTACTTGTTGTTTTAGGGAAATAAGAAACCTGAGTGAAAATAAACAACCAGGTTGCATCACAAATCTGACAGTAATTTGGTTGAAAATACAGGATTGTGAATAACAACAAGAGACTTTCCTTTCAGTCCCACAGACACCAACTGTGGTACCTCAGGAACCAGACTCAGCCACCAGCACCTCCATTGCTGTCTACTGGGCTGTGAACGATGGGGATGCCATTGACTGCTTCCAGGTCTACTGTATGGAGGAGCTGCAAGGCAGCAAAGATGCAGGGGGTGCGTAAGGTCTTGGTCTTGCATTTATGATGTTGGGAGTCCTTTCTGCTCTGCCCTGGGGTCAGCAGAGGGGAGGCCAAGCTGCAGTGGAGGGTCCAGGATGCAGAGAGAAGAGGGTCTGTGAAGACATCATGCCTAGCACTAAGGATGGGTAATGGTAGAGGAGAGTGTGAAGTAGATGCTGTTCCCTTTCCTCTCCTTCATCCACCAAAATGCAAGATAAATACCGTGGTCTGTAAAGCGCGAGGCAGTTGTTTGCAGAGAAGCATCAACACCCCTGTTGAGGTGCACTTTTATGAAGTGGCCTGATCTTCAGAGAGGCTGTGTCCATGCTGCCCTGAGGGTACTCATGGGGACTGCAGATAGAGCTCCCAAAGGGACAGGCTTCATCAGGTTCTTAGGGCCCTGAATGGACTTTGGAAATGTGTCCTAATAAAAAAATTACAGGAAAAGATAATTGGTATTTCCACAGGTGGACAAAGATTTTTTTCAAAATGACATTAAAATATTTCAAATGTTAAATATGAAATTGAGAAAAGGGGATTGACATGCTCATTCATTAAAAAGCTAAGACTGATTATAAAGCCACTTTAAGCAACTGGGCTCTGCACAAATCTGTGTGTGCATGTGTGTATGTGCATGAATGTGTGTATGTGTGTGCATGCTGAAGGATACTAAGGGCTTTTTATAATAGTTGATTTATAGCTGAGAGCTATAAAGTCCATTATGAGAAATTGTTATGTTACAGAGTGGTGAAACTAGAGTTGATAACTGATGTTTTTACATTCCAGATTTTTGGTCTAGTCCTCAGTAGGACTGAAGACCACAGTGTCCCTTTGCCATCTGTGGGGCACTCAACTCAGGGGCATGTCAGAAACCTTCTGTCAAAACTGAGTCAAAGTAAAATATGGAGACCTTGGCTAGTAACCCTTTCTGGATTTTTTTAACTGACCGGTTTTTACATGTTAGTTGGAAGTCACAGTCATAGGCTCTCCCAGTGTAACACATGAGTGTGATGTCTCATGCGTGTGTGTGTTCCTCCTAGCTGTGGTGGAAGAGTACAGAGTGACGGTGAAGGAGAGCCACTGCATTTTGGAGGACCTGGAGCCAGATCGCTGCTACAGTGTGTGGGTCATGGCTGTGAATGGCACAGGCTGTAGCTTACCCAGTGAAAAAGCCATTTTTAAAACGGGTATGTATATATGTTGGCACTTGATTATTGTTTTGGTGTTTGATCATCATAAGTTTGATTATCAGGTCCTTAGACCATTTCCAGTCCATAATGTTACTGAAACTGAAGAAACTGCTTCATATAGCCCATTTGGCAGATAGCAGGCAACTCACGTTTTCCCTTTTTGCTAAGAGATAGCAGCATAATGGCTCCTGGGAGGAAACTTGAAAGCATTCAGACTTGAAGATATTTCCAGTCTTGGGTCTCATGACTGGGGCATTGGGGCAGCACGATATGAATTTCTGTACTGAGCGTGCTGCAGTGCTCCAGGGAAGCTCTGGGAAAGCCACTCGACTGCTCCCTGCTGCTGCTGCTTCTCCTGTGGAAAATGGAGGAAACCGTTGCATTTTTTGCTTCTCTGCCATCATTCCAAATACATCTATGTTGCATTGATTTAAATTATTAACTTTTCAAAGGAAGGCTTGCTTTACCAAGTCTACATGATGAATCTAGCTCAGTGGGACACAAATCTCAGGTATGGCTGAGAGGCTCTGCTGCTGTATAAGTGGTATAAATTCAGATGAGTAATTAGATGAGTATTGTTTATGAGCTTCGTTTGACTGATTAATTTTTCTGAGCTTTAATTTTGTTAATAATTTGTAATGACAAAACTATTGCTTCTTGAATTATGAGCAAGGTGAAGGGCCTTGTGTCTGAGGCCTTCTTGCCAGACATTGTTTTTAGTGCTGCAGGATAAAAAGAATCATTCTGTTCTTGAAGTCATAAAATACAGACAAGGGCATTTAACAATTTTGTAATGAAATAACTGTACAATACTGAGTGTATTGTTGAAATCACTTGGCAGCAACCACAGCTTCAAGCCCTTAGCTTAATCCACTAGACTTCAAATTTGTTGATAATTCTCCTTGATATTCAATCTGCTATTCATTTTTTTAGCAAATATTATTTTCCAGAGAATTCAAAGCAAAAATTAAAATTTTATAGCCTCAGCAATGTGCTTGTGAGCATGGTTCAAAATTCCTGTGAAATGGTCAAATAATAATGAATTGCTATTACCTAATAAGTCTAAAAGCTAATAAATAAAAATTTTAAAAAGGGTTCTCACCTCTCTTAAGCTGTTAATTTTAAGAACTGTCTTTGCCTTTTGGCATCAGGCTCACAGTTCTTTTTCCTAAAACTAAAGCCTTGTGAAGAAGTTAATTTCCTTAAGTCTTTGATGACTTCTGTTGGCCTGTTTCTTTAAGCAAATAAATAAACTAGATCAAATAAGGGCCCATTAAACACCTTCCCTGAAGCTGAAATGAACTCCCTCTGGGGTGCACTGAGCCCCAGATGGACTTGTGAAGACACTGCTGAGCAGTGACTGATTCAAAACCCTTAACACCAAATGTGGAAAGATGAGCACCAGTCATGAAAAATGCTTCAGTGTGAGCCTGGTTACTCTGATACAAAGTTAGAATACTTTGACTCTTCAAGTAGCCCAATGAACCCAGAAGCAATAATTTAGACTTTATTTTTAGTAATTCAGGTTAAAAGTTGGCACATAAAAGAAAATAACTTGCTGGTTTATGCAGTTACAGGAACATACACATTAACAGTGGATCAAAGATGTGCCTCCTCCAGGTGTTGGGAACCCCTACAACGTTTCTCTGTTGGGATTGCACCCCCAGAGGTGGCAGTGGGCCTGGGGAGTTGTGGGGAACGCAGGCGGGTGCTGCTGGAGCATCCCTCCAGCACCTCCTGCCTCCTGCTCCTCCATCTCCCAAACTTGCAGCTTGTCCTCACCCCCCAGGGGAACACGCTGTTTCCAAGCAGTATGTTCTGTGAGGGAATGATGTTGAAGGCAAGTATCCATCTATCCCACCCTCTCTCTGTCCATCTCAAACTGACCTCTGGATGAAGGCTCTTTGCAGTCCTAAAGACACAGGAGTGAATGCACCCTCTGCTGTTGTTCAAAACCTATGTGATTTTCTCAGGGACAGGGTAAGAGCTTACACTTTTTGGCTCTTTGCCTCTTATACGATCACTTATATGAGTGCTGGAATATTACAAGGAAATCAGATATATATTCTAACTGCAGTTAATTTCTTAAAAAAAAATCTCAAAAGCACAGTAACAACTTTTTCTGGTATGCTCACTCCATCTACTCTTTAGACAGATAATTTTTTTAAAAAAAAAAAAGCTTGATGTCTTGTGACATACTGTTTGCACATACATAAATGTGGGTATGTGTGTCAGTTGCTAAATGCAGGTGTTAGGGGATTTAGCTATTAATTTTTAATTCTTTGGGAACAGATGCATTTAAAAACAGACAATAATCAAATATGTCAGAAGAGAATTAAGGGATTATTGCTAGGGGAGCTACACAGATGTCTTACCTGATGAGAATCTATCCCACAGATTCATTGTTCTGCTGAATACCTAGATTAGTTGTTCCTGTAGTGAAACATTAAGTACATCTTAACCTGAACTGCTAACCTCCTGATTTTCATTAAACCAGGAAATCAATATGTACTTGTGGGTGTTTTTCCTTTTCTATTAGTAACAAATTATTTTTCTGATAAAACAGAATGAACCTGGAATGCTTGTTGCAGTTCCATAAGATTATCTTATCATAAAATTGTCTAATTTATACTCTTGTCTTAGGCCTCCTATTTGGAACCCGATCTCTTTAAAAGCAAAATAACTTTCTATGACCTTTTTTTAATTAATAACCTTTATTTTCGGGATTGATATTAAGACTGTTAATATGAATTTCAACACCAGGTTGTAAGGTTCATTTATGTTGCTATCCCCTGGAAGGGGAATGCGCAAGTGAATGCAACTAATCCATTTTCAGCCTGCGATGTTGGGTATGCAATTTCACACAATAGCTTTTGATTACTTGCATTCAGTGCACTGTTTTACATTCCATTTTCTGTCTTGCAGTTGGGCCTGTAGTTCTTGAACTGAGGCTCTAAAAAAGAGAAATTACAGGACCAAATTTTAGCACTGCAAAAATAAACAGGGCGTAATTAAGCAGAAAGTCAGCATCTCCCTGTCGGTTTTGCAGCAGCATATTTGTTTCCAGCGCAGTTCATACAGGGACTGTTGAGGACAGGATTGAGGTGATGCAGGGAGAGCTGCAGACAGTACTGCCTTGGTGCTCTGCTCCTTGAAGATTGGCAGAAATTAGGAAAATGTGTTTGAGGAATGGTGTAAAAATCTCAGAACTTGCATTCTAAAGATGTGCAGAAATGCACAAATACTCACCGTGACTTTTCCAGTGTGGGTTTTTTTCCCAGTAACGTAGCCCTCTGCCATTGAAACACAAACAAGCAGAAGATCACCATCGGGTGGGCGAAACTACCCACCCTGTGGGTTTTGGGGGAAATTTGGGGGGAAACTTTTCCTTTCCCTCGCAAGCATTCCCCTCCAGCCTGTGGTGCCTTCCTCACAGCACGGCTAACATGTCCCTGTGTCCCCAGCACCCGCCATCCCCACCATCAAGGCCGAGGACTGCACGGTGTGTTGGGACACGGCCACTGTCCGCTGGCGTGCCGGCTCGGCGTTGGCGGAGTCCTTCACCCTGGAGTACTGCCGGCAGCACTCGCCGGAAGGAGAAGGTCTCAGGTCAGTGCCAGTTTGCAAGCACTGCTCGGCCGGATTAGGCAGCCACTAATGAGCATCCCCCAGAATGCAGGTCGTTACACAAGAGGTTATTCCGCCTTCAGCCGTGAAAGGAAGAAATCTGCTTCTACGTGCTGAGGAATTTACAGAACGGAAACTAATCTATGAGATTAGGCTGAGGCATAAAAACACTTCCTTTTTATTCTGCTTAACCAGGCAATCCCCTTCATTTGGGGTAGGGGAGGGCAGCTCAACTCCATGGGAAGGAGCGGGATGGAGGAACCTGGCCCAGTTTGTGGTGAGCAAGATAGGAGCCAGCTTGGGGCATAGTGAGGGTGATACTGCTGTCCCAGTAATACTGGTGACATATCTGCACTTTCTGGATGTGCAGGCAGATGCCTTCCAAAGCACAGCTGAGCTCAGCGCTGCCCAGGCAAGCAGGCATGCCACAGGCATCAAAGAGCAACCCAAAGAGAAGCTTTGAAATTGGGGGTGGTGTTTGCCTATGCCAGATCCTCTCTGGTGTGTGCTGTGTAGAGGAGAGGATGGGGCAGAACATAGGCACCACTGAGCTGTGAAACCATGCACAGTGTTGAAACGCAGAGAAAATTATGTGGTGCTCGGTATTTCCTTGGGTCTTGAGGGTTTTTGTTTGTTTGTTTTTCCAAATCAACGACAACAATACTCCAGCAAAATACGGTTTCAAAGGTCTGAAAAGCTTTGGGAGGTGGCAGGGAGGGGGGGACAGGGGGTGCCTTGCCATACAGGACCTTGAGGAAGAGCTTCAGCCCAGCTGAATTTGTCTCCTTCACCTCCCGGGGACCCCAGTCAGGATCTTCACCCCAGAGCTAGTTCACATGGACTTCATGGAGATGTGGCAGAGAGGGAAGAGCTCCAGCCCCTGATGTCAAAATTAGTTAAGTGGACTAAAGTGTTCACAGGTTTCTAGTAGACAAGTACGACAGTGAAATTGTGCGTGCCTTGCTCCTTATAAAAGTAGGCTAAAAACTGAAACAAAAAACTTCGGCAGGGTCGGGAGACCTTTTTTTCATGCAGTACCAGCATGTTGCATTAATGCAATCAAGGATAGGTCTCACCCAGCTTTCCAGCCTCTCAACAGGCAGCCATGACCTGCTCTGCTTCATACATATTTCATGAGGCCATCAGGTCCCTGTCAACCTTCCAAAGTCACTGTTAGTCAGGGATAATGTAGATGTTCCCAAAACTTGTGCTGTGTGCTTTCCCTGAAGTTTCTTTATTGTTAACTGAAATTGTGTTTTTTTCTCAAAAAGTGAACCAGAAAGTATGCCTGTTTCTGTAATATGTGAGCGAGGTGTCAATAACAGCAAGCAGCTTGCTTGTGTGGTGATAACTATGGCAAAATGCTGCCAGAACTGACCCATTCCCTTTCTCATTGGTGAGAAAACTAACATGTTTGTAATTATACTGAGTCACATTTGACTTTTTGGCCTCCCTGTGGGCAGAAGCTGGCCTTTTACTGTGACAAGTGTGAAAAATTCCCACGGGACAAAATCGTGAATTTTCTCAGAATTTCTGTAGTTTAAATTTCTGTATTTGTAGAATGGTTCTGACCTCTTTTTACAGTGTCAAAACCCATATTTTTTCACTTATTTTCCCTCCAAGCAGTGCTCATCTTTCCTTTTCCAAAAGCAAGCCTGTGAGATTAACCTGGAAAGCTTCTGTAATGGCACAACATATTTCAGTGGTGAAGAATTTTTTTTAAGATTTCTATTTCATTTTTTGCATAAAGCCAAGATAAAAAGAGGCCTCTGGTAGATGGAGCATACTACCTGTATTGCTCTCATCCAAGGTCCCCAAGGTGCGAGTTAGGACTAGAAATCAGTTCTTTACATAACTGATATAGTGAGAAGCTGCCTTCTGGAAGTACCTGCAGGGAGCTTAGAGTTAGTATGTTAAGTACCTATATCAGATGGAATACAACTGTCTTTATGTGCACCTAACATTTGGACCTGGAAATTGTCTAGTTTCTTGTGGTTGCTTTCCTTACATGTTTGGAGTTTGCTATTCAGAGGTTTCCTGATCATCGCTCATGGGGACCAGTCAAAATGTAGAGCCCTTTGACAGACAGCCTGTGCCTCTCATGCTTGTGGCATCCTGGTAGTTGAGAGATTTCCCAGTCCCTGGGTGGGAGTTCAGATACATTGCTCAGCAGCCCTGGAAAGTTCATACAGCTGCTGCTGGGGGCACAGCTTGAAAGTCGAGGTCAGGGAAGGACATCCAAGGGAAGTCTTGGAGAAAGAAACATGGTTCCATCCACAAGGCTTCTTTCACAGATGTCATTCTGGGAGCTCACCCAAGGCAAGGAACACCACCAAGAAGCAGGCAGGGAGAAATGCCCCCACTGAACAGCCAGAGTCAAGCATGGAGCCCCTGTTCTGGGCCATCTCCCTGTAGCCTCCAGCACATCACAGAATCTCACAGGATGGTTGAGGTTGGAAGGGACCTTTGGAGATCATCTGGTCCAACACCCCTCCTCAAGCAGGGCCACCTAGAGCCAGTTGCCCAGGTGGCTTTTGAATATCTCCAGGGAGGTCCTTAGAGCAGTCCTAGCTCCCCAGGGAGAGAATTTGGAGCACATCTGAAAACAAATCCTCCTTAAAAGTTTCCTTCTAAATACCATAAAAAGAACCTATGCTTTCCCCTTTAGGTTCTCTCTTCTTGCCAGCTTGCCATCTGAGGGACATGGTTTCATATAAAACCATCTTAAATCTTCTGCAACAATGACTCCCCAGACTGCTTCTGTGGTTTTAAAGCTTGTTCCCAGGTTGATTTTTTTTTTCCAGAATCTTTTTGAAGCTTTGAAATGTTTCTTTCAGTTTCCAGAGCTCTGCTATTTTCTTGCTGTTCAGCCTCTTTGTGTTGAGAAGTCAATGGAGCTGTGGGTGGAAGATTGAAAACTGTGAGAAATGTAGTCCAGGGATTAGGTGTGTGGGCTGTTCAGATGGAAACCGTGTATCACATCATGAGAAATCTGTAAGACTCAGGGAGGCAGAAATTAGTACAGTATGAGGTGCATTTGTAAAAGTGGAAGTGACTGAGTGTCATCCTCTCCTCTAATGTGAGACCATCACTGCTGAAATTTTCTGTCTACTTATAGAGGAGATCTAATGCTGGAAAAAGGAGACCAAGCCTCTCTCCTGTTGCTTTCCCACATGACTGTCCTGCCAGCTCAGGAAATGAAGTATGGAAAACAGGGAATCTTCTTCCCCTCTAGCTGTGCTGGGCTTGACATCTCAGAAGCAAGTGAAGGCCATTGCAGGTGGTGGCTTGGTGATCTAACCCCAAAACAGCCAAAGCTGGGACAGAGGGAAGGAAAGGAAGCATACAGCACAGATGGGAGCAAACTCAGAGATATTTGTTCTTTATTTTTCGCTTCATGAGCTTTTTTTCTGCTCATGGTGCACACCTTCCGTGTGCTTCTACACAGATCTTGAGAAGGTTGTGTACTTTCAGCTCTAACTCCACACAGGTGGTACCAGCACAGGTCTGGAGGTGCTGTTTCAGTGGGATCTTGGGGGTGGAAATTACAATTACGGCACAGAGGGCATTCTGAATGTGATATGCAAGGCATATCATTTTCTGGGTTCATGCAATGTTAAAAAATACACTCTAGACATTGTTTTCTTGAAATAAAGGAGGATGCCCATGAGAGAAACATGCAGGAAAACACAGCTTCAGATTTCCCTAAAACCAAGGAAATCACAAATTTAACAGACAAATGCTACTGTAATATTTATTGGCAATTTAAAGGTGAAGAAACATATAACTCCTTTCTGTTCTCCTTTGAATAGCACATTCCCGAAATTTGGAGATTGTATCTTGAGACTTAAAGATTTTTCTTGTAAAGAAAGGGAATAAGAGGAGATACTTTAAATACTAAACTTCAAATGTTTCTTGAATTTCTGTGCACTGAATTTTGTATCGTAATACCAAGACATTGTGAGGACAGTGCATATATGATCACATAAAGGTCAGGATGCCTCATGCTTTGATAATAACATTATTACATTTCCAATCATTTATAAAGTAGGCAGGTGTATTTAAAGTAAAAAATAGCTGACATTAGAAAAGTTGTAGGTGGATTTCTCTTTCTTTCATGACCAAAATTACACAGTTCAATAATTAAGGTGAGCTTGAGGAAAGTCTAGCTGCAATGCTTGTTACAAGAACTCAGAAATTAAACAGGCTTCCCCCAGCATAGTGAGGATGCATTTTCCCTTCCCTTCTCCTACGCATGACCCGTATGCTGTAAGGCAAGCAGTAATCATACCTTCTCCTCATCCTTGCTTTTTTACTGCTGACTGCAGGATAAACCTGAAGCATGACAAACTACAGTGATTGCTGGGGACCCCAAAGTATTCACTTCACCCTCACCCTAATCTTCTAGACAGAAGGAGAGAACATAGCAAGACCTATTTCTTCTTTGGATGCAGTCTCTTGTGAGCTTGGACTTGGCTCAGAGTGTTACAAATGAAATTTCTTTTTGTTGGTATATTCTGTTTCATTAGTTGGCGTCAACAGGACTGTTTTTTAAGCCTTAATCATAGACCAAATTAATGGGCTTTTATTCTTAGGCAGATTAAAGCTGGCTAAAATAGATTACCAAGCAGAGAATGCCATTCAAAATCTGATCACTGTTTTACTGAGCAGATCTGCTTAAAGTCTGGACTTTTTTGTCTCACTATTACAACTGCAAAGAGGCATTCTATTGATCTCAGATTTAAACATGCAACCAAATTCTGATTTGGAGAATTTCAGATTTGAAAGAGACCCAAGTGTGAACTTTGATGGCTAATTCTATTCTGCAATTAGCTGGACCCAAAATCTTCTCTGAATACCCAGGTGCTGGGATCCAGACTCCAGAATATCAATATCCCATGTCTACTTATTACACCAGAATGTACGTCTCTACTTGGATTTAGAAATTATTTTGTATTTTATTAATTGGTTAAATAACACTTAGTGAAAAAGAAGATCTCTCGATTTCTGTGGCAGGATAGTGACTTACATTATATTTTCCAGAAGACAGAAGAAGGAGCCATACAGAATGCATCACTGTGTTTAAGATATGTTGATCTGCATACTGCCACAAACAACTTCCAACAAATAGCTTAGCATATCCTCACTTCATCTCACTTGTAACTGTTTGCTCAAAACTTCTTTCCAGTGGCTTGTGCTTCAGATTCATATCAAAGGTGTCAGGATGGTGCTTTTAAGGAACTGATTGGGTGAGACTTGTCTAGGAAGCATGTACAAATTTCTTCAAAGCTTAGGTGCCCACTTCTTTTTCCTTGCCTCTGCTTCCATCCCAGTTTTCCATTCTGTTACTTCTTTTATATTTGCCTCCTTGCTCAGTTCCCATCTTGCATTTTTCTTCAATTCATCTTTCCTTTTTCTCTTGTCCCCTATACTCAGGTGATCCGTCTTCCTCTTTCAAGTCTAAAGATCTCAGGTTGTCATCAGTCAACTCATCAGGCTGCACCTCTTCCCTGAACCTTTCAGTAAGATCCAACCAGCCTGCCAAACTCCTAGTGCCTTGCTGAAGTGCTCTTTTGGTTGAGGCTTTGGTTACTTACAGGGGTGAAGCAAACTGTGCAATTGCTATCATGTTTGGGCAACCCATTTCAGATTACTGCATCAGTTCCAGGATTAATGTAACACATTCCCCAAAGGTGGCATGGCCCTGCGTTGATCACACAAGAGGCCCAAACACTCTGAATTTTTTTCAAATTGAAAACACAGATCACAGGAGCACCCAGTGCTTTTTCTCAACGCTTTCAATCATTTTTAATGACAGCTGTCAGTACAAAATACCTGCTACAGACTGATAAGGATGATGCACCAATCTTTCCCCAGGATGCCATTCTCCTAGACGCAGAGCTCTATGTGGTGTTAGCAGGAGTTTGTTGTGTGTAGGGCTGTGGGATTTTATCTTTATGTGATAAATGCAGCAGAGGCAGGCATGTGAATAATCCTGATGGATGAGCACTGATTATTCTTCAGATTGTACTGCTCTCTGGTGGGATATATGTGGAAAAACAGTCACTACAAATGAATAGCAACGATCTGACCTGACTGCCGACTTGCCTGCCTTACCGCCTCTGGGGTCACAGTAATTAGTGCTGGAAAAGGTAATTTGTTTAATCTAGCTTCCCATAGACATATCACCTGCAGGAGGGGAACCATCCTGGGCTCCACTCTCAAACCTGAGGTGGAAAGGAAAGTGCCTTGCACAGTCTCCAAAGGCATGTGTCCTGTTCGTGAATTTAAATACGTGCCTTGAAGATTCCTATAAGCATTTCTGGGAGGAAATTATCTACCTTATACAGCTAAACAGTCTTTACCTGCAGGCATACCATGCAGTGCGTATATACTGTCTGGCTTTGCTGCTTTCATATGAGGCAAAAATGAGGAGAATCAGGATCCTGTGTGTAAGAATTTGTTAAGCCAATCTTTCATACTCCAAACAATATAGAAAATAAAATTGGCACTTTTCTAGCCATCCAAAGTACTTTCACTGGCACTTCAAAGCACCTGTGATCCAGATTCAGTGGGTGCTGAGTCTCACTGTCCAGTAGTGTGTCAAGATGTCAGCAGCTGAGGATGTGAGGGCTGGAGCTTTTGAGGTACCACAAAGGGGAGACATAGGCAAAGCAGGGCACTGTGCAAAGGCGGTTTCCCTGCTGCTGCCTTTTGCAAAACCAGCCTGTTAGAGTGCACAGCACTGTGCTGGAGACAGAGCCAAGACTTCGTTGATGAACAATTTGTGAGCAAATTGTTCATAATAAGAAGTGCATGGTTTCTGTGCAGTCTCAGGTAAGGGTATCCATTCTTTTGTACTTGGAGCATGTGCCCAGGCAGTACAAACACAAGTGTATTCACTGTCATGCAACTGAATTAACTAAAAGGTTTGTTTTTTTTCAGAAGCTTGTTTATTTTGTAAAGCAGGCTTCTCATAGGAGCCAGATGAGAATTTGATTTTGTGCTGCTTGCATTTTATGTGATGACTTACGCTGCAAAATGAACATAAGGTGAGCATTACACCAAATGACTGCATTGAGAAAGAAGGTGGTACAGGAACAAAGACATGAAAATTTGTCAAAGGAGGAACCCTCAAGTAAACTGCTGAAGCTCCTACATAACCCGGTTTGTGGAAGCAGTGTTCACCTTTCCAGTTTGGAGTTTTTCTATGGTGCCTGTTGTTTCAGTAGTCAACAATACTGTTAGGCAGCTTAGCTGTTTGCCTAAATTATTCTTTCCTTGTTTGGATATCTGCATACTACTTCATGTATGAAAATATTCAAAATTTGCAGATCTTTTGCTGGTATAAAGAGACCTGAACTGGAAGTATCCCTGGAGCCCAATGTGAACTATTTCTTCTACCTGAGAGCTGTCAACCCATTTGGGACAAGTGAACAAAGTGAAGCAGCTCTCATCTCAACTAAAGGTAGATCACCATTTTCTGATGTCAAAATAATGGGATGGAGGGGCAAAGCAGCCAAAGATGTAATTTTCCTCCAGAAATCATACCTGAACTTTCTGATGCGGGAGTGAGAATGTTATTGAGGTAAAAGGGACCGTATTTTATACTTTTATATATTTTTATATTATTTTATGTAACGGATGATTTAAACTTTAAGGTTTCCAGATAAATAGTGTTAAATCATATATGGTTCTTCCAAACCAGCCTCAAAATTCAAATTTGCTATTTTGAAAAAGCAGTTGATTGAAAATTATTCAATGTTATTAAATACTGAAGATTTTTTTATCACCTAGCTACATTTCTGAATGTTAGACTGCTGTCCCAGTTGGGCACAGCTTGGATGACTCCTTGTATTCGCACCAATTTTCTGTTGCTCCTACCTGCCAGCAAATGCAGCCCTATCCAGCTAAGATGGCAGTAATTGTTGTTTAGCATTTTATGATTCATCTCGTGTTAACGTTGCCAGCCACTCAGAACTGATGTTTCTTTGTCATTAATTGTATCAGGAACTCGATTTCACCTGCTGAGCAACACAGCCCATCCTGCTTTGCAAATCTCCTCCAATGCAACAGTGATCCGCCTTCCCGAGAAAACCAAATTCACTGGGTGAGTAGCAGCATGACAAGCACGACCACCCTGCGGGGTTCAGGATGGATACCTCATTCTTATTTTGCCTATAGGTAGCTTTTACATGACACTAACTAATTTTGTAGAACTGAATTGTTTCAGTTGTGCAGCCCCTAGACTCTGTGTGATTGACCTCCCTTTCAAACATGGTAATACGTCAATAAAGCCTGTAGCAGCATTGATGTAGGTGCTGGGAAGGGTTCAGTGTCTCACTGAGAAATGCCAGAAAGCCAAAGGCAGTGGTACCTACTGGGACTGCTGGGTTTGCCTCAGTCTGTGGTCACTGCTTAATCCTTCAGAGCACTTCAGTCTCAAAGCAATTTGTTGCTGCCCCGAAAAGGCCAGATCTGTGGGCTTATTTTTTAATATATTGTGGCTAAAAGTAATCCAGCTTCCATACTTTGGTCCTCTAGGGAATTATTGGTAACGTCTTCCAAAGCATCTGTGGCTTTGGAGAATTAGGAAGTGCTCCTGGGATATGTTTAGAGTGGTTGTACCAGGCTAGATCCATCCATTCTAAACAAGATTTTTTTTTTTTTTTTTTTTTTTAAATACTGGTATTGGTCTCATCACAAACACAGGTCCACTTGTGTAAGTTGTGCCATGCCGATATAGTTTCTTAAAAGGTAAGGAGGTATTACTGGTTTAAGCAATTTGTTTACTCTTACAGCTGAAAGCACACAAGATGTTTGTTACTGTGTCATGTAGAAGAGCCACAGTTTCTAGTTTGAACAAGCCTTCTAAATTTGAGGTCCATATTTTGGCTCCAAAGTCACCTTTTCCATCTTTTGCTAACTTCATATAATTTTGGGGCAAAGTTGAATGATTTTCACTCCTTAAGATGAGTGCATCTCAGTACAAAGATGAAATGACTCCCAGTGACAGCATTCATATCCTTAATAAACACCTGCAGTTAGAAGCACAGAGTACAATCCATTAGTAATTTTAGATGCTGCTGCATGACATAACTGTGAGAAATATCACAGTATGGTTGGTCTGCCACCACACTCACTTTACTGTATGCCTCTTCCACACACAGGTTTCCTTCAGTCCTGGGTGAACTGCTGCCTGCTCGGGGATGTCATTACTGGGAAATTGTTGTCTCTGCCTGTAGAAGCTACAGGATTGGGATCTGCTATGAGGCAATATCACAGAGCAGCATCCTGGGGCTGAGTGATACCTCCTGGTGCATGTGGTGCTGTCTTACACAAACCAGGTAAAGCTGAGTCAGTCTCGTTGCTTGGAAAGTTACTTGTGCTTCATGTAAATAAAGCTGGCCAGCTTCAAGAATCACAAGAGCAGAAAGGATCCACCTGCTTTCTTTCTGCAAATTTGAGTAATAAGAAAAGGACAACTATAAAGGAACTTTATATTTCCTCTTAATTAAAAAAAAATCTTGTAAAGCACCTTAAAAAAAATAAAATTAATCTCAGACCAATTTACCACCTTTCACCCAGCCAGTGAATAAAACTTAAGAAACTAATTTGTCACTGCTTTGCCATTCCAGGCTCATATCTGAACTGCTTCACAAAATACCAGCAGGTGTATTTATTTCCATAAATGCAGTCTTTTTAGAATCTATTTCCATCTGCAGGAGATTTCAAGCCTCTATAGGGAATGTCTTCTCCTGCCTTGTCCTTCACAGCAATAGGCACCCACCTGCCACTGTGGCAGAACTGCAGGGTGGTGGTGTAGTCTTCAGCAGGCCAGTGCCAGGCTGCTTGGACGTTTGTAAGGCATAACCCTGTTAATGGTGCACACTCTATCTGAAGGAGTGCTCTTGATCTAAACAAGTGTGCTTTTTTTAGTGTGAAATCATATACATGTATGAACCCAACTAGCTAAATGAAACACCTGAGATACAAAGGGTTTTGCCAAAGCAGAGCTCATTCTTAAATACCCACAATGACATGTAATGAGAAAGATATAGAACCTGGAGAAAAGGAGGCTGAGGGGAGACCTTACTGCTCTCTACAACTGCCTGAAAGGAGGTTGTAGTGAGGTGGGTGTTGGTCTCTTGTCCCAAGTAACAAGTGATAGGACGAGAAGAAACAGCCTCAAGTTGCGCCAGGGGAGGTTTAGATTGGATATTAGTAAAAATTTCTTCCCTGAAAGGGTTGTCAAGCATTGGAGCAGGCAGCCCAGGGATGTGGTTGTGTCACTGGAGGCTGATCCCTGGAGGTTGATCCCTGGAGGTATTTAAAAGATGTGTAGACATGGGGCTTAGGGACTTGGTCTAGTGGTGGACTTGGCAGTGCTAGGTCAATGGTTGGACTCAAAAATCTTAAAGGTCTTTTCAACCTAAATGATTCTATGATTCTATGAATATGGTTACAGCAAGTCTGCTTTTATCCTGAGACTCCAAAGATGCCAGGTAAGAGGGCTCATCAGCATGCTAGGAAGGACATTGAAGCGATGCCACATTCATTTTGCTTATGTACTGAGCAAAATGCTGTTGCCACATGATATGCTGCTGTATGCAGCCACCTGTTAATAAGTGGGAATTAAGCCATAGGTTATTTCTGGTAACTTTCCATGAGGAGACACATTATATTCTGGTTTCCATTTTCCCACAGCTTTCTTTACAGATTTCTTCATACTGGTGTGATGAGTGATGTCTGTGTGACAGAACACGTGGCCAGGATTGGCATCCTGTTGGATTACAGTGGTGGCAGACTCTTGTTCTTCAATGCAGAGAGAGGACTGGTGCTGTTCACTATCAGGCACAAATTCACTGATGCTGCTCACCCAGCCTTTGCCCTGGAGAAGGCTGGATCACTTACCCTGCGCACAGGCATGGAGCTGCCGGAGTTCGTGAAGCACAGTTAATCCCCTGTTTCACGCTACCAGGAAAACTGGCAATTACAGCGTCAGGCGACAGGGTGGGGAAGGGGGGATATCAGGGAGGGATGTCTAGTCTTCACCGATGAATGCCACACACACAGCTCTCCCCCCATGTCATCAGTAACTGTAGTTAGTGCTCAGCCATGTAATCACCCTGAACCTAGAGAGAAAATGAACTCCTTCGGATAGAGCATGCACCTAGTGATATACACAGAAGTACTTTTGAGGGGAAAAAAAGATTTTGTTAGATAGGAACATCAAGGGGGGGCGGAAATGTACTTTCCCTGTGAAAATAATGACAGTGATAGCTGTCTTTTTAAAGTTGATGATGAACCTGTGTATAAAATAAATGCATCTCTCACTGCAATACTTGAAAGCCATCATTTCATCATTTGCCAGGACAGTCGGAGCCCAAATCTAAGATAATATGTTTGAAAAATGTACAAACATTTCAAGAACCGAACCATTCTGCAAGTTAATGTATCTTGTGTTATTGTTTGCCAAGTCTTTTCTTTAAATGCACAAATTATGAAAACTTTGGAACTTAGAAAGTGCCATATTTACAAAATGAGTGAGTCCCAGACTAGTCTTCATAACAGTCATGTCAAGTTTAATATGCAACACCTACCTACCCTGCTCACAGCAGACTGACAGACAGCTACCTGACAAATATCTGTGCCTGTAGATAGGTACTCATGAAACACCTGTATGAGGAAACTTGATAGTAGTGTTAAAAGTTTTCCATATGTTATTCATCCTCAATTTGTTGCCTAGGTGGTTTCAAAGGTGAAGGGTAGGTTGCCATCTGGGATCTCGGAGAAGAGTCAAATTGTCAGTGGCCTTCTTATGGATTACCCCTTTTCCATCAGTGTTTTTTATCTTTGCACTTACTGATTTGATACTTTTGATTTCAGGCTTGCAGACATTTTCCTGAATCTTTCCTGCTCTCTCCTGTTACCTACACTGGCACCAGCATCACACCAGCCAGGCACAGTGTTTCAGGGACATCAAAACAAGGAAGCTAAAAAATGGCTGATACCAGCAAAGGAATAGGATGCTGATTTTCCCCCATTGGCTCTTCCAAACTGTTTTTCCAAGTACTTCACACATTGGTGGTACAGCTGTCTTCTCACCTGCCCCAAGGGCTGAATGCATGAATGCCAGTGGTGCCAAACTCCACTGAATGCTGCAGGGAGAAATTAAGCTTAAAGCAGGCAGGCAATGCTTTCCATGCTGTGCCTGCTCTGGAGATTTCTGCCGCAAGGGAGTACACTGCCAGACTCATTTCTGAGCTCAGCTGAAGAGCTGTACTCCCTGAAGTAAAGCAGATTTCAGGAGTCTAATGAAGAGGGTTTGCTTCCAAAGAGAAGACTTAAATGAGTTACAGGGTGGCTTCTGCTCAAAGGAGATGCATGCTGCTGCTGGTTTATTTATGATTTAACACTACCAAGGCATGTGCTTGTTGCTTTGGCTTGAGGTATGCATGGTATCCCAGAAGAGCCGCACTCCACACTGTCATAGCAGGCTTGGGTGAGGTGGTTGAGGCAAGATAAACAAGATCCTCTGATCATTTATTTTAAACCAAAACTCTTTCTGGCATTTCAATTAAACAGTACCAGTTCTGAGTCCCTGTTGGGGAGAGAGAGGAATGAAAAAACAAGTTAGTGCCCTTTTGGCTCAAACGAGTGTTTTGTAGAAGTGTGAAGGGTGGTGAGAAAAAGGTCCAGGAGTGACTGGGAAAGACATTAAGGACATTGAGGGTAGCGTTACCGTGAAGGCTGAGGAAGAGAAGGCAGAAGGCAGGCTGGAAACTCACACAGAGCAGATGGTGATAAACTACAAGGCAGGTCAGTGGTGTTGGCAGGGTGTATTCCTCACACTCCTGCAGCCAGTGGGCTCACCGGAGGTTCATCTATCTCCAGAGCTTAATGTGGCACTTTGAACTAAACCTGAAAAATCCCAACGCTGAGGCAATTTTTCTTGCATTCTCCTCACCTTGGTTGCTGCTGTCCTAAATGTGGGATTGCTTCATGGACACCAATATGATGTATTGCCAAAGGAACAGCCAGTGAGAAGGAGAGCAAAATAACATGAAATTATTTGGATGGCTTTTTCAATGAAGGCAAGAAGAAATTGCCTTGTCAAAGGCAACTGCGTATTAGTAAATAGTGGTTTCAACATGAAAAGCGAAAGCCTTATCCATTGCCATGCGTTATTACTCAGGTACTACTGCAACATCTGAGCTTGGCAAAAAGTTCTTATTGGAGGCACTTTATTCTTAGAAATATTTGGTTAATTTTGAAAAGCTGCCTGACTCTCTTTTTTTGCTAATTTTTGTATAAGGTTCAGCTTTTACTAGAAGAGAAAGATAAGAAAATTCCAGTTACTGTATTTTTCTTCCACTTGATGAATTTAGCATTTAGAAATACCTCAAAAACAGTGTGACTTATTTTTCAACAAAGGATGTTAGTTAGCTTGGCTGATAGTGAGTAAGACCTTGTGCAAATGGTGACAGGGTTGTGTGTACAGAGTCTGGTCATCATTCCATTCTTACAATTACATAGAAATATACTTTAAGAGTTACACAAAGAACTGTAAAAGAGTTCACCAGTAATTTGGGATTTATTTTCATCCTGAAAGAACAAAAGCTGTTGCCTAGCACTGTAAGTATTGTTAATAAATATTTGGACTGATCTGAAACTCATTAAAAAGAATGATTTCTTTTCACTTCAGCAGGTCTTAGGACAGCTTGTAAAGCCTTGTGCACTGAAATGAGAATATAGGCCTGACTGTAAGAAGAGAAACATTAATTTCTACTGTCAAAATAGTGCTGAACTGGAATATTGCTAGTATCAGTAGTATTGATCCACAAACCTTGCTTAGGTCTTTCTGCTCCAGAGAGAGTTTAATCCTTCTGTGTGACGTCAGGCAGAAGAACTTGGCAAAAGGGAAATGTCACTGAAATATGACTGTTTGTACTGAAAATGGTCTAGTGATGCCTTATTTTAGAAATAGATACATTACCACACCACTACCACACCCCTCGCCACTACTGTGGAATTTAATTACATGTTATAACTAAGCCTGTTGTAAGACAGACCCAGTAAGGCACAGTACCAATAAATTGTTACTAAATCCACTGTACTGTGATATAGTCTGTGATATACATGTGAAATATGATTTCTATTAACACTGCAGGGTTTTGAATAGGTATGTAAAGATGGATTTAAGAATAATATGAAATTATGATCTTTTGAATCATTTCTATTTCAGAATAATTAATAGGACCTCTGCCATGCTGAGGTTTAAATTGGATTTTTAAAATTACTTTCTGTGGTAGGATCACATTACTGTCATTTTGCTGATGGATTTACTAGCTATAAAGAAGCTCAGTATGCTCAGATAGTCACACAACCAGCAAAGATGTGAAAGCATCCTTTCCACTTTGAGCCATGTGCTGTGGAAGAGAGATTGAACCAGAAAAGTACTTTCATTTTTCATGTTGAGTTTGTCCAATTTCCTGCCACAGTGGAAAGTAGCATATGTTGACCAGAGACCACTCTGCAGCACAGCTCCTACAGGAGCACCACCTGGAAGGAAATGGAGCAGATGTCCACCCCAAACCCTGCAATGATTTTGTCAACAGCTAAAAAAAGCATCATGTCAAGAGCAGTTCTGCTCTGGAGAACATCTGTGCAGAAATGACACCTTCCTTTTCAGGACTTATATTACAGAAACACTGTATTTCTAATACATATTCTTCTCAATCCTGAAGAAATGGTGCTGCAAGCAGAGATGGAAGTCACGCATAGTACTGTTAATGCAGTGGCCAGCTGAATTTCAACCTGCCAGACAATTACCACATTACTGAGAAGTGAGGGAGAGAGACATGGATTCCGGTCACAATAGGTACAGGAGATAAGTGGCTTCTGATGAGCCAGCAAGAAGCCAGTGTGGCTTTTAATACTGGGACTGGCAAAAGGAGACCTTTATCTGAGCATCACTTTGTATAGACCAGCCTTCTGAGGTTGTAAAACTCTATCTCACATCAATTCATGAGCCCAGCTCAGAAGGAACAGTACATATGTAATCCCACAACTCCTATTTTCATGTTCACCATGAAGAAGACAACTAAATTTTGAAGTAAAATTAACAGAGATTATTTTACCTAATTCCCTAATTGCATTTTAGATGTGTGTCTGTCCGCTGCCTGCTAGCTTTTCAAAAAAGAAAACCACTGAAAAATTGTACTTGTAGAATGAAGCATAGAGTTCAGGAAAAAAAAAAAAAAAGTAATAAATATAAATAAACTATGAATGCTATCTAACAAGGAAGGGAGCTTTGCACTATGCTCCAACAGCATCCACTGATGTTGGTGTCCCACACTGGCTACCAGTACCATTCTCTTTACCCATTAAGAGGTTTTTTGTGAAATCCATATTCATAAAAATATTATGTGCAAGATGTACAACTAGCAGTGTAAATAACTATTAAATGACTGCTAGTGCTTAGGAAGTAATCTGTATCAGTATTCAATGTAGTAACTAAGGGTTTTCTTTTCAAAGCAAAGAACGTGCTGAGATCAGTAGAGAGTTTTCTGTGGTTCAGTCACAGTAGATTTACACAGGAACACATATTAATAGCCTGCCCAGGTACAGAAAGGGCATCACTCTCTGCAGTATAAAACCAGATTTTGGAAGTTAAACCAGGGCATTTTCTGGGGTTAAAAAAATAAAAGCCCAAAATGTCACCGAGCCCAAGTTAAAAATTGCATTTTTTTAGCTCAAGGCCATATACTTCTATTATACGCTTCCCCAGCAGAAACTGTTGTTACATTCTGTGATTGCAATGCAGCAAGACTCAGTTTTGCTGCATGGCACTGCAGTTATTTTTGCACACATTAAGTAAGTTCAGTGGAGCCTGAATATGTTAAGCTTGCTGATCACATGTGACTCATTTGGGCAATTAAAGAGCAATAAATCAGACAATTCCTCAAAGTGTAGGACGCCCAGAACACCTACGTATCCATGGTGGAAAAATGTCATCAGCTTTTCTTCCAGTTATTCTTTCACAGCTGCTGGACCCTGGAAATACTCACAGAAGTAGCACAACAGTTAGAGTCCATCTGAACAGTACTTCAACTGCAAGAAATTTTTATGCTGGAAGGGCTTACTCTGGGCCTTAACCATGTCTGAGGTCCATCTTCTGCTTGAGTCAACAGAACAAAGTTAGGTCAGTGACATTCAAATTAGCAGGAAAAAAGAAATAGGCTTCTTCCCCAGTTACTCCACCAAGTACTATGGGGTTGTGGCCCACTGTAAGGAAGCATTTGTTGTTCTGCTGCTGAATACTCACTTTCCAACCGTTTTGTAGTGTAT